GATACATGTGATTAGTTGATTGTTACGAATATAAAAAAAAAAGTTTACAGAGTTTGTTTTGTTTTGTTTTTCTGGTTAAAACAATTGAATCAAATCTCTATTAGATGGTTACAACTAAAGTAATTACCGATATAATTAGTTAGATTTCACCATCTACAGTTTGATTTAAACGTTAAAACTAATTAGCAATATATGTTGATAGAAAATATACTTTTTTATATTACATGTAAGAAGAGTTGTTGATTGTGTAAGAGAAAAGAGATGGAGATAAATAAATAGAGAAATATGAGGAAAGGAGCTTAGAGAGAGAAATTAATTGTTATATCATCAAAGATAATCAAAAGGATAAAAGGTCAGTTTATGAACTATGGCAAAAATGAGTTACCTGCCAGCTCTCGGCATCAAGGTTAAAGGTGATTGAAGCTTTCATGAGCATCATCTCAAGGCAGCCTCCCTTTAGGAGTGAAACTTGATCTTCTATGCAAAGATTTCGGAAACATTGTAGCCTCTTGCACCATTTGATTATCCTACGAATGGACATATCAGATAATCTGACCAGATCAGTTATATCTGTGTGACATTCATCATATGGTTTGGTGAATAAAGGTTCATCAATAAATCCAAAGGCGGTCATTAGTTCCTCTAATTTCATTGATTCTAATTCATTTAATTGGTGACTTGGTTGACTTCGATCGTTTCGTAAATAAAGTGGCGTAAAATTGGTCTCCAAGATTCGTCGATTTACCCGTAATCTCCATACTTCTGTTTTATGTTTCGGTTGATCACCGAATGAACTTATCTCACCAACAGCTATTGGACTTGATCGAACTTGAACCACTTCATCAGTCGGTCTACCGCCAAAATCGGAATCAGGTGACAACAGGTTACCCTTGAAGGAATCAATCTCTTTATCAATATAATCCAAAAATCTTTCCGGTGTCTCAATATTATCATCAAATAAAGGTGTATCTGAGGTTGATGAATCAATTGAGATCCTCGTTGAGGTATTTGATGTATTTGAACTGATACTTGTTGTCCTTTGATTATCAGGGGACATTTGATTAGATACACTACCATACTCGAAGCCAATTCCGCTATTTGAATTTCCATTATTATTTTCACTACCTGATTCCATGGCTGCTTGTCGACGTAATTTGTTTTGTTCTATTTTGGCTCGTTTCATTTTTTTCTGTTCGTCGGAAAGAATCCATTCTTTCTTCATACCAACACGGAAACATTTCTCTAAGCGACACTTTTGACAGAATCGCCTGGTAATCACATCGATATTACAATTACCATTGAATGGACATCTTAATTTCTGTTGAGAATAAGAGAAAAGGAAAAAGGTAAAGTAAAGATTAAAAAATAAGCCGAGTGAGAGTGTGAGAAAGACGAAGTATATAAAATGGAATGAGAGAGAGAGAGAGAGAGAGAGAGAGAGAAGAGAGAGAGAGAAAAGATTAAGAGGAGGATGATGATGATGATGAGAGGGAGAAGAGCAACAAGTGAATCAACTATATAAATATTAATGATGTTAAAGTAGTATAGAAATAATTTGATGAAATAATCTAATAGATATTGATAATAATGATGATAAATTAAATGACGGCATGATGATTTGACAGATAATCATCAGACTAAGCAACAAGAGGCACACACACAAACTCACTTGAATTAAAACAAAGTCACCAAAATCACCATAAAGTAAAAAAATAATTCACAATGGTAAAAGCAAATGTATATCAATCAATCAATTGGATATCAAGAGAAGGTGTAAATATCATGAAATACAGAGAGAGAGAGAGAGAGAGAGAGAGAGAGAGAGAGAATTAACTAAAATGATTACAATAAGTAACGATTGAACAGAAAACTCATTTGATGTTTTTTTCTCTCATCATGAAGATAATGATGATTAGATACGTAACAATATTGAATCAACGAGGAAGATAAAACGAGAAAGAAGAGGAGGAGGATGATGAGATTAAGGTAAATAAAGATTTACAGAGTAACTGATTCAGTAGGTAAAAGGAAAAACGATACATGGTAACAAAAGATTTTAAGGATTAAAGGTAAATAGAGAGAGAGAGAGAAAAATAGTAAGCACACCAAGGAATTAAAGAGATGGAAAAGGACAAGAGAGAGAGAGAGAGAGAGAGAGAGAGAGAGATGAGGGAGGGAGATGAGGAAGAGAAGGTAAAAAATGATGAGAAAGAGAAAAGGATCATTACCTCGCTTTTGTAGGCATTACGTCGGAAAAAGGCTTTGCAAGATTCACAGGTAATAGCATTAAAATTAAATCCCATGGCTTTGTCTGAACAGACTTTACATATTTTCTGATGATCTTTATCAATCTTATCCATGATTGATTTCAGGGTAAGTAGGCTTGGTGAAGGTGATGGAGAGAGAGAGAGAGATAGTCTTTAACTTGGATGGTCGCGTTGGAAAATTAGAAATTGATTGTTGTGTTGATTAAGTTGGAAGAGTGTGTTGTGTGTGAGAGAGAGAGCGAGGGAGATATTGATGGATAGGGAGAGGGAGAGAATAGATAGAGACAAGTAGGTGGAGATGATAGACAGATAGACAAAAGAGAAAAGAGAAAAATACAGAGAGCGAAAGAGAAATAGAAAGGAAGAGAAGAGAAAAAAAAAGAGTAAAATAGATTATGTGAAGTGTAGATGAGAAGCAACAGAGTGACAACAGATAACAACAGGTAACAACAACGATTGATGATGAAGAAAGAGAGAAAGAGAGAGAAAAATATGAAACTTTGATGGTGATGCGAAAATATCAACACAGGTAAAGAATTAAAAAAATAATAATAACAAACAACAGCAGTGGTGGTGATGGTGGATTAGGATTATGATGAGTTTTCTTTGCTGTTTCTTCAATGTTCCTGGTAATGGGAGAGAGAGAGAGAGATGAGAGTTAACCAGAAATGAGAAAATATCTTCTCTCCACCATGTAGAAAGTAAATAGTTTTCCTATTCCAATATTCCTTTTAATGTAATGATATAACAACGATGTGTAATTTGAACTGTTCAGCAACCAGAAAATGGGAGAGGAAGATGGAGAAAGAGAGAGAGAGAGGAAGAAGATAAACCAACGAAGATAATCAACTGATAGAGAGAGAGAGAGAGAGAGAGACTGTTTTTAACAAGAATAATAATGATAAATATTAATTGTGATGATGTAGAAATAGAAAAATATCATAGAAAAAGTAATGAATTATGATGACTACTTTTCTCTAAACAGGTAAATTGAGAGAGAGCGAAAGATACTTTAGATTAATTATTTAGGAAATTAAAAGATGCGAAGAAAAGAAAACAGAATAATTAGTAAAATTAGATAAACAGAGAGAGAGAGAGAGAGAAAATTAAATTAGAAAAGAAAATGAAGAAAATGAGGAAAAAAATGACAAGAGCTTTTCCATCAGAGCTTCAACTCTAAAGTCTTTTCCCTTTCGATTTTTTTTCTTCTCTTCAACCTGATCCTTCTCACTCGTTTCTCTCTCTCTCTCTCTCTCTCTTTCCTTTTCTCTTTCATTATCGGTCACCATGGTTACTCTTCTTTCCCCTCTCATCTTCTTCTCATCTTCCACTATTCTCTCTCACTGTTTTTCTTGTTTTCTTTCCTTGATTCTTGCATCATCTTTTTTTAAATTCTCTCAAAAGAATATTCTTTCTATCGAAAACTCTTCTAAATCCAAGAGAAAACTAAGATGATGATAATATCTTATGGATGGAAATGTGATGATGACTTTGGAAAATGTCAATTCGGAGAGAGAGAGAGAGAAACATATTAATATCTATGAAAGAAATTGATACCTAATCAATTAGGTTAATTTTCTATGATAAAAAGAAAACAAACTTCTCTTGAATGATTTACATTTTCTATCTAATTACTAATCAATAGACTAATTGGAATAACTAATTATCATCTCATCAAAATTTTCTCTTCTTCTCTCAATATGTGTTACCTATTTTTCTGTTCAATGTTTATCTCTTTTTCTTTTGTCATGTTATTGTTTTCATTTCTATTCTGAGTTTCCCTCTTCTTTCCAATTCTCTCACTTCTTCTTCTTCTTCTTCTTTTCTCTTCATGTGATTTATTTCTCACAATCAATTGATTCTCATAAGGAAATACAATTAATCATCTCTATTGGAGAAAAGTTACTTTTCTGTTCTATCATTTAAACTGTTGCTCTCTGTCTATTTCTCTTTATAATCTCTGTCTATGTTTCTAATGTTTTTTCTATTTTTTTTTTCTCTATTCTCTCTTTTGTTATTTTCTCTCTTCTCTCTTACCAGTAATTCTAAGACAAAGGGTATTTCTCTCTCAATGGATTATCATGATAAAAGATCAACAAGTTGTTACTTCAACCATAATTCTCACCATAGAATCCATTTTGTTTCGACTGTTGATCTGATTGATTTACTTTATTGTGATTAACTCTCATTCTCAACCCAAAATCTTATCTTTTTATTTTCCTTTCCAATTCCAATACATTAACCTAATCAGCTTTTCTCCCTCTCCCTCTCTCCATTTCATGTATTCTCCCTGCTACCTGTTGTCATTCTTATCATCATCATCCATTTTTATAGAGTTTTCGATAAGTTCCAAAACCAATAATCAATCAATGGTTTTTGATTATCGTTACCTCATTTTCTAGGTGAGTTCTCCCTTTCACATTCTTTGGTTACTCTCTCTCTCTCTCTCTCTCTCTTTAGATTGTCAGTTGATCAGAATTCTGTCATCATGTTATCAGGATCTTTTAAATTGGAAATCACTGAAGAGCAACTTGGGTAAATATAAATTCAAATTATGTGCTCATTAATTTACTGGATGTTCTCATAGAGAAACATAAAGTAGATTTAATTGGAATTTTGATTTTAAGCTTAGATTGAGAATCAAAAATACTGATGAGGATAAACACTAAATGAACAATTTAGTAAACATTTAAATGAGTAAATGAACATGATGGTTATGTTAATCAAGGAAACTCAATTTCTCATCAAATCAACAGCAACAACAATTGGACTTAGGCCAGGGAAAGAAAAATAGAAACAACGAAGGATAAAAGATGAAGAGAAAAGGGTCGCTGATGGAAATCCGGATAAACACCAAAAGAATACGGAAAATGATGAAAATTGATGAGAAAATTACTTAGAATCGAGAGAGAGAGAGAGAGAGAGAGAGAAGATGGATGTCTGGTGATTCCTCCATTTGTCTCTTGATCAAGATGACGATTGTCGATAATGTTCAATATTCGTGAGTCTTTAATGTGACATTTTCATCCTTTCAGTACATTTACTCAGTTTTTCTTGTTCCTTTTCCAAAGGTTGCATATTATTTACAGGGAAAAACTCACTATCATTTTCATTCATGTTTAGAATCATCTTAATCTTCATCAACCATGAAACCAACAACCAACATCAAGAATAACAATCTACGCTGAATTAACGACGTAAATTAAGATTCATCTATTTTTCATCATGTTTTTTTCTACCCCTTGGCAATTCAACAATATTATTACCAAAGTAAGCAAATTATTTTCTTCCACCATTAACCTAACATTTTTTTATTAGAATTTCAATATTATCATTAAATAAACTAAATTCTCTAATTGATGGTTATCATATTCTAGTTAATCTACCTCTCCATTTACTCACTATCCCTAATATTTGCATGATAATCTCTCTTCCATTCACTTTGTCATCCTCTGTTCTCATCAATTACAATGAGAGATCATCATAAGTACCGTTATGATGATTTAGAACCAAAATTGAGATGAACGAGAAAAAAATAGAACAGAAAACTTGGATTTACCTTGTTGTGTTCCACGTGATTAATCAATGGGTTTAATTGTTGATTAACATGGTTCATCTAATATTTGGTTGATCGGTCTTGCCAATTTCTGTTAATTAAGTTGCTAACAATTTAATCGGTTCAATTCAATTCTCAGTCCAGAAAATGTACTTTGTCAACTAATCCAATGATTAAATTGATGATCCATTGATTGGGTAACTATTGGTGATCCTTTTGTTTAGATTTTAAAACCAAAGAGAAAGTGATTAGCAACTTTAATCACAATTAAATTGTAACATCAGTTTTTCACTCTCTTTTCTAATCAATTTTAATCTGACAACAATTAACAAATATAATCAAATTCATATTCTATTCACACTTGTACATTTGGGATTATTTTTTTTCCTAACTGTCTAATAATCAGATAGCAGTGTAATTAAAACTGTTGATTAGCTAATCAAAATACTAAATTTTGTGTTTCTTTCCATCTTTATATTAACAATTAAAGTATCACACTGAGTTAATCACTTAATTATGATTATCCTGTTGACACTTGTCATGATAATTATTATCCTCATTTCTTGTTGAAATGTAATTTCCTTTTTCTTTCTGATTAACCAAAGTTAATCTTTAATAATCAACAATTTAATAGTTAATTTTAATCACTAATTCATGAGCACAATTAGTAAAATTTGACTCTATCAATATGTTAATACAAATACATTTACTTATATTGTTGTACTGTAAATCCCTCGAACCCACCGGCCGAGTAACCAACCTTTACAATCAATTAATTGCCTACCAACATTAAGATAAGTTAATTGTTGAACAAATTGTTATTATCACCTCAATTAACTTAATTTATTTGGATAATATTTGCTTAATTTAGTTAATTTTCTAAGTGTTTACATTGTAAAATCAGCGGGAGAGGTGAAACCATTTTGGTTACATTGTTATCGTTTTGTAAACCCGTTTGGTTTGATGGATATTTAATTAGCTAATCAATTATTATGTCCAATTTGAATTTGCAGGTTAAGTAAATAAATATCAATGGGCTATCATCACCATCATCATCATCATCCTCATCATCAACAATGTTATAAATTAACTGATCATCAATATGAGAAATTTCATCACGATTTCGACTATTACTCGGATTATCAATCGATCATGTTGAACAATAAAGATTAGGAAAATTATAATATCTCAAAATTTTTCTCGCTAATCATAACTTTGATTTTTCGCTCATGTTAATTGTTTCAATTAAATTGATGGAGAAAATATTAATGATACAACTTGAAGTTATAATTAATCAACTATGTTCAATGTTCATATGATCAATTATCAACTTAAGGAAATGTTGATTAGAATTCATCAATGAAGGTAAAAAGTAATTCAATCAATCAGAATTTTTTTCTTCTTCTTTTCTTCTAATTCTTTTCCTTTTCTCCCTTACAGGAACATTTATATTCTTAACATGATGTGAAGGAAAAAAATCAACATGAATTGAGAAATCAATCGATGAAGAGAGAGAGAGAGAGAGAGAGAGAGAGAAAATGTAACAATTTAATCAATGAACGTTAATCACTAGGAAAGTTTTACGGATTATCAGAAAATCACCAAATGAACACATAGTTTTTCACCTATGGGGTCAATAAGGAGATTAAACCAGTAGTGAGAGAGATGATGATGATGATGATGATTAGCCAAATATCAACAAGAGCCAAGAAAACATGAAGATGATTATGAAAATGATGATTAACATACACACAAAGTTACGAAGTCATCAAGGTAGGATAAAAAGCTAACTTACAATCAGGAACCTGTCATCACCAAGCGAATTGAAATTCTCATTGGAAAATCATCTTCTCATCTTGAACCACCTCCCTGCTCCTCATCATCATAATTAAATTGAGACTAATTTACTAATAGTTATACATTTCACAATCTATCAACAACAAGACAAAACTTTCATCGGCACAATGAGTTATACTTTTTTTTCACGTGAAAAACGTTTTGTTTTGGTCTTTAGCAGGTTATTAATTATCATCATCATCCATCAATTGATTGTAACTTTTTACCTTTCAACAGAGTTAAAAGTTGCTATTAATCACATAGAGTTACAGTTAATTAACTAATCCATTTTTCTATCTCTCTCTCTCTCTTACTTTACACTAACTAAACTAAATTGATTCTCAAGATTGATTATAATCAATCATAATCTTATCTATGCCCACCACAAGCATAAAGTAAGTAGAAACCTGTGATTATTTCATTAATTGTTACCTTTTATTGTGACTAATCATCAACAATTAACCACACAGTTAAATACTCACCCTATTTTTTTTATCTATTACCTGTAAAAACAGAACGATGCTAATCCCATAATGATCATGGATCAACTAATACAGATAATTGTTGACTTTTCTAGGAGAACAATTAAAAAAAAATTTTTTTTTCTACACACAATGAACAATGGAAAGTCAATTGAACAATTAATGGAACAATTTAATCTATGGATTTACCTCAAATGTATATGCCTCAATTATTGTCACTTTTAATTGTTTTCTCTCTCTCTCTAAAACATTGAGACCCAAAGGTTATTATTTAATTGCAATTAAGGAAAACAATCGTATTCTAGTATTGATACAATTACTATTATAATCAACCAAGAGTCAAGTCCAAAGCCCTCAAACGTTTTACTAACGATTAACTTTGTTGATTTTAATTGTTTCCCATTCTTTTTTTTCTCCATCATTTCTGAACAGTTGAACATCATTAACGTAAAGTTTTTCTCGATCATCATCATCATCAATAATCGAGGAGTAACTAATCAACTAAAATAATCTGAAAGCGAAGGACAAACCTGATGGTGAGAGAAAATAATTCTGACATGAATTGTGAAGCTAAAAGAATCTGAATAATGATAAATACTAACGAATGTAATAAAACATCGTTTTCCAGATTGGTCGAAATTGGTTTGGTTTCTATCAAGGGCAAAATCGTTTTAATCAGAATCAAGTTAATGTTTTTCTCTCCTTCTCTTGATTATCATCATCATTTAATTTCACTGATGATAATGATGATCAAGGGGATAACTTTGTTTGTTTGAGTGAGTAGCAAGATAAATGCTCACCCATAATCAAAGTTAACAAGTCTTCACACACACACACACACATAAACAGAGACACTCACGCAAATGATACTTTGAATGTTCTGACAATTTATCAATTTTCTCTTACATTTTCATCATCATCATCATCATTATCTTCTCATCATATTGAAAGTGTTTATTTCAAAGTTTCAATTTTCTTCTGAAAATTTCTCTTGAAACATTCTTTTGACAACTTTTTAATTTCTCACTCTAATCAGTTAACGATGAAATTTTATCTTCTCAAATATCAGAAAAATAACATTTTAAAATCACCAAAATAGTTCATAGGTGAGCATTTAATCAGATACTTATATTATATTATCACTTTCATCGTTAGCATCATCATCATCATCATCAAGAAGGAAAGATGATAAATATTATCATTAATATTCATGTAGTTAATTGATCAACCATTGGATTGAGAGAGAGAGAGAGAGAGACGAAATGTTCACCTAATATCATTTACTTCATCTTAATTTCTCTCGGTGAGAGAGTCAAATAGATGCTTAGAATGTTAATTATGATGATGATGATGATGATGAGATGAAACTGTCAACTAATTTACCAATGATTCTGATAATATTGATCTTATTTAACTTTTTCAAATGATTGTTTTCCATCAGATAAAATGTCTCTCATTGAACTTGTTAAGGTTTTTACCTTTTACTCTGATTAATTGGTCTCCTCATTATTAGATAAAATTTTGCAACAATCAATTTTGTTCTGATTGTTACAATTGATTAATATACTTTATTACCTTTTCTCCCTCTTTTATCATTAACAATTAACTAGATTAATCACTTTTTTTTTCTATGTTACCAGATTAATCTACCTTTCTAATCTACCTGGTTAGTACCTTTATCAAATCATTTGACTTGGATGATCGTGATTATCGTCATGACAATTAACTAATTTTTCTGGTTAAATTTCAAGTGTTTACCAGATCAATAATTGTTGAGATTCACGATTTTCTCAGCGAAAGTTGCAAGCAAAACTTTAAATGCTACAGGCAAAGAAAAAATATCGTTCCAACGATCTCAAAAATCTTCAATCGAACCATCGTCATAGGTGGACAGGGTTAAAGTTCATCGACTAACGAAAAATGACCCAAAAAGACCGAAGAAAAGAAAGAAATGAAAGAGGAAAACGGAATTGATGAGGGAATTGTAATGAAGAAAAGGGATTAAAAGTGAGTCGATTATGTTGATCGTCCGAACGAAAAATCCATGGATAATGTTGATCGCAGTTCCATTGTAATTATTGCTATTCAGTGAGAATTTAACTGTTAAATGTCAATTTTAATTGCGATTTAATTAGATTGCGATCTGAGAAATTGAAGGTGACTTTTTTTTCCTGTGATAGTTATTAATTAATCTCATCTTTCTGTCCCAAAGTTTATCATGAGACTAATTATGTTTAATTATCACAACAATTAATACCTGTATATACCCACAATAATGTAAAGTTGGTGATTAAGTTGGTTGTTCATTATAATTATGATTACACTCTGATTGATTGTTATTATTATTATATTGAAAACAACTCAATGTCAATTGATTATCATTTAATTAACCATATTAGTTAATAAATATTATAACGAAAATAGATTTACATGGGTTTTAATTGCAGTTTGTATTTAATATGACAATTAAATATAATTAATTTGATTGGTTGATTTAAATTGTCAAATCGGAACCAAATTAACCTTCAATTTTTACTCGTTGTAATCATTAATTTAATCAAGAATTGAAATTAATCAGTGAATCAATTTGTTTAACTGTCACCTTTCATGTCGTTAATTATGTTTTCTAACTTTTAGTTAATCAACTAACTAACTAAAATTTTTGATTACAATTGATGATAAGATAATTTTGATCGTAGTTAACAAAATACACCAACTTAATTAACTGATTAACCATTACAATTAGATTAATCATTGACACATGAGCATGGAAAACTGAAAAACCTCAAAATCAAGAGACAAATTAACTAATCAAGTTGATGAGTGTAAACCAAATAGTCTGAGAGTTAATTGTTGGTCAAATTGTTTGTTAAACTAATTTAAATATCAAACAAATTGGCTGACAGAAATTGTAGATAAACTAAACTGAATTAATTTAAATCGTCAGTTTAATTTTTTATTAATCATCTTGATGACTTGTTAACAATTAGCCTGGAAGGTAAAATTACAATTGTAGCTATTAAATAGTAACAATTAACTATACAATCCTTTGATTGCAAACCATTACTCCTAAACCAGTGCCTAAAAAAATGAAAACAAATCACAACAATTAAAATAAATTTACCTTTCCAAGGTTAGTTAACAATTAACATCGTGAGTCGTGAATAAAAAACAAATCATCATTAAATAATGTTAATTAAAGTAAATCAGTTAACAATTAACAATTATAAATAACCAGTAATCAAAACCAACGATCAACAAACCAATTTTGGGATAAACAATCAAATGATAATCATAACCATTGTAAATACACACAATCAGAATCAGTTAATTGTTGTGATAATTTGTCCTCTCTCACTAGATAATCAATTTTAATAAAATTGTTAACCAGTTAACTACAGTTTAATATGATTACATTTAAATGGATTCACTTGACAATTAAAGGTAACAAGAAAACAAAAGCAAATGAATATATAAATATATAACTAATTAGAGACTAAAAATTGATTCTTAAAATTTAATTATCTTAATTGCCTTGAGGGTGATTAAGAGAAATTTCTTCTTGTTGTAAATCCATCATTTATAGTTAATTTGATGATAGATTATGATCGAGAAGAGGATGAAAAGTTAAATCAAGTGAAAATCCATTGGAAAATATTAACTAGACAAGACCCAGTTTCTTATATTATTAATATAATTAAAGGGACGATGAGTTAACAATCAAGTTTTTCAGTTATTATAATCATTAAATTAATATTATATTCAACTGATCATCAAAACTAATCAAAATAAACATCTAACTAGTTAACTAACTACAGTCCTTGAAAATAATATAACATGATGGGCTATGAAACCATTTACATTGAAGGTAAAAAACAACATCAACTAGAAAACTGGATTTAACTAAATTAATCATTCAAAGTAAATTGTTATTTTCATCGTTATGTTAATCAAATTAAATTTAACTGTGTATTTCATTCAATTTTTTTTTCTACCAACAATTAGCTGATCATTTTCATTCATTCATCAACTTGATACAATTTACTTATTATAATTATTATTGTTTACGATTTAGTTTCATACTTTCATCAGATTGTTAATTGTTGATGATTAGTTTTCATTTTGTTTTTTCTTACAAAATTATTTTCTTTTTTTGATTAATTGCTGATTAGTGAACCTCTTAATTGTCAACAATTAAATTGTCCGCAAATGTCTTAAATTGTTTGTGTACTTATCCGTTTATTTTAGTTGTTTGTTTTTGCTAACTGTTTATATAATAATAATTAACACACTTGAAGACAATTTAATTACATTAATTTGATTTTGATTTTATTGATTAGTGAATTAATCAATTGGCACACCTTAACAATTAGTGAATATCATAACCTTGATTAGCTTATTATTATTAATTAGAAGGTGATTTGTTTGAATATTATGTTGATTTGATATCAAATTATAAAATATCGAGTAACAATTAAATCAACAATTAACTAATTGCATCTATATAATATGGGATTTTTCATTTCTATTGGGATATCTCATGATAATTTAATCGGTTGAAATTTTATTTGATCACTGCAACAATTAAAAGTACACATAATCATTGTTTACTTACCTAGAGTTAATTAGATCACTTGACAAGTTAATTATTGTCAAAAAAAATTAGCAAATTAATTAAAAACAATAACTTGTAATCAAAACCATTTCATATTGTCTGTTTTTATTACCTGTCGATGATTAAGTTACAATCAATTGAGACCTTGAAAGATTAACTTTAATCAATTGATTGCTGTGTACTAATTAACCCTAATCGTGAAATTAATTTTAATCATGATCAAAATCATGATAATAATGAATGAAAAAAAAATTGGATTGGTGATAAAATCAAATTGCTTCAACGTTAAGAAAAAGTAATAATAATAATTTAAATTGTAATATCTTCCGATTAATGAGATTAAGATGATTAATTAATTAAATCTCGTGTCTATTGCAAGTTAATATTAAATCAGATTAACTGATTGTTGATTAACAGTGAAAATTTTAACAATGTTACTTTTTTGTTTCCAAATCTTATCTTAATTGTTGATTGAAGCTCGAAACTTTGATCATAAATTAAATCATCAAAGATTAAGTTCTCATGGTAATTAAGTCATGCACATTAAGAAAAACTTAATTGTAATAATAATTAACATTGTATCATCTTCACTATGTATTAATTGTGCCAATCAAATGTCAACAATTTAAATTAGAAACGTGATTTAATCAAACTAAACAATAATAATATCCCAAGGTCTGTGAAACTTTGCCAGTTAATTGTTATGAGTTTATTGTAATTTCCAATCACAATTAAACATGAAAAGTAAACAAATCTGTTAATTATCATAATTTAACCTAAACATGTAATCGTCTAGTTATTGATTATTATAACAATTAGTGGTAATTGTTACAAAAATGATAATATAAACTCCCAACCTAAAAGTGCCAATCAGTTAATATCATTGGAAACCTAAACCTGAAATTATTATAATAATTACAGACAAAGTGAATTAAAAAATTAAATATCAATCAAAGTTGATCAATTATTTTTTGAACAAATCACTGCCCAACAATTAAGTTAATAACAAGGTTTAACATTTGTAATAAAATCTATTGGTAATATTAACCTTTAACCTCAGTAACCAAATTAAAATAGTCTCATGTTGATAGGTAACAATCAACAATTGTAACTGATACATGTTATTATTACATAGAAATTGAAAATCAGTGTTTAAACAATTTTGATTAATCAATTCTATTCATGTAGCAATCAAATTGACCATTGATAATTGATCATACTCATTGTTAATCACACTATCTAATTACTACTAATCATCACATATCAAAATACAAATAGTAATATAAATTGTTGATAATCATATCTAATTGTTGGACAACCAACAATTATAACCATTTGTAAGTAAAAAAGTTAACAAATTCACTTCACAATTGATCAATTTAACTTCAAATCATCAAATTAAATTTGATGATCAAGGTTGATTGGTGAACCATTTTAATTTAGATTGATGAGTATATAAAAGTATACTAATATTAATAAACATGTTAACAATATTTACCAAGTTGATTGACATGATATTTAGAAGATGAATATTCAAATGTAATGGTCAGTTTTACTTTTAACTTGGACATTGATCTTTTCCTAGTGATTATCCTCATCCTCTCTCATCATCTTTATCCCAGTAAATCCTGTTTTCCTTGTCGGAAAGATACAAACAACAAACAGAAACTTGTATCTGTCAAGTTTACTCCTAATGTTATACTTACCTTTTTTTTTTAGAAAAAAAAAGAAGATTAATTCTTACCTGTAACTTACCTGTGAGCGTTTAAAATTGTCGCCGATAAAGTTGATCATCATTATCATTAACAGTTAACAAATTCATTGAACAAAAGGAAACAAAAACACAACAAGAAAATTTAACATCAACAGGTAACCATAACATAGACTTACGCCCTTTAAAAGTGTCTCAATTATTTACGCTTACAACTGACCCAATTCATAGTGAATCATCATCATCATCATCATCATCATCATCCCTTCTTGTCATCTTCATCCTTGGAAGATGATCTACTCAACTTCATAAGATGACCAACCCTTTAAAAGGACTGGACACTAGTCTATTATTTTTCCCTTGGAAATGATAAAAAAGACTAAATAATTTTCTCGTTAATCATAAAACTTTTTTCCTTTACTTAATTGTTAAGGTTCCTTGTTACTTATTAACTATAATTGTGTTAATTGTTATAACTTTAACTATACCAATGGTTTTCTTAATGATGATAGTAATAGTTTGTTTAGTTAATTGTTTTTTTACCTTCTCCTGTTGATTGTTTAATGATTAATTAACTTCGCTTTTTTTTATTCCAATAAATTAATCCATTGATTGATACTTGATTATTATATTAACCATTGTGACGATAGTTAAGATTGAAACTAATTAGCTGACTTGTTAAGTATGGCTCTTGATTAACAATAATCTTAAATCATGTGTCAATAATAACCTGAAGCCAATAAATTAATCAAATTAATGTTGGTTAATTGGTTAGTTAATCAACGAAAAAAAAATTTTACGATTTTTTTTTTACTTTTTTTAACCTTCCATTGCATTAATTAAGTTATAAATGGGTTGTAATTAAAGTGACAATTAACCATTTTGATTATGATTAACAATTTTCAATAATGTATTATAATCATTTAAATATTTAGAGGTTTAATTACAATCATCATTTTTAAATTGTGATGATTCAATTACAAACCAAAGAGCAAGAAAATTTTGAAATCAACAATAAAAATCAATATTAAGATTTGATTTTAATGACAATTTATTAATTTTTAGCGCTAAAAGTAATTTAATTACCAATGAAAAATTCACGTTGTGTATCAATTAACATTTAACTATGATCTAAATTGTTGGCACATCATTGGATTGAATCATTTAATCATTCATTTGATTAAAATCTTGACAGTTTTTTTTTACCAAATTGCGACAATTAAAATTAATCAAGGTCATAATTGAGATTAGCTAATTCTTAGATTTCATATAATAGTAATTCAATTGCTGTCTGGGTTAAATTTCCCTAAACAATTAGAGTTTAATACTGGTTATTACTATCAAATGATCAGTAAATTGTCCTTCATTGTAACTGATGATCATCATAATCATCATGATAATGATTACGAAGCCAATTGAAAATTAATTTTGATCATTCAATTAAATTTCAATGGTAAATTGTTAATCTCTGGTGTTTCTTATTCAACACCAAGGATAAATTTGATTTGGATTGATTAGTTTAATTATCTAGAAACAATTTTGAGTAAAATTAATACTACCAAGTATTCAATTGATTATATAGCAATTTCATTGATAATTATGATGTAGTATTAATCATAAATAAGATTCTTAGTTGATTAAATAACAATTTGTTAACAATCAAAAAAAAAACTAGACAATTAAAATTGATTGTGGTTAGTTATTAAATCTCAATGTTGGGTTTATCCAAATACTAATATTTAATTGTTAATCCTTTTTGTTTTTTTCTCAATCAAATGATTACTTTAAGGGAAAGTAAATGAAGAAAAAGTAATCAATAAATTGTTACAATTTAATCCGATTAACTTTGACACTTTGTAACGGAAGTTGAATCAACTTATAGCAATTAAATGTTCAATTGTGATGGTTAATTGTTAATCATTTTTCTGACTTAACTATTGCCCTTGGAATAGAAAATTTTATTATTATTATTTTTGTAACGAGAATTTAAATTATCATGATTATTATTATTATTTCAATGATTAAATTGTTGTATTGATTATGACAGAAAGAAACACTAATCATAATGAGAAAGTGAAATAATCCAATTAAAGTTTGTTAATTTGTTGATTCGGTTTAACTTTTTCTTTTTTTTATCAATATTATTAATATAATTAAGTTAATCCAGTGATTTCTTATGAATATAAATTGAAAAACATTTTACCTCATACAGGGTAACTTATCATTAGAATCATTTAATTATTGGTCAAGTTTAAGGTTGATCCTTTTCTTTGCTCTCTAGGATTGACCATTAGCCTTAAGAGAGATACAATTAATGATAATTTATATGAGGTCAATTATTGGGGTCAACTAAAAGTTGCTATTCTCTCTCCTCGTTAGTGGTTGATAACTTGTTGGTCTAATCTCGATGTGAGGTGAGTTTCCATGGTTACGCATCATGCATTTCATCATGTCAATAATAAGGATGAAGGGAGAGAGATAAACGCTTAAAGTGATTACTGTTGATCATCTTTATCTCTTATCCTTGTTATTTCATCAGTAACTTACTCAGGTAATATCACTTTTTTTGATTATAACGATGAAATAATGTCTCTTTCAATGTTACTGAGTTACTTATCTCTCACTCTCTCACTCTCTCACTCTCTCTCTCTCTCTCTGTCTATCATTTAACTATCATTACTACTGGTTGTTTCTTTTTCTCCTTTGGATTGAGTTTATGTTTTCCGTTCCATGGCCTTGATTATATCTTGTTTAGCGAATCGTTTTATTATAAAGAGATTTAAGAGAAAAAGGAGAGACAGAAGAAGAAAAGTTATTCACAGAAAATGAGACAAGGCTTTATAACCAGAGAGAGAGAGAGAGAGAGAGAGAGAGAGAGAGATGTTTTTTTCTAAATTACTCACTCCCTGTTTTCTTTCTCTATCTCTATCTTCATCTTCAGGCTCTTCTTCTCATCTTTAAAACTCATCATCATCATCATCATTTTCTTCTTCTTCTTCTTCTTCTTCACCGTCCAGACTATAATGTTGATGTTCAATTGACTCGACAAACAGCATTCCAAAGGTTTAACTGGTATTAGAAAAGAAAACGGGATTGTATTTATTGCCCATGAAGGAAAAAGCAAAATCCACCGATCGATGACCAATGGTGAGTAAAGTAAATAAGTTCTAGGAGAAAGAAATAGAAAAAGTCAAAATATTTGGTCACCTTAAATTTCACCTTTTGGTACCAACAGCCTTTGATCGAATCTTCCTTTTACCTTGGCATTTACTAGCATGTTAATCCTCATTCGATAAGCGGATTAGTTAATCTTCACATCATTTATTACAAGTTAATGAAAAAGTGATAAATCTTCATTCGTAAATCCTAAAAATAAAACGTTTAAAACTTTCGTTTTCATGAACCTTTTTAATTATCTCATAACATTACGATGGTCAGAAAGTTTTGCACGAAAAACTGACCGAACCAATAAAAATGCGATAAAGTCAAGATCATCATTCGTATTGGATAATACTTTCTAAGAATATTAAATTCACAGTTTTCTGCGCCAAAATAAGTCGAAAATCATAACCGAACCAGGACAGAAAACGCAACCTGACATGACCTAAATTCGAAGTATTTTAGACTTGTATCAAAAATGTTCTTTTCATCATTTTTTTGGTAGATTTTAGAATATTGATAAAAAGTTGATATTTTCTCTTTGTTCTGCAGCAAATTCAATAATCAGCTAATCATGTTTACAGAAAATTTTCAATTTATATTCAGTCTTTTTCAAAAAATTTCCACAGGCTCAATAGGGCGAAAAATTTTTCACTTTTTCGTCCAAAACTTTTTGATTTACTTTTTAAACTCCTCGAACTAAATTATCAACAGTTGGATTTTCATCGTGGTGCCATCTCTTTTGAAACGACAGAAACTCGTGAACCAGATTAATTGAGATTAAGGAAATCAGATTATTAATTGAACACAGTCAAAGTCCATGATTGTTTATTAAACATAAATTGTAATGGAAACAAGATTAATCTTTTAATTGTATCCTTTGTTTTCCATGATATCAATATGGTATTAATGTAAGTAATAAATAAATTGTTTCGTTTGATGATATTAAATGCACTTGTTTTCAATCAATATATTTACAGTAAATTGATTTTTGTTGAAACTTAATCAAGGTGAGATAATTTGTTCTGATCAATTAATTATCTGTGGTTGAATTAAGAAACCGTTTGAACAGTCTAAGGATCGGTTACTTGAGTCATGGCAGTTTCAATGATGGCTGGTCCAGTTGAGCCATTTTCGTAATCAGAGTCAGTCGTTTTCTTTTGCCATTGAGATCGAGTGAAAAATGTCCAACAGAAAACGCTAAGTGGATATAATTGGAAACAGGCCATAAGAATTAATATAGTTCCAGGGGCTCGATCAATTGTAATACTGAAGACGGAAGTGTAAAGAAATGTCGATCCAAGTGAGATGTAGTTTTCCAATGCCGTTGATAAAGCAAAAACTTGGGCCGTTTCCGCTGGTTCGACAACCGAAGTGATCAATGTTCTAACAGAAGCATTCGCAAGACGACTAAAAGAACCAAGTAAATAGCCAGCGATGTAACCAGGAACGGTCAAGAAAACACCTCTAACTAAGAAGAATGACAAAACTGACAATGAACCGATAATCGCCATAGTGGGATCAGAGAGACCAAGAAAAGTTCTGAACAAAGTTGGACCAACAGAAGTTAATATTGAAGGTATTATGCTGGCTAGAGAAAACATTGAAGTATATTGACTTTCTGATAATCCATAAACACGCTGAGCAAATTGATAAGCGATACCATCTTCACCAAGAATTGCCGCTAAACTAATTGCTCCTGAAGTGGCCAAAGCGCTAATCGTAATCGCCCATTGTTAGGACGTTTAGCAAGAAAAATGGTCGCTGGTTGTTTCAATCTGGAAACTTTGAAAACATCCTTGAATACACCACGGAAAGATAGCTTATCCTTATCCGGGTCAGTTTTGGGTGTAAACTCAAAGTCCATGCGAAAAGCGGCAATAGTACCAATCAGCTGAACCGTTAAACCCAAAAGGAAAACACCAATATAATTTTTAGGCTGCCCCTTTATCCAAGGATCCATTGCTAATACTTTCCCTCCAACAAACGTAGCCATTAAAATTGCTTGAGAAATCAAGAAAATTAGATTAGAAATCGATTCGATAATTGTTGATCATTGTGAGACTTACCCATTTGGACAACAAACTCGATTACTGCGAACCGGACAATCACTAAATTGCTTGGTGTTGACCATGAAATATATGTGTAAGCAGAAGTAAAAATTAAACTCAAACCGCCAGCAATTGACAAGGGAATATAAGACAAGAGATCAACCACCAATCTAAATAAAACAATTTATCCAAACGAACGATTAACTAATGAGTGATTTTCCTTAGTTGAGGATTTTACTTACGTGCTGAAAAGGCCAACGAGTTGATTAACAGAAGTGCATTCATACAAACGGCTGAAATCAATGGCAAAATGACCATCGCCTTCATGTATTTTGGATAATTACCTAACCAGTACCCAAGAAAAATGGACACAACCAAAGCTGGACCATTGAGTATAGCGAATTGATAATTTTTGAACATATTTGCCTTTCGCAAAATCAACTTGGTAGCACTTTCGTTATAATGGACACTGGTCAGTTTTAGACAGAAATCTTCATCTAGACCAAGCTGATTTCGACACATCTTATCCTCCATCAGTTGAAGTACCGTTACATTTTGCATCATAAAACCGAAGACGAAAAACATTAAACATAAATCAACTTTCATGAGTTTAAGGAAATCAGTGATTACTTTGAGATCCATTTTTAAGTTAATTGTTAACAATTAGCTGGTTTTCTTTCACCGATCGATTAGTCTGAATGAATAGAATCAAATTGTTACTTTTATAACAAGATGACTTTTTCCTTTCAATGTAATTTAGGATTAATTTAAGTCACTTGATTAAGATTTCGGGATTAAATGTAATGATAACTAATCAATTGATCAGATGAATTCATGGATTGGTAACTAATGATCAAGGAATTGTATCTGATTGTTAGTTGAAACAATTAAGTGAATTAGTAGTCGACTAATTTTCAAGGCACATTTAATTTCTTGGTTGTTTTTTAAATTGTAAACGAGTAATTTGATTACCAATTGTTAGTCATTATATTGTTTAATAAACTTTAATCATTAAACAAATATTATTAGTTAGTATAAATTGTTATTGAGATTGTAAAGTTTACTAATCATGAATCAGTTTCCCGTTGGTTATGTTTTTTGACAATTTTTCGTTACAATTAATATTTAACTTTGTTTATAATTGTCACTTGCGTCATAACAATTAATCAATAATAATAAAAGGTTAGATTGATTATTCGTTTCATGATTGTTAATCATTAAACCTTGTAAATTACAAGTCTAATTGTGATTATTTGATGATTTCGGTGTAAACGATTTACAAGTTCAATTGTATTAATTAGAAAGTTATCAATCAATTATTCTTGATCCAATTATAATCTTAAAAAGTTATAAAAAAACTTTCCCAACTATTATCGTAAACGGTAAATAATTAAGATCAATTTATCTAACTGCTTAATAAGAATTAAAAGTTTAACATACTAATCGTTATGAGCAATAATAAGAAAGGATTAACCTGATTAATTAACTCGATCTCAATGCAAAGAAAAGCAAAAAGTTATTTCTCGATTACGAATTGATTAAAATTCGTGAGTTGAATAAAAACGACAAAAGATGGAGCCACTAAAGAGTAAAGTTTGTTAACAATCATTTGGGTTTCTAGGTGATTAAGATAATTTCTTGACTGAATCAATAGTTTTAGTTGATAGAAATGAAAATTTAAAAAGTTAAATTAAAAATATCGGTCATTTAATGTTTGTTTAAAATAACATGAGAAAAAAACTAAAACCGAGTTAATACATCGAGAGGATCCAAAAGCGTTACAATTGCTCTTCGAAGATCATCTGGTTTAACTTGATAGGGACGAAGCGCTAAACCAAGTCGCCTGTCTACAATTCGAGCTGTATTATCAAACTGATCTCCAAATAACGGTAAAAGTAACATTTTCTTACCGAAATAAAGACATTCAATTAGTGTATTGTTACCACCATGGAATATGACTAAATCAACCAGATGAAGAATTTTCAATTGATTCAAATATTCAGACACAATTGATGATATTAAAGGTACTTGTTTTAAATTAAATGTATTTACGGTAAATTGATTCTTGTCTTGACTTAATCAATGTGTGATGAATTTGATTTGAGCAATTAATTATCAGCGATTGTTTGAAAACAGCTTGAACAGTCTAAGGATCGGTTACTTGAGTCATGGCAGTTTCAATGATGGCTGGTCCAGTTGAGCCATTTTCGTAATCAGAGTCAGTCGTTTTCTTTTGCCATTGAGATCGAGTGAAAAATGTCCAACAGAAAACGCTAAGTGGATATAATTGGAAACAGGCCATAAGAATTAATATAGTTCCAGGGGCTCGATCAATTGTAATACTGAAAACGGAAGTGTAAAGAATGTCGATCCTAGTGAGATGTAGTTTTCCAGTGCAGATGATAAAGCAAAAACTTGGGCCGTTTCTGCTGGTTCGACAACCGAAGTGATCAATGTTCTAACAGAAGCAGTCGCAAGACGACTAAAAGAACCAAGTAAATAGCCAGCGATGTAACCAGGAACGGTCAAGAAAACACCTCTAACCAGGAAGAATGACAAAAGTGACAATGAACCGATAATCGCCATGGTTGAATCAGAGAGACCAAGAAAAGTTCTGAACAAAGTTGGACTAACAGAAGTTGATATTGAAGGTACTATGCTGGCTAGAGAAAACATTGAAGCATATTGATCTGCTGATAATCCATAAACACGCTGAGCAAATTGGTAAGCGATACCATCTTCACCGAGAGATGCCGCTGAACTGATTGCTCCTGAAGTGGCCAACAGCGCTAATCGTAATCTCCCATTGTTAGGACGTTTAGCAAGAAAAATGGTCGCCGGTTGTTTCAATCTGGAAACTTTGAAAACATCCTTGAATACACCACGGAAAGATAGCTTATCCTTATCCGGGTCAGTCTTGGGTGTAAACTCAAAGTCCATGCGAAAAGCAGTAATAGTACCAATCAGCTGAACCGTTAAACCCAAAAGGAAAACACCAATATAATTTTTAGGCTGCCCCTTTATCCAAGGATCCATTGCTAATACTTTCCCTCCTACAAACGTAGCCATTAAAATTGCTATCAAGTAATTAGAATCATATTAATAAATTGCATCGACAATTGTTATATTGTTGTGTACAAATGGTTCGAGATTAGATACTTACACATTTGTACAACAAACTCAACTATTGCGAACCGGACAATCACTAAATTTCTTGGTGTTGACCATGAAATATATGTGTAAGCAGAAGTAAAAATTAAACTCAAACCTCCGGAAATTGACAAGGGAATATAAGATAAGAGATCAACCACCAATCTAATTAGTACAAATCCAAACGAACGATTAACTAATGAGTGAGATTCCTTGGTTGAGGATTTTACTTACGTGCGGAAAAGGCCAACGAGTTGATTAACAGAAGTGCATTCATACAAACGGCTGAAATCAATGGCAAAATGACCATCGCCTTCATGTATTTTGGATAATTACCTAACCAGTACCCAAGAAAAATGGACACAACCAAAGCTGGACCATTGAGTATAGCGAATTGATAATTTTTGAACATATTTGCCTTTCGCAAAATCAACTTGGTAGCACTTTCGTTATAATGGACACTGGTCAGTTTTAGACAGAAATCTTCATCTAGACCAAGCTGATTTCGACACATTTTATCCTCCATCAGTTGAAGTACCGTTACATTTTGCATGATGAAACCGAAAAAGAAAAACAATAAAAATAAATCAACTTTCATGAGTTTAAGGAAATCAGTGATTATTAATAATTTGAGATCCATTTTAAGTTAATTGTTAACAATTTACAATTATCTGGTCTTCTTTCATCAATCGATTAGACTGAAATCAAACGGAATCAAATTGTTACTTTTATAATAATTTCGACTTTTACTTGTAATTTCCAATGTAATTTAGGATTAATTTTAGTCACTTTGATTAGTATTTTGGGATTAAATGTGATCGTAATCAATTGATCAGATTCTTGGTAATTTATGATCATTTGGATTTGGATTTGGATTTGAATGTCAGGTAAAACAATTAATTGTTGTTATTGTAAGAAAGGTTTACTAATCATGAATCAATTTCTGTTGATAATGTTTTGAAAACTTTTTGTAACAGCTAATACTTAACGTCATCAACAATTGTAACTTTGCGACATAGCAATTAGCTAACAATAATAATAATAAAAGGTTAGATTGATTGTTGATAATCAAATCTTGGGAATAACTAAGTTGCATTGTGATTATGTGTTGCTAAAAATTTTTCGTAGAAAAGATTTACAAGTTCAATTGTATTAATTAGCAAGTTATCAAATACAATATTATAAATACAAAATTATCAATTAATTATCGTTGATCCAATTATTATAACCTTTAAAAAGCTAGCAAAAACTTTTCTAATTATCATAATTCACAGGAAATGTTGTTGATATCATTAATCGTTGTGAGCAATAATAAGAAAGGATTAACCTGATTAATTAACTCGATCTCAATGCAAAGAAAAGCAAAAAGTTATTTCTCGATTACGAATTGATTAAAATTCGTGAGTTGAATAAAAACGACAAAAGATGGAGCCACTAAAGAGTAAAGTTTGTTAACAATCATTTGGGTTTCTAGGTGATTAAGATAATTTCTTGACTGAATCAATAGTTTTAGTTGATAGAAATGAAAATTTAAAAATTAAATTAAAAATATCGGTCATTTAATGTTTGTATAAAATAGTGCGAGGAAACAAATACAACTGGGTTAATGCGTAGTCAATGCGAGAATTTCACTTTGATTCTTGAAAATGTGCATATTTGATTCTATTTCTTCAATTGCTTTTTCAAATGAATTAGATTTTTTCAGATTATTTGAAATGGTTGTTAATTGATTATGTAAAGCATCATCATCCAAAAGTGTTACAATTGCTCTTCGAAGATCATCTGGTTTAACTTGATAGGGACGAAGCGCTAAACCAAGTCGCCTGTCTACAATTCGAGCTGCATTATCAAACTGATCTCCAAATAACGGTAAAAGTAACATTTTCTTACCAAAATAAAGACATTCAATTAGTGTATTGTTACCACCATGGAATATGACTAAATCAACCAGAGGAAGAATTTTCAATTGATTCACATATCCAGATCCAATTGCATTGGGAGGTAAATTAATCTTATCACCATTTGGACCTTTCGAGACGATATATTGATAGGGTGTGTCCTTGAGGATTTTGAGTATTATGTCCATTAGAACGATATCAGCTGATCCCATGGTACCAAGAGTAAAGTAAATTTTGGGCGATTGTGGTTTTAAGGCTGTTAAATCTAAGCCAAGTGGATCAGGATCAGCTGAAAATGGTCGGATACAATGGTCAATTCGAGACCATCTTCTCAACGGGAAACCCGGTATTTCACAATAATCTAAAGCCAATGGATAAATGTAGATATTATGATAAGGTGATGCAACCCATAATCTATTGGGGGGTAACTTTAATCCTCTCTCAGCTGCATATGTGTGTAACTTGTGACAAGGTCCAGAAAGGGCTACTCTAAATCTCCTCTTGAAATCATTCCAATTACAATTACTATCAGTTATTGAATAGCCTGAGTAAAAGGGTGGACCATCAATCAGTTGATAGATACTCAATGGATTAGCAGAGACAACACAAATCCATGGGATGTTTGCTAAAACGATCGCTGGAACTGCCACATAATAATCGGCAAACATTAAATCAGGTTTCACCTCTCTAATTATCTTCTCCAATTGATCATTAACATCAATCACTGTGTTCACAAAGTCATCATGAAATACACCCTGAAGCCAAGCCTGTTCAATTGGAGTCTTATGGAAATGAACAGCATTTCTGGCCATTGTTTTACTCCATCGTTCCTGTGGATCTTCATATTCATCAAAAGCGGGATTTATAATATAATGTATCTTAAATGGACTCGCGGCAACGTATTTGGCAAAAGATTTTGAGACCACAAAGGTAATATCATGATGTCGCTTGAGAAACCGATAGGCCAAACCAATCATGGTCAGTACATGACCAGTACTGTAAGAGAGGGAAAGAGAGACAAAAAGTTATTGAAGGTGAAAAAGGTCAAGGTGTAAAGTAAAAAAAAAGTCGATTACCCTTCCATTGGCATGAACATCATTTTGTACCGTTTCCTGGGCTCACTTGTTGATTGACTTGTTGATTGACTTGTTGATTGACTTTTAGATTGACTTGTAGATCGACTTGTAGATGGACCTGTAAATGGACCTGTAGATTTACTTGTAGATGGAATGGGTTCCATTGTTTTCCTTAATCACTTGACGACAATTAAATAACAATTAAACATAAAAGATTTTTGTTAAAATATTGATTGATGTTGATTTAATTACTCTGTTGATCTTCAAGAGATACAAATAAAAAATAAACTTTTCTCTGAGTTTTTCTGAAAATCTCATCAACACTTTGAAGTCGTTTCACTTAATCTCTTTATTTATGTTTCCTCGTCAGATTAAAACAATTAAAATTCACTTTTAAACCTAATTGGTTTGTTCTTTTGTGATTGAATACAATTAAAACCAATCAGTGTAATAGTTAAGAAAAGAGGAAATCAATCATGAAACATTTGATTAAAGGCTATTACCCTTGAGAGGTAACTAATCACCTCTCATAATGTATTAAAAGATAATCTCTCTTTGTTAATCTGTTTCGCAATTTTCATCTCTCTTTCTCTCTCTCTCTCAATTTCCACTGTCGAATTGATTTATCTAACAATGATAGATAGTAGTGTTCTTCCTTATTCTCACATTGGAAGGTGAGAAAGTTACAATTTACTAATTGTTAGCAATCAAAGTAACAAATCAAACATTTAAGCGAACTCCAAGTTTTGAAATCGAATCGTTCAAACTATTATAATCATATGCTCGAGTACAGATAGAAATGTATTCAACGAGAAGAGATATGAAGGAATAATTAATTTCTTTATTAACAATCAAACAACCTAACGACTCTTGGTGATAATTAATTAATGGTAAAAAGCTATTAATCAACTAATCATTAGATTTAACTAATGATTGATTTTTGAAAGTTGTTGTTAAAAGTTTTCCATTCAACTAATATTGTTTATTGAAATTGATCATAAATTAAGGTGATTATCATTAATATGCTCTCGTAGTTAATTAATTTTGAAGCTCCTTAATCACTGTGACTAAGCAGATTAACTTAATTTTTAATTTTTCGTTTAATTAAACACAAAAAAAGTGCCGTTAAAAGAGTTGAAAACTCGACAATAGATGGAGCCACTAAAGAACAAAAAACTTTTCAACTTTTAATTTAACATCTAAAGCTAAATGATTTAATTAATTGTTTGCTTAATGGTTGAAAATAAATTGATTGATTGTTGATTAATTGATGAAGATAAAGGATCAAAGAGTATGGAAAACCTTGAACAGGATTTGAATTTGAATTTCTATTTATAATCTAATCAAATTGAAGTTTTTCTTTCACGCTTAATTGTGATCAGACTATTTGATTGTTGTAAATTTATCATTGGATTGTAATTACTAATAAAGCTGAATAAATTTAATCACTCAATTGGTATTTAACTGGCTATATAGTTGATTGGAAAAGTGAAACAATTAAGATTTTTTTTGATATTGAAAGTGATTGTAATTGGTTTTTAATCACAATTTGATTTGATTCGTAATTAGCAAGGCTTTTCAAATGAATGCTTAATTACTGTTAACAGAAATTGAATCAACTCTGTAATAATAATAATGATTTTAATTGTTTCACTCAACTAATAATTGAGTAAACTGAAATGAAATTGTTAACAATTTACAAATATTAGACAAACAATCAAATGTTGTATTAATATGAATCAAGAAATTTGCTAATTATTCATCTGGCTTAATAATCATGTTTATAAATTTTAAATTGTTACACAATTAAAGACAATATTAACCACTGTTCATAGTAACAATTTAATCAAAATGATGTATTGATACACAAAGATGACTGTTGATTGTCACAATTAAGATAAATTAAGATGAAAAAAGAGGACAAATTCATCATCTTATTTAAATGTAAAGTTAATTATAAATCAACTAATTCATTGATAATCTTTCATCGTCATCATTACAATCAACTGAATTGAAACCATATGGAAAAATGAATCAACAATTTATCATAATCATCATCAATTAATCAAGTAACAATCAACACAGATTAACCATTGAGAGTAAATATGAAAAAGTCAAACAATCAACAATAATCATCGAGTAGTTTTCATTTTGTTAATCTCAATTTAAATGTAATAATTAAATGAAGGTTAACAATTAACAAGAGAAATGATTAATCAAATGAGAAAAGGAGTTAATATAAAATGAATTAGATTAATTAGTCTAATTGCTTGGGTCTCAATTGATTATCATAATCAAGAAAAGGCTCTTGTATTGAGATAATTGTTAACAATTAGTTTTAAGATGATCACTAGATAACAATTAATTGTCATCGTGATTAAATGAAAACGGAAATAAATTGTCACGTTAATCTGATGGACTTAGATGATTAGTTGGATTGACAGATAATTAAATTAACATACAAAGAGATTGATTATTAAAATTATTATCATTTGAATGGGTCATTATTATTGTTAATTTAAATTGTATGTTCGTGATAATTAATGATGATGATGATGTGATAAAGTTGGAGGACAAATGGTTTGTTAATTGTAGTTGTTAATTCAAATTAAATAGGGTTGATTGTTGATTCCTGGTTAAGCCTTGAGAATTGAAATCAATAGCACAATTAGAGTAACACTTTTAAATTGTGAGCCTGAATTGAATTGAATAGTAATAAACAGTAATATGACAATTTAGTTGATCAATGATTAAATTTGTTTCTCGCTGTTTACAAAATTGTTACAATCAGTGATGTTTGATTGTTGTTATTAGTTAATTCATTACTAGTTATGAATTATAGTCTAACTGTTAGAAAAAGATAAACTAATTTAACCCAATTATTCAAGGATTATAATTAAATATGATTGTTGTATAACAATAATCATATTCTTCATCATTATGATTACGATTGTAATCATTTGAAGAAATCAATCAAATTGTAAACACTTCCATCCGATTTGAGTTAATTGTTACACTTTTTTTTTCGTACTAATTCATCACCTTGTTTCTAATTAAATCAATCAATCACCAATTAACAAGATAGTAAACCATTAGTCTGGTATTTTTTTAGGTTTAAATTGTTAATTTCTGGTTCAATGAATGATAATAATAAACAGAAATCAATTGATAGCACTTCCTTGATCAATGTGATAGTGATAATTATCGATTAACAATGAAGATAATAAAAATAATCCATTAAAACAAAAGGTTATCCAATTAAGATCCAAGAGATGGTTAATTAATGGTTATTAATTGATATTGGCCAGAAAATTTGATTCACCTTTTGAGTTCAAGTCAATCAATCAACTTTGTCTTCATGTTGATTGTTTAGGTTTAAGTAAATTAAAAAATATCAATCATTTTTTCATCATTACATGAATAGATGTTGATTGTTGATATTTAATTTCACTTTTTTCTCTCTCTCTCTTCATTAATGATGATCTCATCTGATTGATGTAACCAGTTAGATGATTGAATTGATAGGCTGATAAATGTTTCGATCAATAACAATATACAAACAGGCATCAGGAATTATTTTTAATTGTGGAAGGTCACCTTAAGAGAAATAGAAAAGAGAGAGAGAGAAACAATTAATTAAACAATGTAAAAGTCCAAAAACGGATCAAAAGCAAGGTTAATTGTCGTATTAATTGATTATATTAATTGTGATGATTAGACTGATTACTACGATTGTATATCTAAACATCAAGAATAAAACATATTAAAACCTCTTGAGAGTCTGATTTTTAGATAAACATTAATAGTTAACCTGTTTTCATTTAGTTAATCAACACTCAGTATCAGATATTAATTGTTACCAGCAAAGTTAAGACAATTAAAAACCAAGAATAGGGATCATTTATACCAGAGAAAACAACTTGAAAATCACCTAACTAGACTCAACCTGTAATCAGAAAAAAAGAAAGATAATCCAATTAGCTGTTAGAACAATTAATGTTTGATTGTAACGATTATTTAATCAATCAATTAAACTACCAGAGAAAAATTGAATGGCCAAAATTATCAATTTTTGATCTTCCTATTCAATAATCTATTGATCACGGCCAACAAATGAAGCAGAGTGAATTTTTTTTAAAGGATTTACCAAGACCTTGAGTAGTTTTGTTGAGAGTAAATGTCATAATTAAATTGTACTGATTAAGAAGAAAAAGGTTTACCTTGTTGGAATTAACGACTTTCTTTCATATAATGAGCCCTCTTCGTCTTCATGGTTGTCATCAAATCGTTGATTACCCGTTTTTACATTAATGTAAATTAATGCTGAATTATTATTATTGTAATGAGTGAATAAATCTTTCGGCGACTTTGTGAATTAACATTAAAATCTCTCTGTGTGTATAAATATCAATATGTTTCTTTGATTTTCCTTTTGATCAGGAATTAATCAATTAACATCCTGATTCCTTAAGATTAAATTAATGCTGATTCCAAGGTATGATTAAGTAAATAAATCCATGAGATTATCCTTTGAGCTTGGAAAAAAAGATAAGAGAAAGAAAAAAAAGGAAAGTCAGTAAACATTGTTAGAATCTCGTAAAGATACAATTTTGAAACATATAGAGACAAAATCCAATAAATTACGATTAAACTAATCAACCAATTCTACTGGAAATCAGATAATTACCATGATGACTAAATGAATGTAAAGATATTCTTACCTCCATAACAATTAATACCTACGAGATATAAACAGTAGCCTTCTTACCAAAATGAGAGTCAATTTTAAATTTAACTTGTTACAAGTAACCAAACAACAGGAAATCAAGTGTCCAAAAATAAGCATATTGTCATCATGTTGAGAAATAATAGAATTGTAAACAATTAGAAGAAGAAAAATAACAGAAAATAATAGAATTTCAGAGAAAAAGAGAAAAAAAAACTCGTATTAAAAAAGGTAAACACCAAAGAAGAGGGAAAAATATTGAATTGGATAAGGAGAAAGTGGAAGAAAAATCAAGTCAAGGGAAAAGTAGAAAATGAAAGAGTTAAAAAGAAAACCAGTTAACGCGAATTAGAAAAGAAATAAATGATAACATGGATAATGTAAGTTACTAGTACACCGAGAAGAAAAGAAAAGTGAAAATTAAAAGAAATTAATTAATAAACAGAGAGAAAAACAATTAATTAACTAATCCAATTAAAGGAAAAGAACAAAAGGATTAATTAGGGAATGGAATCGACAATAGATGGTGTTGGTGTAGAAAAGAATTAAAATTTGAATAAAAGAAAGAGAAAAATAAATGGCGGCCTAATTAAAATCTTTTCTGCCCTTCATGTTGATCTTTCCAAATTTTGATCGCCATCGTTAGAGAAAAATTGTTATTTCATCTTCTTCTTTTTTCTCTCTCCGTGGGTAGTAAACAACTTTAGAATATACTGTCTTATTCCATCAACATAATCTTCTTCATCGTTTCTTACTTTTCTCTCTCTCCACCATCATCTTCATCTTCATCTTCATCTTTTTCATCATCATCATCATCTTTCACTCTCCCGGCTGGTTGGGCGTATGTACATGTTACCCATAAAAATCCATCTCTCTCTCTCTCTCTCTCTAACTAAATCACTTGCAACCGGGTTAAATATAGCCTCAGGTAAATATCTTCTTGTCTCATCTTCATCTTTCCCTCTCCCTCAATCTCTTTTCATCATCATTCTTTCAACTAGTTACATGACCATTGACCTGAGAACCTTTCATCTTCATCTTCATCTTCTTCTTTTGCTTCCATCTTACACAATCTCTTATATTCTATAAGCATTTTAGAATTTAGGGTTTTGTTGTTTACTTGAATTACCATTTATTTACTATTAATATTTTATTTCTTCTTTCATTTCGTTGATTTAGTTAATTGTTTTTCTCTTCTTCTTCTTCTTCTCCCTCAATAATTACTATATATTAATTACAGAAAAACACAATGTTCTTTTATCATTGTTCCATTAAACGAGCAATCAACTAATCTGTTACTCTTCATTTACAATTAACTTTTCCTCTGGTAATTTTCACTTGTATGGAAATACAAGCACATTGAAGCCTCTAATTTAGTCTGGAACAAAATTCAATTAACTTCAATCAAAGCAGTTAATTAATTTACAAATTTGATTAAGATTTATTTTTAATTCTTGGTTAAAGGTTTGATATGTTTAACTTATACTTTTTTTTACCTTGAATCAATTTACCTGATTTAGTTTGATAAAACTAATTCACATTTCAATCAATCAAAAATTCATTTAAATGTACGTTTGGATCAATTTTGATTGTTATTGGAAATAAATTGTTGATAAATTGTTAGATAAATTGTTTACTTTTTACCAAATTACTATAACAGATGATTGCTAATTTTTTTCATCTTTTTTTTTCAGGATAATTGTTCCCATTCAATTAATTGATCAACAACAACAACAACAATAACCAGAAAATCAAGTAAACCAAGAAATTGTATTTTCTGTTAATCAACTTACCTTAAGCCCTTTCAGGTCAGGGTTTAGGACGAAAGGAAAAGAGAAGGTTAAATGATGAGGATTGAATTCAGGCTGATTTTAATCATTTCAAGTAATTAACTGATGAATAGCGATTTAACCATGAAAATTTAAAGAAGATACAAAAAGTAAGACTCGTGAACTAATCTCCATCTTCATCATCAACCTAATCATTTGCCCAGTGAAAAAAATGGTAAATGTTGTTTCCCATTGACTGAGACTGGAAAAACTTGTTGCTTCATGTTTTCCCATTCAAGAACATGATGATAAATGATGCTTGAAACTATTACCATCATAATCATGATGATGATGATCATCATCAAGAATCAACAAAGTAATTCAATGTCCCATCTTAAAGTAGAATTGAATTTGAGTTGAAAACAATTTAAAAAAGAAATCAAAATTAAATCAACAATCTCATCAGTTGATCTGATAAATTATTTGTTTTAATGTAAATTAAAACCAACAATTAACCAGAATGAACCAGATGAGAGTCACAATTATGATGAAATTAATTGTCAAATTGAATTAATGACGATTTATTTTTCAGATGATTATAATTAATTATGGTAATGATTGGTAACAGATTAATAATTGATAACAAGTGAATTATTTTCATTTAACTTTAGGCCTGAAAATCTCAGGCAGAGTCCAAATGAATATAAATCAAAATGGCGAATAAGTTTTCTTGAGTTAAAAGGCTAAAGAGAGAGAGAATGATGATAATTACGAAGAACCGCTTTTCATCATCATCATCATCTTCATCTTTTCCATATGATGAAAAGAGAGAGAGAGAGAACAAGAAATCCTTTGTAAAGAAATTGAGAGAGAGAGAGTAACATAAGCGAACTTATTACTTAATCAAATAGAAAGAAAAAAATAAAAGTTAAACGTTGGAACGTCGGGAGGGGGAGGCTGAGAGAGAGAGAGAGAGAGAGAGAGAAGATGGAAGATGGAAGATAAAAGGGGGAAACGGGGAAAAAATGAAAGACTGAAAAAGAAAGAGGAAGATAGAGAGAAGAGGGAGAAAAGGGAGACGAGAGATTTTGTTGTGTAACGTTAATTCAATCGTCTCTTAGTTTAACATGTTACATGTTTGGTAGCCTTTTTTTTCAGTGTTTGTGTTACTTTCTCTGGACTTAATCGACAATTTAAATTATGGTAAATTTTTAATTTTCTTAATTCTATTTGAATGTGTCACTTAACATTTAGATTATAATTCATTTGGATTAATTAATTTCCATATATTTCTGGTTAATCATCATCATAATTTTCTTTCGTTTCTCTCTTTCTGATTGTGTGTGTTTTCCCTATAAACTCTGAATTATTGTTCTCTCTTGTTAATCTCTTTTTCCATTTGTGATTTAATTTGTTTCTCTTTATTTGGTTTTGTTGATCATATTTTTTTCTTCTCTTTTTTTGTCTACACTAAATTAGATTGTTAATTATTAAATTAAACTCATTGATTGGTGGAGGTGGTGATCAGTTAATTTGCATGGTAAATATAATTCTCTTTGTTTCTCCAATTCTATTTGTGTACCTTGATCATGTTCTTCACCTAACAACAAATAGAATTTTTTACATTTCCTGTGTTTTCATCTCCATTTTTATTTCTCTCTCTGTCTCTCTCTCTCTCTTTCGATGATATTTGCTCGGATTAATTTCTTTTGATACCCAATGATTAATTTGTGCTAATCATTTGTACTTTTTGATGGTTATGATGATGATGAATTATTGACTTAATCAGTGTCAGTTATAATTAACCTTGAGATGTTTAACTTGTTGAGAAAAGTAGCAAATTACTAATCATTTTTTTTTATCTTATTTCTTTTCCTTTATATTTCTCTTTCTCCATCAATTTCTATATATTTTCTGCTTATCATCATCTTCTTTATTACCTTCACCATCTTCTTCACCATCATCGTCACCGTTTATTTTATCAACTCTAATCTCCAACATAATCAACAATTCGTTTTTCCATAAAACCGCAAAACTGTTTTTATTGTTACAATTTTCACCTTTAAAATTTGGATTATCTAGTGATCAGAATAAATCAACCAGTGCCTTAAATTGAAAAGTGATACAATTATTATTTTCACCTAAATTGCCTTGGGACCAATTAACTGAACCTGCTCATAGTTTTGGATTAATTTACAAGAAGAAATTTCTATCACACAATTAACTCTAAACAATTGGATTCAAATTTAAATTTAAATCAAAAGTTGGAAAACTTAAATTGTGATTTAAACAGTTCTACACGCACAGATTATCACTTACACTGCCTTAAATCCTTTTACATCATATTAATCTGCTGATTAATCACCACAAAAGAGAAAAAGCAATTCAAAAGACTGAGAGAACTAAGTCAAGATCAACATTTTGAATAATTGTCCTCAAACCATCATCATAATCATCGTTTTGGCAAGATCGTTATCAAGTCAATATCAACTCAATTGGAAAGTAGAAGCTTTTGTTTATTTTATATCGTAATAATAACAAAAACAAGGAAAGAATAAACAATCAACGGAAATCATTCTAACAATTTAACAGGAACAAGAGACAATTAACATTCAATCTACAATCTCAACGAGCTTAAACAATCCCCTGCAACTTTCATAAAGACAAGGAACATTATTATTGTTGTTATTTCACAACAATTTCATAGATTTTAAACACAGGGTATAATCTAATTGGACGAAAATGGTGTTCGATCTTTTTGGTTCACTTCGAAGTATAACAAAATTAGATCAAGTTTGCATTGATAATAATGCTTTTCGATTACATTATAAGGCAACGGTTATCCTTTTAGTTGCTTCCAGTATTCTGGTTACTGGTAGACAATATTTCGGTGATCCCATAGACTGTATTCAGAGGGATGATATTCCTCAGAATGTGATGGATACTTTTTGTTGGATCCATTCAACATTTACCTTGCCCAATGCGCTCTCCAAACAGGTTGGTGTTGATGTAATTGCTCCAGGAGTGGATAATTATAAGCCCGGAGAGAAAAAGGTGTACCATAAGTACTACCAATGGGTTTGTTTTGTTCTCTTCATCCAAGCCATGTTCTTCTATGTACCTCGATACCTGTGGAAAATTTGGGAAGGTGGTAGATTAAGATCACTTGTTCTTGGATTAAATAATCCAATTCTTGGTTCAGGTGAACGATCGGAACAAATTGCTCTTCTAACCCACTACCTGAAGACCAATTTAAGATACCATGATTCTTATTTTTACTATTTTGTCTTTTGTGAGATACTCAATTTTCTCAATGTTATCTTCCAAATGTACCTTGTCGATGCTTTTCTTGGTGGTGCCTTTTCGACTTATGGCCTTGAAGTCCTTCGATACAGTGAAATGGACCCAGAAGAACGAATTGATCCAATGGTTAAAGTTTTCCCTCGAGTAACTAAATGTACTTTCCATCGATACGGTTCATCAGGAGATGTACAGAAACACGATTCTCTCTGTATTCTTCCCTTGAATATCATCAATGAAAAGATTTACATTTTCCTTTGGTTCTGGTTTGTCATCTTAGCTGTTGTCTCTGGATGGGTTATCATTGAGAGAATGATAATCATATTTTTCCCTCATTTCCGTTATCTTTACCTGCGATCTGCTGCAAGAATCGCGGATCGAAATCATCTTCGGGAAGTTCTAGATCACGCTCGAATCGGTGATTGGTTTATTCTTCATCTATTGGCCAAGAATCTTGACTCACTCCACTTCAGGGAATTGGTTAAAGAATTGAGATCTTCACTTTCAGAAGAAGGTGAAAAATTCCGTCCCAGAGACACAAGCGAAACTGGATTCAGCTCTAAACTGGCCTAAGAGAATTAACTTGAAAAATGTACACTATGAACAATTTTTTCTACCATCGAATGAAATTGTTTGTATCATCAACCAATTCTTATTTTATCTTCTTACATCATCTCTTGCAAAACATGAGAAAAACACAAACTCCCATGATAACCTTCAAGACTTTTTTAATTGCAAATAAGCGGACGGATAAATGAACATCACCACCAATAATTAATTTAAATCAATTCAAAAGCCAGTTACACCCAGAGAGAGAGAGGATCAATCATATTATCAATTTAAAAATCTATCCAATGATACATTTTTTTTTTCTTGGTTCTTACAAAGACACAAAGTATTTACTGGACCAACTTGTTGTGGTCAACAAAATACAGAGAAAATTTAACCCAGACAATTACTACGAATCCGAACCGGACCACGAACGAAGTGATATTAATTATTCATCAAGTAATCAATTAATCATCCCATTACAATAATCAGCGACAACGAAAAAAAAAAACAAACAACAATTTAAACAAAACGAAACTTTCACAAGTAATATTGACCTAATTTACTTGTTATTAATCAACTTTAAACCAACAATTGGAATCAAACTATTTTCATTAAGAGCAGATTAATATATTTTTATCGTCTAATATTTACCATGTTACAAATTTTGAGGATTAATTTGATTAGATTAATAGGATAATAATCAACGAGTTAATGTTCGTTGTCTCTCTTTACTGATTTGATTGTATAATGATTTAGTTAACATGTATCATCTCGCCCTCCTCTCTCATTCTCTCAGCATTTCCTTTTCCTCTTTTATCTTTTATCATCTTATTCTCTTCCATGTTTAATCATTTTCTACCTGAAAAAAACTTCGTCTTCTTGACTACATTAATTTCATCACAATTATGTATCTTTCCTCTTGCTGCTGATACTTTTCTTTTCCTCTCAATCATTTGTTTTTCTCTCTTTTTTTTTGGAAAGTGGACCAATCAATCAACTTAATGGACCAATTATCATCATTACAATTCATCACAAACAACGACACTTATCCTACCTGAATTACCTGGAAATCCAATTAACTATGCAAAAGAAACAAGAAAAAAAAACAACGGTGATAATAATATTTATCATCTACCAAATAAGTTGCCAAAATCTTCACAATACATTCACACAATTAGCTAATTACAATTAATAGTAATAATTTACATACTACACTCAGTGTGAGTTTAATTGAAACAATTGAAAAAAGTTTTTCTTCAATGATAATCTTGATAATATCGTAGATGAGTGTATATTTTTTTCAATTTTACAATTTAATTTATGTACACCAATCAACTTGTATTTTTGTTAAATTAACCTTTTGTGTCTTTGTATTAACCAGCAATTTAATCTAATCAACAACAACAAATCGAAATCTATATATTTACATCAAACATAAACTTAATTTTGTTTGAATCAAATGATAATCGTCTCTTATTATTATTGTTTATTGATGATCACCTTTTTTTTATGGTTAAATGGTTATTTTAATTTACCTTTTTGGTTTACTTATTTTCGGGTTTACCGTTAATTGTGATTATTATCAATTGACGCTTCCTTTTTTTTCACCACTATCGCCAGTTATGCGTTTTTCGTGTCTAATTAACTGTTTCACATTGAATTGGTTTGGTAATTAGTCAATTCCTTCAACCACAATCAAATTTGAATAAAAGTGTATGCAAGTTTGAAAGGAAGACAATTTGTTACCACTGAATAGATTTCAAACCTTTCAGGAGAGTTAAATGTTTCTGTTGTGTTGCCTTGTTCATCTGAATTAATCATTTCAAATTGATTAGTTCCACTTAGAGATGGTTAAAAAAATTAAATGGTAATTTAACTAGAGAGGAATTAAAATGATGTTGAGTTTTAGGTTAATTGTGATATCGGATGAAAATTAAAGTCTGGATCCATTTTCTGTTCCAATTGAAGGAAAGTAAAGGTAACCACCATATAGATATCATGAATTATGGTGAAATATCGTTATGATTATGATCATCATCATGTTAATTGTTGACTGGTAAACGAGAGCCTTTCAGATATTATGATTTACAAACCAAGGATGTGTTTTGTTTTTCTGGTGTAAGTGTAAATTGGATGATTTAACTGGATGAATTTAGTTAATCATGATAAAGCAAATTTAAGGAATTTTGATCTATCATCATCATTGTTTCCCCATCACCAGTAATCGGAATATGATTACCATGATTGTCGATAATCATCATCATCATCAACATCTAAAGGTGTAAATGTGATTCTAAACAGGTCATAAACACCATGAATGTCACTAAACCGAAAAAGAGAGAAATCCAAACCGATTAAATCCTTGAGCTTCTTAGTAGGTTCATCAGATTCCAATTCGTTATGGTGATTAATCTCTTTGCAAATGAATTACTTTCTCCAACTCATCCCAAGAATAAATGCCAATGAACATCTACAAATAGAACAAAGTAACAAAAAGAGAGAAGAAAAAAAATAGAAAAGAAAACAATTAATGTTGATTGTTTACCTCTTATTGCACCTCATCAGTTAATCTCTTCCAATAGTCACCATTCAGAGAAACACGTTTTCTTTTAACATTGTGGTTAATTGAAATTCTCTCATTGTTGTAACCAATTAATCACAATTAATCAACTTCCTGGTTTGGAAAACACTGTTACATTCTGTAAAAGAAAAATAAACATCTAAACTTATGGTGAATTAATGAGACATCGAAAAAATAAACAAACGAGAAAATTGAATGTGACAAAGAGAAAGAGGGAAAATAAGATGACTAATAGTGCGAAAAGTCGCCATTTTGGATTTAATTTGTTCTTTTCTCTATTTTTTTCATTTTCTCTTCAAGGTTTGATTACTTCTTATTCTAATTATTTACTAATTAAATTAATTTTCGCTTACCAGTGAATTTAACCAGTAACAGGATGACAACTGAATAGAATCCATGTGAGTTTTGTCTTTTGTTTTTTCTTTTCTTTTTCATCTTTGATTGATTTTCATGGAAAAATAATTTTCGCCCTTTTCCTTGCTCAATATTCACATCTACGGGTGTTTTCACTTGACTTTTTTATCTTTTTCTTTCATTTTGTTGTTTTGTTTTGTTTCTCTCTCACTCATAGAGATGATATTGTCTTTCGTGTGTCGTGTGATGCATGGTTAACATTTCATATCTCCCAAGGAATCTTACCAACACTCATTGGACTATTTTTTGTCATCTCTCTCTCTCTCTCTCTCTCTAGTGATCATCATCCTAATTTATATCTCTATAGTCATTGAAAACATTGGTACCCATCTTGGTGGTGTTTGTTTATGTGTTTATGTGTCTATGTGCGGGATCACACGTTAGCCGGATGTCATGTTTACCTTGCATGATGGTTGTTTAAGAGGCAAGAGAAATAATTGTTTACCATGATGGAGAAAGTGAAGATGGAGGAGGAGATGATGAGGAAGAAGGACGATCATCATGTGGAGAAAGAGACAAAACGACAGAGAGAAAGTGATAGATGAGAGAAAGAGAAAGAGAAAGAGAAAGAGAGAAAGAGAGAGAGATTGTGACAAATTAATTGTGGAAAGAAAGAGAGAAAAATTAACCAGAAGACAGAGAATTTTATCTTCATTGCTTAAGGACGATCATCAGAATAAGAAGACAAGATGAGGGATTAAAAGAGAGGGAAAGAAATTAAAAACACGAGGGATTAACCACTGTCGACAAGAGAGAGAGAGAGAGAAAGGTTGGTTCCACTTTCTCAATTTTTCTTCATTAAAGAAAGAAAAGAAAGACGATCAGGGAAAGAGATCCACTTGTCTTACCAGTCCCGCCTTTCTCTCTGTCTTTCTCTGTCTTTTTCTCTCTTTCTTTCTATGGAAATTTAAGATATTTGTTTATATTCTCGTTAAATTGAATTGATCCACCGCGAGCCCCATATATAAATAAGGACACTAATTGTGTGATTAGTCAAATCAATCATCATCCAAGACAATCAGAGAATATTTTAAATTCTATCAATCATCAACCATAAAAATTAGATTAATCACCTTTACCTAAAGCTAATATTGTTCTTTCTCTTGTTTACTTTCTAACAGTTAATTTCTATTTTGGTTTGTTGTTTATAATCTCTTTCAACTCTGTCAACTGTCAACTTGTCGTGTTTATCTTGATGTTATTCATGTTCTACTTATGTTCATGTATCAGTCTTTCCATGGTAATCAATCGATTAACCTGATCAGTTCAATTGGAAGTCGACGAGCAAATTCTGGTAACGTTTTGGAACTTCGAGTGTTAACCAAAATTCATTTCACACCCTGAGGAGAAAAGGAACAAGATAATCATCATCATCATCGTCTTAAAAGAAGTAAATTTTTAGCTTTTGTTTATTTTCCTCTTTATTCTTATTATTATCCTGCTCTTCCACCACCCACCATCCTCATAATTTCATTAATTCATCAAGCTTCATTCTAATTAGCTCATTTATCTATTCTGTTTACTATCATTCTCTCTCTCTCTCATACATTTTGACTCTTTATTGCATCATCATTACCAATCAGTTGACTAATAATTTGGTTTTATTATTTGTCCCAATTTTAGATTGACTATGATGTTGACTTTGATCCTGCAATGAACAGTTAACTTGAAATACTCTAAAAATTATTAGTTAAAACTTTTCCAATCAACTTTGGTTTATCGTTAGGCTGTTATTCAATTGTTACATCATTTTCTTGTAATGAATTTAGGACTTCGAGTGTCATCATCATTAATTTCACCTCTCGCTCCCTCTCTGTCTCCCTCACTTGTTTTCATAATCTCTCCCTGATTCCGTTCCAAATAAATCACTCACAAATCGATCTGAATACTCTATCGTTAGAAAATGAACTTTCATCATCATGATAGAGCATAGTGATTTTCACTATTGATTGTCTACTGATTTTGCTAACGATGATTTGATCAAAATTCAACAATTAACCTAACTAAATTTAATTTGAACGTTTATATATTTTTACTGTATATAAGATTAATGAAATTTCATCATTACAATTTATCAATGTATCTATTTAATGTGTTGCCTTAAGTTGTAACTACATTAAAATTGGAATTGATTTCATGATCAGATTATTGTAATAATTAGATTGAGAGTAATTAATCAAGTTGATTGTTGCTCTTGTTTAAATCAGATTTGATTTTTTTTTCCAAAGTTTTGTTTATATTCATTTTACTATCAACAACAATTAACAATTTTATTATCCCCCAATACTAATCACTATTGAACCAATAACAATAATCCAGTTACAGGTTAAAAAAACTGGTACAATGTGGATCACAATTATAATTAAATTACTTTTTAATTACGAACTCACTCTGACCATTAAGGTAGACTAATTTAATCCTGCAACTAAATTAATTAGTTTCAGACTAAACTAATTTTATAATCTCTTTAAATTTTAACAGTTTTTACTCAATTTTATGATTATTTAATTATCACAATAATTTTCCCAATCATCGATAATATTTGTTCACTTCTCATTCAAATCATAACTCGATTGTACCATGAAAATTGCACTAATTTAGTTATAAATCGTCTCGATGTAAACAAAATTGGACAAACCATTGATTCAGTTACTGACCGTTTCCCTCCAACAATCTTCACAATTTAACAATCGATTGATTTTTATTCTTGGCAATTTGTCTTGATTGTTTCAATTTCATCCATTCATCATCCTACTAACTCACCCAAATTCACCTCATTCACTTGAATTACCTCACTCTTTTATTGAGATTCTAATCATCTTTCTCTCTCTCTCATTACAGGAATTGTTTCTAATTACAGGTAATACTGAAGGTGGAAGTATGGAAGTTTATTGATTAACTTTGGCAAAGTACAATCTAAATCGAGTTGATTAAATTTCACAGTTGAACTCTCATAATCCTCAATAATCACTCACTTGGTCATCACTCACCTTGAATACAAACACAACAATTACCTCAAATAACAAAGAGAAATTAATATAAATTATGCCTTTAGCTCAGAGTCAAGTTTTAATACTATCTGATCTTCATCACAGGTAAACAACTCAATTCGAAAACTTTTAAACTGATTGTTTTAGAATGGGAATAAAAAAATTCTAAAATTAATTTTCTTCTCTCTTATCAACAGTCGAGAACCAGTTATTGAGAGATCACAATGTCACAAATTGGACGCAAACCCAAAGACAATAGCGATTTCATCAGTATCCAACTTGGAATCAACCCTGAAGATTAAAATATCACAAACAAAAACAACAACCAAATTATCACCAGCTGATCATCAATCAAAATTAGAAATCACTAATCCATGGGGACCCATGTTTAAGGATTATGAGGCATTTATCGATGCTCATATATGTTAAATTCAGTCCGAGTTTAAGGCCTGGAATTTTTTTCCAATCTTCTTGTTTACAAAAGTACATTAAACTATCTCTTCTCTCCCTCTCTCTTTCTTGTTGAGTTTTTTGTCCTTTGTCTTGGTGAAAAGGATAATGAAGAGAGAGAGAGAGAGAAAGAGGATCACCATCATCACCATCATCATTATCATCATCATCATCATGGTAATTAACACCAGTTAGCATGGAGAAAAGACTCGAAAAAAAGTTCTGTTCTGCAACATCGCTAATTACAATCTACGGAACAGTGGTAATAATGATTAACTCACAGTAAACAGAATCAAGAAGATTGTTAAAGTTTCCAAAAGTGTCTGGTTAATTAACATGAATGAAACTTGATTTACCGGTTAGAAATCATCTAATTAAAATCTATCTGTACCTATTTCTGTATTAAAGAAAGATAATAATTAAAAGAATTACAATTAAACATGGTAATGATTAATGAAGATCATTTAAAATTATGAAATCTAAAAGAGACTCGAATCAATGAACAATAACAATTGATAATTTACTTTATACAATTTAATTGGAAGATACTTGGAACCCGATGAATTGATTAGCGAATCAACTTTAATCATTATTACTCAATTTGATTGATTGTTAATCAGTTGGATCGATAGAAATCATTGAATAGAATCAAATTAATTTAATTCAAATTGGCTAAAAACAAAGACAATACAAAGAAGAGTTAATTGTTTACTTAGTACTTACAATATATCTTAATTAACGATTGCTTAATTGTTGGAATCATAATGGTCTATTAATATAATTATGATTGACATTGGATCAAGTTTTCATTGATTATCATTGATTACAATTAATTCATCACATGGTGACTTGTTTTTCAACAACCAGACTCAACAATTAACTAACTTTCTGCAACAATTAGCAATATTTAATTATTAATAGATTTGCCTCTTATAGTAAATTGATTACAAAATCATTTTTTAATTATCAAGAGAGTCAAGAGAAAAGTTAATTGTTATCAATGAAATTTGTCCAACAAGGTTAACAATTATACCAATACTTAATCATTACAATAATTAAATTGTTCATCTGACCTTAATAACCAAATTATTGATCAATCACAACTTCACAACAATTTAACTAAATCACTTAAAATTGAGTCTTTGTGATTTGCTGGAAATGATTTGATTTGAGTTGTAACAATCAAAATGATCAAATCGATTGATAAAATTTAAAGGTCAACACAAAGTTTCAACAATTTAAACCTCAAGTATTTGACCTCAACAAAATAAAGGTGATTGACATTTTTGATTTGATTTGATTTAGTTTGTCAATTGACAGAAAATCATGTTGATATTATGCTAATCACAATAGTTGATCACAATTTAGTTAAACAAATTCCTTAATCTATTGTAATCACATCTTATTGTACATGATGATTGAGACATTTCAATTTAAATTGTTCACTGGGAAAGTTGTTTATTTAATTGTCAAGGTAAAAGGTTGACAATCAGATTTAATTGTCAACAATTGACAGTATTATTTATCATTAGTTTTGATTGTAGTTGTTGTTGTTATTATTATTTGATTTAAATGTGTCCATGAAGATGATGAAGATTAGTTAAATTTTCAATTTAAATCCACTGATTAATAACAAGATTTAACCTTGGGATTTAGTTGTTGATTAAATTAATTGTCCAAGGTTGAATGGTTAATTGATTATGTTTTAATCTGATTCTTAAAACTTTAACTAACTCATTTTTTCATTGATTAAAGTGAAAGTTATTGATTTAATTGTCTAAAAATCAAAGTGTATTAATAATTACCGGAACAATTTAGTTAAAACTGATGGTAGTTAATTCATTTACCTAATCTAATTAATCTCTAGTTAATTTGATTGATTTGGGTTTTACCTCGAGGAATCAATTAACAATTTAAATCGATTCAATTTGTCTTCAGCTTTGCAACAATTTAACTTTAATTGTGATTTATTGTCAATCCCAACAATTGATTTCATTTAGTGAGTGAATTTTTTAACAATGATTTAGTTAATTGCTGAGTCAATCAATGATTTAGCAATTTAGTTACCGTTTCTTTTACCATGATTTACAATTAATTGTAAATAACGATGATGGGATAAAAAAAAATCTCCTTTAGTTAATCAACAATTAAGGTAACAATTTATTTCCGTAATCATGGGTGAGTTGACTTTCTTCATTATTGTTTCAACTTTCCAATCTCATTCAATTTGTCGCTTAATTGTTGAGGTCATCTACTGATTACTATTTACTTTATTTACACTGTTTACCTTAGTAATTAAAAAAATGAAGATTTACAAAATGAACAATTAGTTTTAATTGTCCACTTACTGATTGTCCCTCACTTACAAGTTAAATCATATGTTTCCTTATTTACAGTAATCATCAAGTTTGTTTACCTTTGTATGTGGATTAACTGTTTTAAAGTTCAATTGATTAACCAGAGAAAAACTTTCTAATTCTAATCACCAGTGAATTGGTCAACAATTAGACTGTTAATTAATCACTTTCATCATACCAGAATCAACTAATTACTGCAACGAGAAGGAAAGTGACAGAGAACAACCAGAAATGGGCTACTCTGTACAGTACTTCTCGTGTGCTAAAGTTTGTCTAATATTTTTCAATTTTATCCTATGGGTAAGTTTAATTGTCCAATTAATTAATCTGATCAATAATCAAACTGAAAATTATTGAGAAAAGTTTTCCCCTCAAATCGGATTAAAAGTCAATATCATTAAGCGAAAATAAAATTAAGATTATTGATTGAGAAAAAGTAACCAAATTGAAAAAACTTAATACGATTAACATGAATAGCAATAGAATTAACAATTAATTTTATTCAATTAATTAAAATTGATTTTCTTTGAATCATTAATTGTTAACTGGAACTGGATTAATGGAACTTGCAATTGTCATGAAAAGATTAATGTAAATTTTATCCTTTCCATCAATATGATAATCATATTTTTCCGTGTTTCATATTAACCTTGATGAGAATTTCAACTTTTTTAATTTTAATCTCTCTTGATTTTTTTTCTGTTATCCTTAATCTATTAATCACTATTAATCTGTTGATCAGTGTTCCGGAATGACATTGATAGGAATTGGACTCTGGTTCAGAATCGATCCTAAAATGTATGAGCCAACCTTATACATCGATACCGAAAACTTTATCAACGTTGGTTGGATTATGATGTTCAGTGGATTAGCGATCGTTATATTATCGTTTATTGGCTGCATTGGGACATTAACAAATTCAACATGTAAATTGGGCTCGGTAAGCAGAGAGATTAAAGAAAAGTCAATAATCTAAATCCCTATCAATCTGATAATCTAATAATTAGTTGACAAAATTTTCCAATTTTCTAATTTTAGTACATCTTTATGATGGCCCTTTTGATTGGACTTGCAATCGCTTGTGTAGTTTTGGCTTCAACTCATGGTTTCGGTGAAAGAGTATGTATCTAATATCCAATCATCATGGTCATCATCATTATTCATCAAATCAATCAGAATAATTAACGATGTTGTCACACAATTAAACAAAATCTCATTGACAAGTTAAATGTCCTTCAATTGATTTGAAACAAACAAAGATAACCAAAGATAATTTCTGAATGTAATGAACTTTATCTCTGAATGTCCCTGAATAAATTGACAAGGAATTAGGATGTTAGGGATAAAGATGAAGATGACAAATTAAATTGATAGAAAAAACTGACAAAATGATAAATTGTTATCATCCTATTTTCTTAATCGTAAACATTTAACTTTCCAATTGGATTTCATTTCTCACAAAATGGATTGATGAAAGTGATTAACTCAATTTCATTGTAAATATTATGGATTATACAATGTGACTGATTAACATAATCAGTAACCATAAATATTAGATTACTTTCTCATAATCATAATCTTCATCTGCTAATACATGTTGATAATGTTTCATCTGATTATCTTCATGGTCTTGTTGTTGATGATGATGATTGTTGATGAAAACGCATTTTTATCCCAAAAACACACTTCTAGAGATAATAATCTAAAGTTTCAAGCCCACATATAAACTGAAAATTTATCATGAATTTCCCATGAATATCATTAAGGAATCTAAAGTTAATGTGTGACAATATAACTAAGTTAATTATCTTGAAACTGGTTCATTCTGATGTGCATGATGATTACTCTACCTTTTAGTAGTTTATTACGAGAGGAAATTTCTTATTCCGATTAATGTTCAACATGAACATGATTTAACTAATCTGATTCTCTCTCTCTCTCTTTTCCTCCTGATCATTATCCTAATTATGATCATGTAATAATAATACTTTTCAGTTGGAATACTATGTAACTCAACAAGTTTTAATCCAAATTCAACAAAGACCATTCAGTGAAAAATCTCGAGAGCTTCTTGATTTTGTTCAAGTAAAGGTAATTAGCGATTTGTAATCAGTTAATCAACAGGAGATTCTTAATCTAGAGGATTAATCTGTTAACCTTGATATTTGTTATTCTATTTTGTAATTTGTTTTTAGTTAAAATGTTGTGGTGCTGAAAACTTCAATGATTACCATCGATATGGTTTGGAAGTTCCTGTCTCATGTTATCGAGAACAAGCTAATTTCATTAACCAAGAGGTAATAATATAATTATATTGATTATTTTTCTATAGAAATAACTTAATTAATTTGTTGTTTTCTTATTTTCTCTTAATCCAACAATAACATCAAGGGATGTGGTCGAGTTCTTGGTCGTTTCTACGATTTAAGAGGTGGAATCGCTCTTGGTTTGAATGGATTCACATTAATCATCGAATTTGTTTGTCTGATTTTTGCAATATCACTTTTTTGTGTAATCAGACACACAGAACTTGATGATTAACAATAGGAACAATAAATCAACACCCGCCATCATCATTAACTAAATCACAAACTTCAAGCTCATCGATAAAACAAACTTTTATTTATTGAAATGATTTTCTGTCTTTTTTTACCTTAAAATTTTAATCTATTGATAATCTAATATTAATAGAATCTTTAGTCAAATTAAAACATTCAGAACTTTTTCAATTTAAATTGTATGATATAATAAGTACGGAATTGGATTATCTACTGAATATCCATTTAGATCGATGTGAGACATCATATCGACCAACATTTGAGATCATGCGAAGCGAAATGAGGTTAAAGAACTTAACAAAATGGATAAGGCCAATCCTTTCCGCGTTGGACATTAACCATTGTTTAATTAATTGCTTCTTATTGGGTGGTAAGGTACTGTACCATTTGCGAATAGATCGACACATAAGAATCGCCACTAATTTACCAAGTGGTCAGAGTATAACCCAAACAATGACAGGAACATGACGACTGGAGGCCGTACGAAAGTGTCTCAGGCCACAAGAGTTCCATTGATCAGCCTGTTTTCGTAATGATAGATTATCAAAATTGCGGTTGGAAAATGATTTAGCTAAATTTGGAGAAAATTCAAAAGAATCTTTTTATTCTAATGGGATGTTATTGAACTAGAATCTCCAAGAAAAAGAGAGAGAGAGATATAAAGTATCTTTGTACTGAACTTCTGAACTTTCAGAATCCTTGAATAAATACGAAATGAATAACATTGTATTGGACTTGATGAATATGTGAAAATAATCAGGAGGTTTTTAATTATTCAGAAATTAAATGATAAAGAAATTTAAATGTTAACTTTTTTTGCTTTGCACCAATGAATAAATGCAAATCAGCAATACATTATCTCCTTGCTATCGATTTGATTGATCAACTAAATTAACATGACTCTTATTACCAAAAGTTTCTAAGCGATTAAACTACTCACTATTATTCTATTTTTTTCGATAGTTCAGCTCATTCTAAGATCGTCAACACAACGAGTTATCTGAATACTCGCCCGAACTTCAATGCTTCAAAATGAATTCCAATTTAGAAAGAACAGAATTTGAATGGTGTATCAGTTTACTTTAATCATTTATCTATTATCGTTATTCGAGTTTTTACAATTTTTCGTGATTTTTTGAACCAAGTGAACCTCAATTTGCCCCACAAATCTAATATCTGACCATTTATTTGACCATAAATTGAGAAACCAAACCATAGACCAAGAGTACTGCTCATGTAGATCAAATAGTCAATCAGTGTATTCGATGGATAAGCTTTAACGATTGTATCAAAATCTAATTGATTCTCTAAACATAAATTAACAAGACCTTTATAACTTTTGTTTCGAGTAAATTCAAAATGGTGATCAAATCTCGCTGATATGGAGTTTGATCGACATTCTGGGTTGACAGTTTTCTTAACACATTCGACTCGTAATTGTTGTACTCTTTCGATATCACAAAACGAGTACAAAGTACCAGCAAATCTGTATTCTTGAGGATAATAACCGAATGGAAAAATTGACGAGCTCAATATACACTTTTCTGGTTCCGGTGAATTGATTAGTTGCTCGTTAACACAATTGATAAAAGTTGACGTTTTCTCATAGAATTCACATGATGTACTGTATGGTGCTGGTAAGGATGAAGAGATTGAACGACTTGGATGAGCGAAAATATGTCGATATTTATCAGGTTCATATTCTATTTCAATGTATTTTTCAATATTCTTCGTAAGTTGACTGTTTGGCTCTGATAACTTCAAGCCGAAAGGTGAGATCGGCCTGAACTGGAAGGTGATTCCACATATATCCTCCATTTCAGTAGGGAAAATTTGTCTTACCAGCGGCTTAGAGTTATTTCTACACATTATTCTGAGGTAAATATTCATTGAGTTGAAATATCTGTGAACTGTACACATACTATTCTGGAGTAGATTGAGTTTGTTGGTTTAATTGAGATCTTCACATTGACACAATTTAACTAAATTAGTAATAATTTACTCTTCTCACAATCGCGGTGAGGATTCAGCAGTTAAACGCGCAGTCAAAACAAAAATGAGTAAGGTAACTTATCGGTGGTGTTGTTGTAACTTAGTGTGTAAATTTATTGTAAAGAGTTTCGTTTAAATAGAGAAAGAAAGATGTCCACAATTGGTCACTGTGTTATTGGTCGACTCATAATTAGTGGCAGTTGAAGTGACCTGGAAGCGATCAATGGACTCAGGATTATCAAGCTCATTAGGACAATAAAATAAAGAAGAAAAGAAAGAGGATTAACTCGGAGACGAAGAGGTTGGAGCACAAAGAGAAGCGAGAGAATTGGATGGTCAAAATGCACTAGGCAAGGAGGACAAGCAACCATCATATGGATACCATTCAAAAGGATTATAATTCAAAAGCTTGATCAATTATAATTAAGATGTGAAAGAGTGGGAAAGCCGAAGGGAAAAGATGAAATTGGTAAATTAAGGTAATTGGTCCAAACGTTTGTGTCCATATCTCGGTAAGTAATTAACTTAGAGTTTTCATTTATATATATTTCAGCTCAGCTAATTAAGAGCTTTCTAATGATATATAACTTTCGTGTGAATATAAACTAATTCACTAAAATTAGTGTCGGTCCCAATCGTTCACTTGGACCAGAAAAATAGGTGAAAAATTAATGTTTTTAATTAATTACTCGTCAACCAATTTACCGATTAATTTGGTTCATATATTAATCGAACCTACTAAACAAGACCTTTGATTTAATATAAAACAATCTAACTGTTAATTGTTGTTAATCAAAAAGTTGACTGGTTTCAATGAATCTCAATGTTAACTCTATGGGGAAAACCAAATATGTTGTTGTTGTTTCCCAATGGGACAAAAGTAGTAGTTGCGGCTTCTTTAGTTGTAGAATCATGAACTGAACTCGAGCTAATGATTGATTCAAACCAACAGAGTTTTTTCTGGGCGATTTTTTTAACCATTTGACTTGGATCAAGTGTCAATTGTTCAACATCACCAACGGCTATGAAAGATAATGACAAGGCAGAGGTCATTTTCCTTGCATAACGAATGTCTGAACATCTCTCATGGAATTCAATTGCTGTATTAACTGTTAAGTTTTCATCTCCTTCGACGAATTGACAAAGATGGACCATTTCTTTTGGATATCGCAGATAAAGTTCACTTATATTAATCAGATAAGAAATTGGAATCCTTATATCAACATCAGGAACTTCAACTTGAGTAGGATATTCATAGGTAGTTACAGTTAATACCTTGAACTGAAAGAAATTGTAAGTCACAGTGATCATCTGATAGATACAACCAATAAGACAGAACGATATAAATACCATTCTTCTGTCGATTGACATAATGTCCACGCGATTTGATTCCTCCGACTCTTGGGACAATATTTGCAACCCAATGAAATAAACTTTCTGCTGAAATCGTAGTATTATATTAATAAATGGACTGAAAGACTCTAGATGAGTGGTAGAAAAAAAATCCTTGATTAATTTTCGATCAATATTATTTAGAGTAAAATTTTGAATCTTATTAATGAATTATAGAACATCAATCGTATATACAGAGTGCTGTTTATTAGTTCACAATTTATGAGGCCTTATGAGCATCATACCTTCAAATGAAACATGAGTTTGAATCCAATGGATGGGCCACATCGAAGTGATTTCATAATCAAAAGTTCAGAAGTCGAGAGCGTGTTGATCGAGAGTTATGAAAGTTCAAACGCCAGGAGTTGATGGAGACCCTGTATATCAATTTATATCAATCATTTAATATGGAAAATTACCAAAGTCATTATTGTTATCGATTCCAATCAATCTGGGAATATTTTTTGTTAGCTCAAGTGTTGGAATAAAAATTTCGATCATTTTGTAAATGCGAAGAGGTAATAATTGATAGTCAATCGATGGTTAACTGATCATAATTATAATGTCAACAGAAATTAGAAAGTGACATTTTCCATGCTGATGGTTTTCTGCAATTTACTTGCAACAATCATAATTATCAATGGAGAAAGTAATTGGCTTATGTTTTTTTTTACCGGAGGATCCAATTCAACCAACCATGCAAATCATCATGGTAAGATGATGAAAAGCAAAAAAAGAATCCTAAATGCAACAGTATGATGATACTGATGATGATTTAATGTTAATTGCAATTCTCAGTACTAGTAAGTTGTTTCATCACCATAATTTCCTGGCCACTGATGTGAATATTTTTGTACCTTCACCTTAGTATTTTGAGTTACTGGTTAAGCTTCGGTTAAGACTAAAATTGAATACACAAGTTACAAGTTGGAAATTTACCTTTTATCCTCCTTATTACCTGAATCTTTGACACTTTCTCTCAATGGGAACGTTTCAGAAAAGAAGATTTCAACAATTTTCCACGCATTAAGAAACAGAAAAACGGTTGAAAGTGAGGATCAAGATGAACCACTGAAACTAAAAAACTGCCAATTCTATCGATTGAAATGATGCAATGGCCGAAAAAGAGACTTTTCTGTCTTTCATTTCTCTGTCGTTTTTCTCGCAGTCTCTGGTTTTACATTTGAACGGGAAGTGAGATCAAATAAGCGGTTCTAATTGGTCGAGCTGTAAGTTAATAAATTCAAGGCAATTTAACCTAGCCAAAGCACTAAAGTGATCTTCGAGTCTCTAAAAATCAAGCTTAACGCAAGCGCTTTACTCGAGTCTCTGATTGTCGATGCTCTTGGTCCTGCTGTAGGCTATTAAGCGATATAAATGTCCAAAGCTGCTTCTCATCCACTGATCTGGTAAATGTTCAGTGTGGTTGATTCACCACATCCAAGTCTTGATAACAAACAGCTATCACAAGCCTTGGTCACATCTCCAGGAATCGCTGGGAACTGAAGACTTTGTAATACTAAAAAGGCCAAAATAAACATGTCCCACCGGTGCTCTAAAGGTATGATCTTGAAGTTTCATGATATACATTGGGAGTTGCAAGTCTCCATGAGACTGGAAGTACTTTTGAACAATATTATGTTGGATCATCAAGACTTATTGAGGAAATTGAAGTTCTATGAGTAAAAAGTGAATCTTTAGTTTCTGACGATGATAATAGTTGACCTGGTTTACTAATTGGAGGCCAAATTTCATTTTATTCCAACCACAAAGAGTCTTATCGAATGAGCATTCGCCTGAAATAGCTTCAGAATTTACTGGATTCGCTTCTATTTGAAAGAGAAAACAAAATCTTATTAGCTCAAAAATTAAAGATCGAAATGTATTTTACTCACTTACCTTTACCATCGAAAAAACTTATATCGTCCAAAGCGATCGATCCAATCCTTGCATCTTCCTAAATACTTCCGATTACAACTTGATACGCATTCTTTGGAGATTTAACCTTCACATAACCTTCTACTGTTTCCTCCCTTAATAGAACCTGAGCTCGTCTCCATTTGATTGTTCAATTTCCTGATCAAACAATTGATCCGTTATTTAACCTCCAAGTTTACATTTAGCAATAGATTACCAACTAGAAATTTAAATATTTACCAAAGTAAGTTGATATGAAGATAGAAACCACAACATAATCAATGGTTTAAATTGGATTTTCTTTTCTTAATCCAGATTTAAATAAATCAATTTCCATTCATCGTAATTTTAATAATCTATCACCACGAAAACAAGCTGATCAATGGAGCTCTTGTGGCCTGAGACACTTTCGTACGACCTCCAGTCGTCATGTTCCTGCCATTGTTTGGGTTATACTCCGACCACTTGGTAAATTAGCGGCAATTCTTATGGGTCGATCTATTCGCAAATGGTACAGTTCCTTTTCCTGCCAATCACCCAATTGGTCGTCGTATTGAACGGTTTCCCATGACAATTTTATCTAAACGCTAATCAATTGGACTTGGGACAAGCTCCCGAAATTAATGTCACCAAGAATGTTGAATCGCTGAATTACTACCAGAATACTTGTACGTAAGAATAAGAGGTAAATGTGAATTGAATGGATTTACTGTTACTTCAACAAGTCATGAAAAGGTAAAAATCACAAAGTAGAATCACATTGAAAACAAAATAGAAAAATGAAATTCTGGTTGATTGAAATAAATTGTGTTGACTCAAGACTAAGTATTTCTAATTGTGGTTGACGACAGAAATTATCAACATTGGTAGAAACCGTTTCAAGAGAACTGAAGAGAAAAATGAAGAGAAAATGAAACTCAGATTGTCGTTGATGACAAACCTCATAAGTGGAAAGAGATTCTGATTGTGATTTTCATCGTGAAAAACAAGTAACAGAAAAGAAAATTTCTATCTGGTTACATGAAACATAAAAGGTTGAGTCTATTCATACGCTAAATTTTTAATTTAAGTTGAAGTTGCAATACTAATTATTAAATCCAATTATTTACGTACAAATAGTCTTTTTCAACATGGAACTATTGCTTCTTCAATATAACCATAACGATATTTTTCCAACAATATTAATCGATATATTGTGACTAATTTCAGGCCTTTATATTGGTCAAAACGACGACTAAGAGGTTGAATTTCAAGCGTTTTAGATTCGATAGTCAAAGATTTGAGGCAAAATAACAGAAATTAATGACAATACACTCCACACCTCTGTTAAAGCAATGCAGTTTTCGAAGTCACCATCTATTGGATTAGTTAATTTAATTAATTTTCACAATTATAATTAAAAATTCACTAGATGGCAGCTGTAAAAATGGCCTTAGTGGAAGTAACCAAAAACTGCTTTAACAGTTGCAAGTGTGCAGTGTACATTGTAGTATTTTACTAATACCAAAAAGTATCGATACTTTATCGATACTCAACTTAACAATACTGAAAGATACTTTTAACAATACTATCAATATCAAAAGTTAATATGGTTACCTCGGCCTCAGCTTCATAATCAGGCGATCTAATTACTCGACTCTCTTCAGACCCTTGAGAATGTTTACTTCCGAAAACAGGCACTATTATCTCTGAGAATAGAAATAGAATCAAGCCTGAAAACGTGGACAAATTAATGTTTAAAATTCACTTCCACTCGATTTCAGTTGAAAAGTTGTAGTATTTAAACATTAATTTCTCGATACTGGTATTAAAATAGTATTGATACTTTCAGTTCAATACCAATACTTTTCAATCAATACTTTTGATCGGTATTGTGAAACACTAGTATATTGCGATATATCGATATTTCGAAAATAATATCAATATCGACGATTAATATTTTTTAAATATCGGGAAATACATAGAACAGGTAGAATGGAAGAGATGGGATTCGATTGAATTTTCGATTGATCGATTTTTCGTTGTTTCTTATCTCTATTCGCGGTAAAACAATTGTAGGCTTTGTCAAGAGAAATATTAAAAACTCATCAGTTTGATATCTCTACCTCTCGTAGAATATTAATATTAGCATTCATCATTATTATTGATCTTTCGGTGACCCATCATGCAAACCTCAGGCAAAGTAGACCTTGTATTCTTGAATTTCTGTCACAAATAGCTCAACGTTACGAAAATGGACAAAACCCCAACGAGATAGCGAACCTCATTCGCGTCTTCATGTTAGGATTAAAACAGGAACAGTTATTACCAATCAACAAGCAAAAGAATCTGACAGAAAAGATGAAGATGAGCCAATGGAAATTGACTAATGTGGAAAACTCGATACTCTCACTGACCATTTTCCCTTCGATGACTTTTAACCATAAACAATCAGGCCAATCAAAAGAGAAGGTGGAAAAGACGGAGAAGCGCTTATGGCCATTGAGAAACTCACTTGTTACACATTAAATTACTTTGACAAACAAAATACTCTTGTATTAAATGTAATATTTTCTTCAAATCAACTTCAACAGTAAATTAAAAGCAACAAGCCTACGAGAAACAGTTCCCTCATTTTTTTCTAACTCTCGGTATGAAAAAGTAACGACGTCACATTTGAAGTTTTCATTAAAAAATTCATGTAACACTTTTACCTTGTCTTCTAATTGTTCCGTCGCCAGGCTCTTCATTAACAATCAAAATCTTGAGCATTTTCTTTCACTAATTTAGGTAACAGGTGATTAGGTTGTCATAAGATGATGTCGGTTTTGATTCTAAAATCTTATGGACTACTAATTGTTTGTACCTCTTTTCATCATTTAGAAACAATTGATGGATTAATCGTCTCGATGAGTATGTTCACTATTCCTAAATGGTTTTAAGGTGGCCCAATTGATCAGAGGCCTGTCCTCACAACGGATAATTTTGTACCAATCTAATCACTTGTCACCTAAATTATTGGGAAGAGATGATCTGACACCAAACATAAGAAAATCTAAGGCTAAAGTGAATACAGCTAAATGTAAAACAAGAAATTACTGTCAATCCTGATTTATACATATTCTATTGATTATTTCTATCCATATTATTGAGCTCTGACCACTCAGTAAATTAGTTACAACTCTTATGGGTCGATCTATTCGCTTGTTTCTTTTGCTGCCAATCATACAACTTTTCGTAGCACTTCATTAGAATAGAATCAGAAGTCGAAATCAGATTGGCCTTACAATGGCCGTGAAAGCTTGTTTTGATGTTCGTGAGTTCGTTGCCTTCTGGAGACGAATGGGTTTGTATGAGACTATGGACTTGGGACTACCTCCCGAAATTGATGTCATCAAGAATGTTGAATTTCTGTCTACTCATCCAGCTCATCCAGCATCAACCTGATCGGCTTCTGATTCTATTTTACGATTATAAGGAAGTGTTAAAGTTAAATTTGTTATTTTTGCAAGAATATAATGAAAAGCGGCAGCCAGGAAATCTGAATATGGAAGAGCCCAAATCAGAGCGATACCGATCATCGCAATGAAATCGATCCACGAAGTGTAACTCAATAGTTCAGCAGCATGTCCACAAATAGAATGAGCCATTTCGTGAGCTAAAATAACACCTAATTGATCATCGTTTTGACAGATATTTAGAATACCGGAGAAAACAAAGATTTGTCCTGTTGGAGTAACGAAAGCATTTTTTATCTCCGGGGCATCGACAACGGTTACGGTCCAATTTTTGGTGAAAATTTGTTTAATATCTTGATTAGCGTTTAAAATTCTCATGGCGACCCGTTCAATACGACGACAGATCGGATGATTGGCGGGAAATAATTTGTCTTTATAAACAGCTAATGAACTTTGAAATTCGATATCGGCTATCGAACCAAACTGATCTTCAGTGAAGAGGATGAACCGTTGCCGCTTTGTTACTGGAGTTTCTTGTATATGAGTTTGATAAAATGCGAAAGCTATGATTACAATGGCAGCGAAAATAAGGCCAATTTTTTCCGCGTTGGACATTAACCATTGTTTAATTAATTGCTTCTTATTTGGCGGTAAGGCACTGTACCATTTGCGAATAGATCGACCCATAAGAATCGCCGCTAATTTACCAAGTGGTCGGAGTATAACCCAAACAATGGCAGGAACATGACGACTGGAGGTCGTACGTAATATTTAAATTTCTAGTTGGTTATCTATTGCTAATTGTAAACTTTGAGGTTAAATAACGGATTGATTGTTGATTGTTTCCTCTTAACAATTTAAGCGACAAGTGATTAGATTGGCAGAAAATTATCCGTTGTGAGGATAAGCTCTTGATCAATCGGGCCAAACTAAAAGCCATTTGGGAATAGTGAACATACTCATCGAGACGATTAATCCATCAATTGTTTCTAAATGATTAGAAAGAGGTACAAACAATTAGTGATTGATTAGATTAAAAAAGTTGAATCAACAACAGAGGAAAATTAAGATTAGAAAATCAGGTTACATTTAGAGGAAAAGAGATCGAGATCGAGAGATGGACATATTTCATGTGATCTGCCGTTTCAGCATCATGTATAGACTTTAGACTTTAGATTAGATTATGAATATGAAATTATTTCTTAAGTTTCGTCATTTAACTTCAATGTTTTCTGTTTCTCTAAGTTTGAATAACAAAGTGAAAATAAGTTCGAGATCGAAAGGCTACTCACTGTGGCCAACAAATGGCACATGTTCCCGTCATTGTTTGGGTTATACTTCGATCACTTGGTAAATTAGCGGCGATTCTTATGGGTTGATCCATTCGCAAACAGTTACTATCCAGCGTGGAAAAATTGACCTTATTTTCGCTGCCATTGTAATCATTGCTTTAGCATTTTATCAAACTCATAGTCGATACCAAAATTCAAAGTCAATTAGCTCTTCATAAAGATAAATTATTTTCCACCAATCGTCCGATTTGTCTTATGTCATGTGATTTGTCTTACCGTATTTAACGGTTCGCCAGAATCTTAAACGCCAATCAAGATATTAAATCAAGTTCCGTTGTGCAGCCTCAAGTCTTACGATCATTGATAGATTACAAACTAGACAATCACAAAAATTGTCAGCACCAATAGTTTATATGGAGACAGAAATTATTATCTAAATTATATTCTGAACAATAACCGAACAACCTGTCGTACCTAAAAACGACAGAACTTATTGATACCCTTAATACAGCCAAAGACTTAAGATGACTTAGATGAGTTTGTATAATAAGACAAGAGTTTCATGTAGTAACATATCGTTGAACACATAGATCGCTGTTGTTGCTGAACAAACAAACAGAAAGGGTAAGAAACCAAAGTTTGGAAAGAGAAAATTTTTATGAGTTTTGACCCTTAACCTGTATGATATTGGTTCTATTAATATTTTGTTGATGAATTTGAATTGTAAAAGCTATCGAATGATGTTTTCAGTCTTTTTAGACCTCAGGTTCTTCAATTTTTTGCTCGAAAAACGTGAATCTCAACTGTGATTGTATGATTATCGATTTAATATAAAGAAAGTCTAATGAGTAGAATTGTTCTACTCATACTGATTCTCACAATCAGTTAATCAATTTACAGTAATGTTCAATATTTTTAACTGTTCAGTAATGGATAAGAATAATTAGTTTGAAATGCAATTAAAATCAATTATCACTAACAAATGGTTACAAAGAAAATAATTGTCATAATTAAATGATATGTCTAAATAATCATTGCTGCTAAAACTAATGGAAAAAGATAACTATGCTTCAAACAATTAAATGACCAATTAAAAGATTTGATTAACTCATTGGTTGGATATTCAAAACATGTGAGCATCAATGAATTGATCCCTATCCTTGAACATGGGTCCCCATGGATTGGAATTGGTGTTTTGTCGAGTTGACTCTCGACCATTTGATGATGGTGATGTTAATTGTTGGGGTGGTTTCATCTTGATTGGGGTTGAAGAAGCCATTGTAATCAGGTTCGCCTCCATTTTTGTGCAATTTGAACGCTCAAAAATTGGCTCACGACTAAGAATCATAAATAAAGTAAAGAAAAGCGATAGAAAATAATCAATCAATGATCAAGTATCTCAATCTTTTCGACGATGATCAAAAATTGATTGATTGTCTTACCTGTGGTGATGATTTGATAGAATTAAAATTTGACTCTTGGCTGGAGGCATCTTGATGCTTAAGTTTTCACTCCCGGTGGTTGATCAAATTAACAGTAGATGAATTTAGTTCAATGAGTTTATCTTGTCAACGTTGAAAGTCAGTCAATTTTATTCAAATAACAGTTGAATTAACTAATTAGTTCTGAGGATACACCTTGAGAGAGGAAGGAAACAAAAGGTTAGTTGAAGAGGTTTCAATTAGAGGGATCATGATTTATGAGAATTTACTTATTTGTTTGATGATTCACAATAAAGTTGAATGGATAACGGGAATTGATCTTTCAAGGAGTATAATGGATCATAGTTAACACTTGTAACTCCAAAACGTTACCAGAATTTGCTCGACGAGATCCAATTGAGCTGATTAAGTTAATCAATTGTTTCCTTTTACCGGATCGATTGCTTAACATAGGTACGTTGATGTGATTGTTGGAAAGAAAAGAAAAGTTAATTATTTAGAGTAATGATGATCAAATTGATGCGGAGTTAAGGTTAACATGAGAAACGAAAAATGTAACTGAATTGTAACTGAACACAACAATCTAAGAGATTATTATTATTGCGGAAGTTTTTTAGTTATTGAATTTATCATGAATTGTGAATCAAATTGCGATTTCAAACTACAACTTTATTTATACGAGAGAATCACTTGTAATCTGTTAATCTTTTAATCTCCTATTCTTTTGCGATTTCAATTCAATTATCCACACCCTCGTCTCTCATATGACATTTTCTCATCTCATCTCATCTCATCTCTCTCTCTCTCTCTCTCTCTCTCTCTCTCTCTCTCTCACTCACTCACTCACTCTCTCTCACTCTCTTTAGCCACTCACAATCCAAGGCAAGGTAATCATTTCATTCAGCCTGCATGTGATCATACACTCGAGTTGTATTGATCGTGATAATTAAGATGATCAGTTTAAACGAGACATTATGATGATCAATGTGGTTTGATGCTGTTTATTGAAACCTCATTAATATTAATCAATTTTCATTGTTAATTGCTGTTCTAATTTACTGCTGCTGTTAAGAGACTCATCTTATTGAACTCATCTCAACAATCAACTAATTGTAAAGACAATTTAATCTCTTTTCCGGTGACATTGTCCTCCTTTAATATTTTGCCTGATTGTTTACCTTTGTTACTCTTTCTTTTATAACAAATTCTAATTGTCATCTAATTATCTCACATCCGAATGTAATTAACTTTCTGTTGCAATTTACCAGAAAAATTAATCTTAATTTAATATCACTTTAAAAGTTAATTGTTACCCGTGTCGCTAATTGTTAATCTCTTTTTGTTTTTACTGAAAATTGGATAGAGAAAGAAAAAGTTTAATGATTAAAGATAATTGTGATTATCTTAAGTAAGTAAACATGGATAAAAACACTTGACAATTAGTTGATTAGTTGGAGAAAAAAATTAGATGGCTGATCCAAATTAAGATACATTCAATTGGTCTGAGCGTTAAAAACAATTGAATCAATAATTTTTTAATTACGAATAATAAAAAAAAAACTTAAACCCTTCAAATCAATTGAAAGTAAATCTAAAAGTTCGTGACAATTAATTAATCATCACTCTCATCTTGATTATTACACAATTAAGTGTTCAAGAAACGACAAATATCAGAATCTTCCAGAGTCGGAATGAAAAATCAATCAATCTGATTAAGCAACAATCAACTAATCAAGTGATCACCTTGATGAGTTAACTGTTACAATTGATTTAACAATCAGGGTTATTAATCAATCTGAAATAATCTACAATTAAGCTTTAATTCCTAATTCTGTTAAAGAAATGAAAAACATTTGATCAAACAAACAATAATCCCTAACAATTAACTAAATCAAAGTGATCAAGGTCCACAGGTAAATCGTGATTAACCTTGTCAATTAACAATGATTACTTTTAATAACAATAAACTTATATCAATCATCAATTTAAATTGTTACTTATCAATATATCCTAACATTATTAATAACGATGATGATTAAAATTTAACATGATAATCAAAACCATTGGAGTTAATTTTTCAGTTGTTGATTGTTTAATTGTTGTAGTTATTAATAAGTAACTATAAATATAATCACATGAGTGACTCTCTATGGTTAACTTAATTGTTTCATGATACAATCAAAATCTGATACATAAAAGGAAATTGTTTGTAATTAAATCATTGTCATGAACATCACCATTAACCTCAAATATTAACAATTAACTTTAATTCAGTCAATCTAAATGATTGTCAAAGTGACAAAACAATTAGATTGTTTCTTTTGGATGAAAAGAGTTTGGGAAAAAAAGGAAACTTTTGATTCTTAATTGTTCACATCATATCCATCGGATGAATCAATTTAGTTACAAGATTAGTTTATTAATATAATATTTTTGTCGAGTTGTTTGTTATTGAATTGATTACAAAATTATCGATCATATTATTATAATCTAACAATTTGTTTTTATGTAAATTATTCAATCGTTGGTTGATTGTTATTGTTTTTCTTTCATGTATTTACATGGTTGTTGTAACAAAGAAAATTATGAGAAATGAGAAAACTGGAACACAATTGATAATAATAATAATAATTTCCTTGAATCTGAACCATTCCGGTGATTTAGATGAGGATGAAGAAGAAGAAGAAAAAATAATAACACTTATAAATGACTTTGTGTACAAATTTTGAATGTAATTAGTTAACAGAATTAACTCTTCAGTCTCATTTGGAAGTGAAATCAGTTTCAATTGAATTTCGAGGTTTGAATTTTTCACCTTCTTCTGAGAGAGATGATCGTAGCTCTTTAATAAGCTCCCTAAAGTGAAGTGAGTCAAGATTCTTTGCCAATAGATGGAGGATAAACCAATCACCAATTCGAGCATGATCAAGTACATCAGTTAAATGATTACGATTGGCAAGTCGAGCAGCTGATCGTAGGTAAAGATATCGAAAATGCGGGAAACAGATGATCAACATTCGCTCAATGATAACCCAAGCAGAGACAACAGCTAAGATGACAAACCAGAACCAAAGGAAAATATAAATTTTCTCATTAATTATATTCAAGGGAAGAATACAAAGTGAATCGTGTCTTTGAACATCTCCCGATGAACCATATCGATGGAAAGTGCACTTAGTTACTCGAGGGAAAACTTTAACCATTGGATCGACTCGAGTTTCGGGATCCATTTCACTGTATTTAAGAACTTCAAGGCCATAAGTCGAAAAGGCACCTCCGAGAAAAGCATCGACAATGTACATTTGAAAGATAACATTGATGAAATTGAGTATCTCACAGAAAACGAAACAAGCAAAATAGGAATCATGATAGCGCATATTAGTCTTGAGGTAGTGTGTTAGAAGAGCAATTTGTTCCGATCGTTCATCTGAACCAAGAACGGGATTTCGTAGGCTTAAAACAAGTGACCTTAATCGTCCACCTTCCCAAATTTTCCACAAATAACGAGGAATATAAAAGAAAATGGCCTGGAAGAAGAGAACAAAACAAACCCACTGATAGTAACGATGGTAAACTCTTTTCTCCCCGGGCTTATAATTATCCACTCCTGGAGCGACCACATCAACACCAACTTGTTTACCCAGAGCATTGGGCAGGGTGAACGTTGAATGAATCCAACAAAAAGTATCCATCACATTCTGAGGAATATCATCCCTCTGAATACAATCAATGGGATCACCGAAATATTGTCTACCAGTGACCAGAATACTGGAAGCAACCAAAAGGATAACCGTTGCCTTATAATGTAAACGAAAAGCATTGTTATCAATTCTCACTTGGTCCAATTTAGCGATTCCCCTAAGGGAACTTAACAAATCGAAAACCATTTCTTTAAACTCTTTCAATCAAATCACTTTGGTAATACACAAATAACAGGCAAAGAAGAGAAAAACTTTAAAGTTATCAATCAGATTAAAGAACAAATGATGAAAAAAGAAAAACAGTGAACATAATTTAAGGAAAAACAATTAATTGTTATTTTCTAAAAAAGAAACAAGTGAAAAAAGGTTAACATGATCTAAGAAAGTCTAAAAGCCGAATGAGTCAACGACGTTTACCCAACGTTACACAACAGAAAAGATTCACTTCTCTTTCTCTTTCTCTCTCTTTTTCTTTTTTGTTTCTTTGTTTCTTCTTCTTCTTTTCTCCCTCCCAAAGAGTAGAAACTCTTTTCTGCTCCCTCCTGAGCCCTTTCTCTTTAAAATCGCCATTTTGAATTTTCACTTTATCTCTTTTACTAATCTAATTTCTCATCTTTCTAATCTAATTGTTAACAATTAGAACATCATTTCTCTCTAATTATCATCTAACTGTCTTTGGATTTTTCTCTTCCAATTTCAGATCAAAAGTTTTCTCTTTTTTTCTTTTTCCTTCTATTGTGTTTGTTCATTGGGTTTTCTTTTTTTTTCCTCTTCACTAGTTTCCTTTTCCTGGATTGATAAAGATGATAATTGGTCAGCTGATTAAATAGATGAGTTAATAAGTCATCAAATTAACAGTATTTATCTAAAATTGTTTGTTCTTTTTATCTTCTTGTTTCTGTTTTCTCTCTCTCTCTCTCTCTCTCTACTTTTAGGTTTGGTTTTTAGTTTTCCTCTCTCTCTCTATCTCGTTTCCGAAGCTCCTTTTGAAAAAAAAACCTATCTCTTGGTGGGGCATTGAATTACCCTGGCGTGAGGAGGATGGTGATGATGATGAAGATAAAGATGATAATGATGATGGAGGTTTTCAAAGGATCAAATGTTTGTGAATGAAAAGGATGGAGTCAACAACTAGTTTTTCCAGTCTCAATCTCTACTATTTTCAATGGTGAAAACATCAACAGGTTGAATAAGATTAACACAACAATAAACAAGAATCATTAGGTAAAGGCTTTGCTTTTTTTTCCTTATGATTCCATGACGATGATGATGATGATGATAATACTTTTTACCTTGATAACAGATGATCTGCTCAATAGAATCCTCATTTTGTTGTATTATCGTATTTACGTTTGGGTTGGTCAGTTGATTGTTATTTTTATCAACATCATCTTCATCTTCATCCTCATCATGTTAACCGGTTTATTTTTGGCAATTGATGTGAAATCTTTTCCTTTATTAAAGGTTCCAACTACTATAGTGACCATTATTCATCTCAGGCCTCATTTTGGAAAAAGAAATTCTTATTTTTACCTCTTCTCCCTCTCTTTTTCTCTCTCTCTCTATCTGGATCATCACCTCCATCATCAACTTGACCAGTCCAAGCAGATGAATTGAACCTGGAAGAAGAGGTTCCAACAAAAAAGCATCTTGGACAAAGTACAATCGCTTTGATTGACTGACCATTGATTTTGTCAATGTTTTCATTTTTTTTCTGTCTCTCTTATGTTTATTTTGGATTGGATGAAGTTTATTGTGATTGTAATTTTCCCTTAACCATGATCACTATTATCCTGAACTATTATTGGAGCCAAAAGGTAATAACCTGTTGAAATCTCACTTATTGGCAAGAAGGAAATTGAATCAATTCTGGTTCACACAAGAACTAATTTTTTGTTATTGTTGAATCAAGAAAATGAGATGAAAACTTGATGTCCACTCGTAAACCTGTTGACCAAGTCAATTTTTCTGATGGTCAAGGTTTGATTAGTGTTTTTTTTTAAAGCCAAAATTAATGTGAACAAATCAAATAGTCGAGAGCAATCAACTGATGATTCTAATAATTTAATGTATCATTGGGAAAAAAAGGTACATCATAATTCATGATACAAAACATGATTCATTCATTTTAACATTTTGATTTCAAGTTGATTGTTGGTAAATAATATCAAAAGTTAAATTATATTGATTTTTGATAAAATTAACGGCCTTTTGATATTATTGACTGACAGTAATTGTTGAGATCTCAATTAGTTAAGGTGAGCATATAAACTATCATTAATGTTAATATTTATACATAAATCTATTTTAGATACGATCATGTTGCCGGTGGTTTAACTTGAAGGACAATTAAATTTTTCAACTTCTCTTGTTGCATTTTAGCTTCATAAGCTTTAACTTCATTTTCTAGGATGATTCTTGGATCGATGAAAGGTAATCGTGGACATTTACAGGAAGATCGTAACTTAATCGCTTCATCAATTTGGGATTCAAGGGATTCAGCTCTGGAATAATGAGCTGGATGAGTAGACAGAAATTCAACATTCTTTATGACATCAATTTCGGGAGGTAGTCCCAAGTCCATAGTCTCATACAAACCCATTCGTCTCCAGAAGGCAACAAACTCACGAACATCAAAACAAGCTTTTGCGGCCATTGTAAGGCCAACCTGATCGGCTTCTGATTCTATTTTACGATTATAAGGAAGTGTTAAAGTTAAATTTGTTATTTTTGCAAGAATATAATGAAAAGCGGCAGCCAGGAAATCTGAATATGGAAGAGCCCAAATCAGAGCGATACCGATCATCGCAATGAAATCGATCCACGAAGTGTAACTCAATAGTTCAGCAGCATGTCCACAAATAGAATGAGCCATTTCGTGAGCTAAAATAACACCTAATTGATCATCGTTTTGACAGATATTTAGAATACCGGAGAAAACAAAGATTTGTCCTGTTGGAGTAACGAAAGCATTTTTTATCTCCGGGGCATCGACAACGGTTACAGTCCAATTTTTGGTGAAAATTTGTTTAATATCTTGATTAGCATTTAAAATTCTCATGGCGACCCGTTCAATACGACGACAGATCGGATGATTGGCGGGAAATAATTTGTCTTTATAAACAGCTAATGAACTTTGAAATTCGATATCGGCTATCGATCCAAACTGATCTTCAGTGAAGAGGATGAACCGTTGCCGCTTTGTTACTGGAGTTTCTTGTATATGAGTTTGATAAAATGCGAAAGCTATGATTACAATGGCAGCGAAAATAAGGCCAATCTTTTCCGCGTTGGACATTAACCATTGTTTAATTAATTGCTTCTTATTGGGTGGTAAGGCACTGTACCATTTGCGTATAGATCGGCCCATAAGAATTGCCGCTAATTTACCAAGTGGTCGGAGTATAACCCAAACAATGGCAGGAACATGACGACTGGAGGTCGTACGAAAGTGTCTCAGGCCACAAGAGTTCCATTGATCAGCTTGTTTTCGTGATGATAGATTATTAAAATTACGATGAATGGAAATTGATTTATTTAAATCTGGATGAAGGAAAGAAAATTCAATGTAAACCCTTGATTATGTTGTGGTTTCTATCTTCATATCAACTTACTTTGGTAAATATTTAAATTTCTAGTTGGTAATCTATTGCTAATTGTAAACTTTGAGGTTAAATAACGGATTGATTGTTGATTGTTTCCTCTTAACAATTTAAGTGACAAGTGATTAGATTGGCAGAAAATTATCCGTTGTGAGGATAAGCTCTTGATCAATCGGGCCAAACTAAAAGCCATTTGGGAATAGTGAACATACTCATCGAGACGATTAATCCATCAATTGTTTCTAAATGATTAGAAAGAGGTACAAACAATTAGTTATTGATTAGATTAAAAAAAAGTTGAATCAACAACAGAGGAAAATTAAGATTAGAAAATCAGGTCACATTTAGAGGAAAAGAGATCGAGAGATGAACATGATTCATGTGATCTCTTATTCCATCATAATAAATATTGAGACCTCGAAATGATTAATAACCACAACATCAAAGTCCACTGAATCAGTTGATTGTCTCACTAATTGTAATTAATTTCACTAATGTTTGCCAACACATCAATACATTTGAAGACAACACTCAGTCACATTGTACTGTTTGTCAACCTAATTAATATCAAGTATTTTAAAAAGAACATGAAAATGTCAAATATAATTTACTCAGTAAACAGGAAGATCAAGATGAATCAATTAATCAACTGGATTAAATTGAAATTAATTAACTCCAAATAAAGTGTTGAAAATGAAAGGAAACCAAGGGAAAAATAAACAAAGTCAAATGAAAGATGAAACAAAATGAGTTTTCAATTAAAAGAAATACAATTAAAAATAAATTCCAACTAAACTTACCGTTAACTATCCCAAGTAATCAACCAGTAGACTTAATTAAAAACCGGTAATCAACTAATTAATGAAGATAATTAAAAATCAACGGAAAAAATAAAAAAAAATTTCATTTAAAAACGTAAACAAATAAGATGTTAGTCCAAAAGTATCAGATCTCGGATCGGATATTAATTCGGATCTTCAATCAATTTAACCAAAACAATTAAATTAATTTGATTCTGTTTATGAATACAAATGATTTTTAATTGAAAATAAGTAGACTAAAGACTCAATTAATAGATTATTAGTGATTTTATTAGACAATTTAACTGACTTTAATGGTTGAAGATGGAAATTGATTGGTTGAAAATTTTGAACAATTAAAATTCTGGTAACAAACAATTAACTTGATTGAAAAAGTTTAAATTGTTACGTTTTGATGATTTTTAAAATAAAATTTTCCAGGAAAAAGTAAAATAAAATCAATTGATTTTGTTGATAACTAATGAGAAAGATTTTTTTTCTCAATCAATTTGATTTAATCAACTGAATATCAATTTATTTAAATATTAGTACTTCCGGTAAGCAAACAATTATCAACAGTTTAATTCAATTGTTTTGTTAATCAATTCGTAAACATTGAAACAATCAAAAATTCAACCAATCAACAATATCAATCAAAAAGAATCAGTTTTAAGGTAAATATTTAATACAAGTAAATTAAGGTGTGATTGTTATTCATCATCAAATTTGGTTTCAATAACAATTACAATTAGCTGATTATTGAAATAAAATAACATTAATCAACCTGAATAACAATGATATTGGTCAAATATTCAGGAACAATTAAGTAAATTGTTTAATCATGATCGTGACAATGACAAAAATATGATCAACAATCAACACTTTCAATGTATAAAAAAAAGGTAATCAGATAGGAAATGAATGAAATTAGTTAATTTGATTACAGTTAATTCCCAATTAAACATGAGTATGACGTAAATCACTATCAAAATAATCTTAATTAAATCTAATCATCATTGAATTTGATTAACACAATCTTGATTTGATCTCTTTATTGGGAATTAAGATTGACCTTTATTGTCCACTACCAACAACAACAATAATTAAGGGTCAATCATAAGCTATTGAGGTCAACAATTAAGTGAAAGTTGATTTCCAAAAACAGATTATACAAAATACAAGGTTAATATGATTTAAATTGTTTTAGATAATCAACCGTTAATTAACTTAACATGATTCCGGTTTCTGGATGTGTAAGTGTTTTAAATTGTCTCAATTAAAATTTGTTATTAAACAATAATAATAATCAATAGGTGGGGTTTAATTATTATTCATCCGCCGGTCATGAACTGGATTAGATTTAATTTTGTTGAATTGTGATTGAGAAAAAAAAAGAGAAAAAAATTTCTACCAAAAATTGTGATTAACTAAATTACAATCAAATTGCTTGAAACAATTGCAACAACAACAACAATATGTTGACCTTAAGAAATTTGCTCACAATTAACTTAATTAACAATTTTCTTTTTCCTATCTAATTAGCTGATTCCCATAATGTCATGAAAATGAACATCTACTAATTAAAAGTAATCAACAATTACCATTTCTGACAACAATATAAACATTGTCATCACGAGTTAAATCATGTTAATTAAATGTAATCATTGTTAATCAATGAAATTAACTTGGTAATGGTCACTTCCTGGTCATTTACTTGCCATTTTCATCAATTGTCTAGGTTTTGATAATTTGGTTAACCTTGATTAAACAATCAAGTTCAATTGTTACAATATTAGTTGTGATTAAAGTTAATCATCCAATAATTATAATCATTGGACAACAATTAGATCAACTAGTGACCTGATGGGTGATGACGTTGTTACTTACAATTGATCATGATCTTCAATCAGATTAGTCCATTTAATATATATGATTATCATTACGAATTAAGGTAAAATTAATCAGTTGATCTTGTTGATTAGTAAATTGTTTCGAAAAGAGAATTAATATGTTTATAACAATTTCTATTCACCTTTCACCTGGACCTTTAACGAAACAGGACAAACACACACACACTGAATATCGTTATATTTATTTTCCGGTTTTCGGTTCCGCCTTCGGTTACCTTTACTCTCACTTTTTCTTATCATCTTCATCATCATAACAACCCCAAGTAGCCTCAACTGGACGCAAGTATCATCATCATCATCATCATCATCATCGTCGTCGTTTGAATGAAAACCGATAACGTTAACGAAAACCTCATCAATAACACAATAGCCTCAAGGTATTGGAAGTGATTCCAAGTGTAACAGTTAACCAGTAAACTTTTACTGGCTTAATCAGTTTGCAACCAGAAGCGAAAACTTAATCAGTGATTCGTTACAATTACCATCAACAACAATCAACTTGATTGTTAATATTTTCATCTATTTCCATTGTAAATCTGTGATCATAACTTTGTGAAAAAGTTTTCAATTTTCAAGTCTCTTCAATTTAGATAATTTAACCATCTCTTCAATTAGTGTTTTCAAACGTGATTAGTTTTCTACTAATCAATATGCCTGAACGTGATTACATTTGGCCATTAGAATCTATTGACAATGTTCGTCAAATGGTTCTTGATTATTACGAGACTGATGATAAAGATTCATATGATTCAACTGACCTCACTGAACTTATGGTGGACAATTGGTGGATCAAGCGATTCTTGATTCACAAGGGTGGAGATGAGGTTGAAGCATTTAACATGATAATTAATTGTCTCAAGTGGAGGAAAAAAATTGAGATTCGTTCAATTAAAGACAATCATTTTCCAGAGGAAATCTATCGTATTGGTGCTCTATTCAGCTATGGACGTGATCAAAATGGCTTCCCAACGGTTTATATTAGATTAAAGATGGTTAAACGATTAAAGGAAGTCTCTGATTTGGTTAAATTGTTCATCACTTATAATTTTTACAAAGTTGATGTCGAATCTCATGGACAAGGTTGGGGTTTAATCATTGATTTCAATGGAGCGGGTCTACAAAATACTGACCTCGATTTGGCTCGGATGGTTATCTTAGGTCTTAAAGCTTATTTTCCCTCCTCTCTTGAGTACGTGCTTTGTGTTGACTTCCCTTGGATTCTAAGAGCCTTTTGGAGGGTAATCAAAAGCTGGATTCCCGCTGATCGTAAATTCATGTTATCATTTACTTCGAGAAATCAATTAACATCATTTATCGATCAAGATTATTTACCACAATTTCTGGGTGGAAATTGTAAGAGACCAACTAATGAGGCTCCTTTTGGTTGTCCCAAATTTGTCGAGTATTGTGTCACCGAACTTGGTGTCTCAAAGGAATCAGCTGAAAAGGTTTTCGCTCAATATAAACCTTACCTTTGAAGAATCATAGAATTATTATTCTAATTGTTGTTGATCAATTAATTTATCCTCCTCTATTTAATATATTCAAATCTATTTAATGCTTATTATATTTAATGAATAATAATCTCCAAAGTATCATGTAATTGTAAAAAAAAAGAGTCACGATTAAACTAACCAAATCGACATCGATCTTGGTATTGCTTAAATCTTTTTTTGGATTAAGTTTTGTTGTAAATGGGCGATCACTCGTTAGAATAATCCTTTGTCCTCTACCTGAAAAGTGACCAGAAATTGACCTTGATCAAAGTTCATTCTTACTGAGCCAAAACAAAGTTCAGTTGTATTACATTCAGATGATTTTCATTAATCTTTTCAGTGACATCTCAACTCGATAATCCTGAGATGAGTGTTAATCCAAAAGCAGCTGAATGTCAAATGAATTAAATTAACTGACCAAAAAAGTTATAGTTTGTAAACAAACCATATAATTATTTTCTATTGGTCAGTATCTAAATCAATGTTCCTAATCACGGTGACATCGATCAGAATGTCACCAGTGAAGTGGAAGAGTCAGTCAGCTCGATTAATTGATTTTCATAGAAACCTGAAGATTAATTTTATTATTTGAAGAGAAAGGAAGTTTACTTGCTATTGTTTCGAGCGTTTTTTAACGATTACGGACATTTGTCTTAATACCTCGAAAATCAAAGGTCGACGAGATTTAATATATGGATACTCGAGAAATTTAAAGAGGCAAATATTTTGAATGGCCTGGATTTGTTTCGATTGAAATCAATGTAAATCAATTGGTTTACATAGAAAAGTGAACCTTGAGAAAAAAAAAGTGAATTTACTGGTGTCATGGCCGCTCTTTCTCTCTTTTTTCAATTAGTTTGAATATTTGGTAAGCTTTTAAAATGGATTCATTTATTTCAATGTTCAAGGGTCTACTTTAAAAATCTCGCACAAATCTGACCTTTGATTCTCGAGATATTGAGACAAACGTCCGTAATCGTTAAAAAAACGCCCAGCACAAACGAGTATCTGGTTACAAATTCAAGTGAAAGAAAGATAGAGGATGGAAAGGAGAGAAAGACAATAGAAAGCTCTTTACAACAATAAAGCTCATTTTTGGGCCAAAAAGAGACACATACCTTGAGTATCAGTCGCAACTCTAATGGCCATTCGGCCATAAAGATGACGAAGAAAAGAAAGAATATTTTCTAACCAGAACGATAGATGGCAGCATAAGTTAAAATTTCGTTGGAAATGATTTCAACTTTTTTCGTCCAATTTAAATTATTGTTTTAATAATAACTTTACGATCAACGAATATTGAATGGTACTTAAATGCTTTTGAATCTTGACCTCAGGGGAGGCTATGAAATCGTTTCTTATTACTTTTGTAACGCAAATCCCACTCCATCCCTTACAGTACAGTTGTCGAAAACGATAAATTTGAATTAATCAAAGCCTTCCCTTAGGTTCCTGTTGAAGCTTAATAACTTATTTTTTATTATCAATTGAGTTCCAAAGAGAGTTTTAAAATGACCTTTTAATGTATTCTATGAGGAATGACTGAAATTCGAAAAGTTAAGCTTCTATTCATCCCTCTTTTGGTTTAATTCTGGTTAGTTCACTGGTCAAGTTCCACTCTTCATGACTTTTCGTTCTTAAGATACTGTCTTTTTCTATTGATAGGAACCTTTGGTGTATGAAGTTAAAAAGTGGATAGAAACGCTCTGTATAAATATGAATTAGTAAAGTTTATTAGAATTCACAAGAGGAGGAAAAGTCGTATGAACGTATCAATAGACGAATCGAAAAGTAACTTTATCCAAAGATGCCTAATCAATAAATGTTTATCAATTTAGGCTAAACTTTTGTTGGATAAAAATCTTTCAATCATGTAAAGAGCAGCGGCAGGTCGATATTCGGGTACAGTGTGACCTGATCCTCTAACGGTTGCATATGAAAATCCTTCATAATTTTTCACGAACCCAGCGACTTGGTTATCAACATACCAAGGTTTATATTTACCGATTTGTTTGAATCCAAGTTGATCTGAAAACCATTGATCACCCAAGAAATCACAGACCATGTCAGTGTCACCATTGTAAATTAGTCCTCGTTTACCTGCTTTGATTGAAGCGATAACTTGTTTCTTCAGCGATGGATATTGAGTTTCATAATTATTCGTAACATTGAGCGAAAAAAAAGTCCAATCAGTTAAGTTTTTCGGAATTTTAAGAGCATCTCTAACATCAGATCGTGATAAGTAATTATTTAAATCTTCTTTATCGAAACATGGAAATGATAAGGTTTTGATCTCTGAATTTTTGTAGAAAATTGCTCTTATTATGTTGTGCACTAAGTGCCAGCTTTCAAGAGATTCTGCTCTGAGACTTTGAATTTCACTTGAATAATTCAATTCTTCAGTAGCGCAATCGTCATAGATAGCGTAAGAATTAAGACCAATGCTGATGATGAAATCATTTGCATCATTAACGACCTCGATGCACTTGATATCAGTGTTGTTGGCAAAGTTACACGAATCGGGTGACTCGTTTCCGTTTTTACAGCAAAAGGAAACGATTTTACTCCATGTTTGGGTGTCTATGAACCCATGATAGTAGGCGAATCGTACAATCGAGTTACCAAGAAGATATTGATCCAGGTAACCGTTTCCAATGGCGAAACCGACATAGTTAATATCAGGCTCTTCAAGAAGACGAACCGATAAAGTAGGGATGTAAACTCCAGCGTAACTTTCACCAGCTAAATAGAAACTATGATTTTCGAATGCTTGAAACTTATTGAACCAAGATTTCATCGCGAGTAAAGTATCAAGTGAAGTAGAATCGTCGCTATGAGAATAATTACCAGAATCACTATAAGAATAACCAACACCAGAAGGAGATTCAAGGAAGATAACATTCGCTACCTTATTCCATGCGTAAGGATTTCGATCCAAACTGGAATTTCCATTCAATTGGAATGGGCCTTGTTCAGTGAAAAATCCGAGCAGTGAACTAGAGCCTGGTCCACCGTTTAGCCAAAGTAAAAGCGGATCTTTAGCTGGGTCATTTTCCGACTCGACGAATACATAATGTAAATGAGTTCCTGGACTAGCATCAAGGTAACCCGAGTACATTTTAAAATCCAAAGGACCAGAAAGTCCTGGTAAACTGGTCACTTGATCATCAGAATAAGCTTGACCAGAGAAAATGAATGAACAAAAAAATAACAAAGTTAAAAAGAACATGATAATAATTAGTTAAGACACTATTTCAATCAAATATTAACAATGCGATCAAAAAAAGAAACTTATTTTACACCTAATCAATAAATTCTCAATGTTCATTCAGAAACAAACAATTATAATTTACAATCTCTCAATTGTTTCTACCTCTCATTCATTTTTCCAGAGATAACTTAACGAGTGCATCAACAATTAAAACATAAACAGAATTAACAACAAAGAGTAAGGAGTTATTATTACTCTTTGATTAACAATCTTATCGATTCTAATCCAGTTCAAGTTGAGTATTGTTTAGCTTGACAGAGTTTTTAATTGTTGCCAAACTTTTGAGCTTTGATTTCATTTGATCGTATTGAGGCTTTCATTAGAAATTAAGAATCGAAATATTGTTTATTCAATGTTATTTTTTAATTATCTCATTAGAAAAACTTTTTAATTGTTACAATTAATGATTTTTAGCTAAGATACACAGTATCTAAAGGACAAGAGTTTCACATCTTTTTCATTTTCAATTAAAAGAGTAAATTATTTACATTTATCATGATTAATGATTTGGTCAACTACTAATATTAATAGTTATGTAAGTAATTGAATATTATCATTGAGCAATTTGTTTCTTCAGGTGTGTCAGCATTTTCTCAGCAACTTTATCCTTGATATTGTTCAATTTAGCATAATCCATTAGACTAGGAACCTCTGATAGTTCAGTTTTGGAAAGAGTTTCAATTTCACCACCAAGGTACGTAGGTAAATTATCCTTGTCAATCATTGAATTTAAGGTCGGCTGGTCAATGAAGATCATTTTTGACCAAAGATATTTAGGGAAAAAGTATTTGATTACCTGAAGAATCATTTTAAAGCTGAAATTCATATCAAGAAATGCGATATACTCAGTACTGGGTGGATATTTTTTGGTGAAAATTTCGAGTACTTCTTTGAGAAGGCCAATGTCCACTTGAGCTTGTCTACAGTCAAAAATGACACCAACTTTTTTATTGGTCGATAAAACTTTATTTCGAACTATTTCAGCCACCAATAGGAAATTCTTAACAATCAAAGAATTAATCTCTTTGAATCCTGGTGAAACAGCCAATCTAATGAAAACCAAAGGATGACCAGAGCGATCGAAACCTTTGCTACAAACAATCCCGTTTGATAAAGTTCTCGTGGAAAATCAGTCATCTTCAGATCTAGAACTTTGTTTTCTCGCCGATAACAACAGTGACGTTTAAGTGCTTCAAAGGAAGAGTCGACTCTCCAATCATTCGCCTCAAGGAACAGTGTAACACCAATATCGCCGCTTTTAAGCGTTTCAACGTCTCTCGAGTCAAAATAATCCGGATCTTCGTTTATCATATTCAAACACAACTGCTTAAGCTCTTCAATCTTGAACCTCTTTCTTTCCTCTTCCGTTTCAGATCTAAAATGATGAAATTATTCAGAAACAAAAAAAGGACCATGAAAAAAGTTGCAAAGTCTCAAAGTATCTACATTGTCCATCCAATAATATCAATAAAGTTTTCTTTTGATCAGTTGATTTAAACGATTATCAATTTTATATGTTGAATAGAAAACAATTTATCAAAAGTGATGCAATTTTGGTTACTATTTATAACTCAAAATGATGAGAGAAAAAAAGTAAACAAAGAAATCAGCTGATCGAGAAACTTCAATGGTAACTGGACATAATTGTTATGATTAATAAATTGGTTCATAAAAACTTACCTCATTATCTCATTTCCATTGTCAGTAAAAACAGAGTTAATTAGTAGGCTCATTATGATGAGAATCAATGAAATACAATAATCGAAACAATTTAAAATCAATGTAAAGTTGATTAATTGAAAAACTTTGAAAACTTTTTTTTTCCAAACACAAAGGTATTGATGTGAACGCGACGAGGTGAAGTGTTCAAGTGATCCAACAATGATTAAGATTATGGTTTTATCCTATTATATTGCAGTGGATCAAGAGGATGATTAAGATGATGATAATGATGTCCGGGGAATTTTCAATTCTGGCTGAACAAGTTTACGGCAACAACAATTAACCTTAATTTAGGTATAAAAAAGTGAGAAGGCTGCAAAGTCAGTAAGATAGGAAAGTGCACTGCCTCCGGCAATTAGTAAATTGTTTACTCACTTCCAATTGATAATATTAAGCAATATCAATACTCATAATCTACAGATAAACGGAGTGTAAGAAACGATATCGATTAATCAGTTTACTGATTGTTAACTAATGACGTCTATCGATTTGTTTTCGTTGGTACAACCATTCAGTTAATCAAATTATCCTTGAATTAATTGAGAAAATTTAACCGTTGATTAACTGATTATGATCATTAGTTATTCATCTCTCTATTAATCCATATAAATTCAAGGGCATCAATTGGAAATCCAACTTTTGGGACAATTTATTTTTGGGTTTTTCATTAACATTTCAACTTACAACTTAATTTAAGATTAACAGACAATTAGATAACTGGATTTAATTTAGAAAGGTTAATAAATTAAAGTGAATCAAATTTTCTTAACCATTAAGAGGGACAATTAAGTGACTCATTTATTATTATATCATTGTGATAGAAGTTACTTGTAACCTTGATTGTTGGGAATTAAATTTTTCCAACGAATTAAATTAGATAACAAAGTTATTCAATCTAACGAAATTAATGGCTCAGTAATTCTGTCTAATTGTGATTGGAAAATAACTATGATTAACTTTAGGGATTTTCCGAATCAATTAAATTCACTATTCTTGTTTCCCTAAATTGTAACAATCAGAAAAGTTGATCATTAATTTTATTTTCCATCAACTTGTTGGTCAATCAACTTTTTCCACAATTAACATTGAAGTTTCATATTTCTTTTCCGTTAACAGTCAATGATTTAAATTTAATTGTCCAAAGTGAACTTTTATTTACAATTATCTATTAATCATTCACGACAATTAGTTATTGATAATATTACTTTTTAAACTTCAGGTTAATCAACTGATTTGGTTAATGAATGAAAGACTTTAATTGTTATTAACCAATAACAAGTTAACATTGATCAATGTTTTAATTTGATTAAGTTTCCTTTTCTAATATTAAATATAATAGTTAATTTGTTAACAATTGTAGTATAAATATAGCAAATCATTGGATTTTAATTATCTATTGATTATCCTTTTAATTACCACTGGTCGATTAACCATTGATCATGAGCTGAATAAATGATTTAATTATAATTAAAACATAATTATTAAGTATTGAAGGACTTAATGTTTACTCACATAATCAAATTGTTTACAAATAAAATTAACCTTGAAAGTGCAAAGTTAATTACTAGATCAGTCTAATGAAATTGAATCTAATCAGAGTATTGTGGCTAATCAATACATAATATAAATAAATCAGCAATTAATCAAGAAATGATTTAAATTGTTTCTTAATGGTAATTATGATGTTATCACTTTTTAAACTAATTAAAAAAGTGATATAAAATTATTAATAAGTTTTTGTTGTTGTTGTTGTTTACAAACAAGAAAAATCATATTGATTAATCAACTAATTATGTTAATTGTCTCAAATATGATCGATAATTTTTAATTTAGTCTAATTTTTGATATGTTCTTAATTGTTTCATATTCTAGGAAAACAATTAGCATTATTATTATTGTTAGAAAATAATCATATAACTTGAATCATTAATTGTAAACTTGAAAAGCTAAACGTTCAAGTAAATAAATGATTAGTTAATTACGGTAGTGTATTAATATTTAACCCCTTGATTTAAATGGCCGTTGATTACCGTTAACTTGGTTATTTAGAGAACCGATTTTTATAGTTGATCGGAAAATTTTTATTCTTGTCAACTGATTTTATTGGTTTGAAATCTTCGTCGTCATCATGATCGATTTCAGGTCCAAATCCACCGAAGCCACGCCATTTATTTGGATTATCCGTAACAAGATTATTTGGCTCATCCAGAGGTGAATCCTGGTCCGTAGGTACTGAATCTGGTTCTGGTTTATCGGGTTCGAAAAAAGGTACGATCAGGTTGATTTTTCTCGAAATTTAAGCCTAAAAATTATATTATTATTCATCATGAATCTTCAAGAGTTTGAATTTCTTTCGTCACCAGTTAAAGTTCCAGAATTCAATAAAACTCGTGATGAAGATGATTCATCTGAAAATGAGTCTTAATAGTTAAAAGTTCCCTCACCTGATGGAGGATTTTCTATCTGAATATCTTTGAATTTGTTACTGAATTTTCTTGAAGGCCAAACATTTGGTACATCTTCATATCTTGTTATCAATGTATTGGGAGCTTCTGTAATGAATGAAGGTTGTGTCGTTGTTTCAAGAGTTGAGGCCATAGTTGTTGCCGTTTCGGTTGTGATTGAGATGAAAGTTGGTTCTGGGGTAGCAGTAGTAGTCGTAGTTGGCACTGTAATGGTGGTCGATGTTGTTGTCGCTTCAGTCTTGGTGGTGGTTTGCGGTGTAGTGACTGAGTTATTCATTAGCTCGGTTGTCATTATTATTAATGTTGTTGTTATCGTCTCTGTGGTTGGTTGAACTGTTGTCGACCCAGTGGTTGGTAGTTCAGTTGTTGAATTTACTTCGATTGTTGTGTTGTTACTTTTAGAGGAATCGTCCAACCCAGTTTTCGTTGAATTTGATGCCTAACAATCAACATCGTCATTTATTAATACATTAGATCAAATCGATTTTCACATTAAAAATAAGAACTCTCAATCTTTACTTGACCTTATCCCATAAATATAATGCTATTGATAAATAATCTACTAATTGTAATTGAATTATATTCACCTTTGACATAATTTTTGTCGTCACTCGAAATGACGGATATGTATGGCAAAATCCCATGAAGTTCCAAGGCCAAAAGTCGTAACACTGAACGGCAAAGTTGAAGAGCAACATTTAGGTACAAAAAAAAAGATTAATCAGTCTGACAATTAACTAATTGTAGTATTGTTATTTACTTACATCAAAAAACATTCCATAAACTGATCATTAATAAACAGATTGGTTGAGAAAAACATTGATTATCTTGAACAATTAATTGTAATCAAACTTACCTGATGTTAATTGTATTAGAAATACACAAATTACTATCAACCTCATATCGATATTTAAATTGTAAAGGCAAATGGACACAAATTAAATGAACTAACCAATAAATTAACTGTTAATTTGTGAAAAAATAATTGTATCTACGAGCTAATTACCAAAATCAATCAGCATCATTAATGATAACAATTAAACTGTATAAACAACCAATTGATCAAACAGTTAACCATTTGATTAAACAACAATTTAAATTGTTTTTAAACAACATGATCTTATCTTTAATTGAACTTTTAATAAATTGGTAGACATTTAATAACCTAATCAATGAACAATCAATGGTTAATCAACTAGAATGTCCACCCAATTGTAATTAATTATAAATTTATGATCAAAAATGGCAATCAAATTGTTGATTTCCAGTTATAATATAATTAATAGTAAAATTGATAATATTAATTATTAAAAAATTAACATGGAAAATTTTTGCAACTGTTTTGATTGTATGAACTCTAGTGATTTAATTAATCACAATTAACTGCATATGTTGTATAATGTAGTCAGATAATCCAGATTTTTATCCATCACAATTAACTAATCACTAAATTTTACTGAGCACAATTTATTTAGCTTATCAACTGAGTATAATAAAAAGATTGAGAAAATAATAAAAGTCAGTCAGTGTTTAGCTTAATTGTCCAGTGGTATCTTAATTGTAACAATGTACTTCAAGTGTCTTATTTTGATGACAATCAGTCAAATCATTTCTGGTGCTATTATAACAGGTAATTAACTATTAATTAGATTATTTGTTTATTTGTTAACTGTTGTTAATCAACATAAACTTAATTTGTCTCGAATTTTTTTTTCCAGGTAAACGTAAGTCAATATTTTCTGGAACAGAATTAAAACAATTCTGTGAAACAATTAAAAGCGACCTTAGCACCGGAACCAAGCCAGATGAAGCAATTAATCAAATTGTCAAACAATTTGAGCCTAAACTGACCAGTGATGATGATGGGTCAAGATTATCCAAGTTCAAAGGGATACTTGAAGCCTTTAAGAATATTGTTGTATTGATTGATCAGGAATCATTGAAAAACTTATCAACCAGGAAACAGGAAGCAGAAATGAATGATAATAATAATGATAACCCTAATGATTTAGTTGATAATGAGGATAAACCAGTTGATAACAATCAAGTTGATGTCATTGATTCAGGTGATGAAATTACACTGGACCCTGAAGAAGGAGGTTCTGATAATTATAATGAAATTGATAATGAATTTAACTCAGATGAAGGAGATTATGATGTTTGTGAGCTAATCAATTATCCTGATTATATTGATTTAGATGAAATTGATAGTGATTTAATTGGTTATGATTATGATAGCTATGAATATGAATATGATTTTGAACCATTCGGCTTACGATTTAATCTGCGACTTTCAATATCAGCTGATTAACTAATTGTTAAATCCAAAAAAAAACAACCTCAATGATTGAAATCAAATTATAAACACTTTTATGTTAATTGTTGTTATATTAATATATTAATTGGATAACCATAAATTGTAATCAACTGATTGAATTTAAATTGTATTGTGAAAATAAAATTTTCAATAAAACTTAATTTTTTTTCATTAATCAACTGATTCATTTCATTTCTTACATAATTAGTCTTATTTTTATGCTTTTTTTCATGGCAACAATTTGGTTGATTGTTGACAATTAAAAAGGTGCAATAGTCATATGGTTAATCTCATAATCTTTGTGAACACAATTAAAAAAATCATGGGTTAATTAATCAATTAACACAAGTTTTAAACAGACTTTCATACTTATTTCATTTGCAATATTTATCATAATTAGTTAATTGTTTGAAAATTAGCATTTCATCAAGTAGATTAACGTGAATAAAAAGCAATTGTATCGTTACGTTTTCCTCTAGTTGTAAACAGTTAATTGATTAACATTGATAACAATCAAGTTTAAGGTAAATTGAATTAAAGAATAACAAAATGAAATTATCAATAGTTTTAATTGTTGTGATCACTTTGTCAACAGGTAAGTTTAAATGTTGGCCATTTTTTTTTGAGTTAAATTGATTTTTTTGTCTTCTTAATTGTTTGATTGTTAGCTTATGGAGCAACAATTAAGAAGGAGGAATTCATTGAATTGTGTCATGCCGCAGGCCAACTTGTTCTCAATGGATTGTCCCCTGCGTCCATTAACCAAGTGATTAAACAGAAATCCCAGTTATCGATTTTACAACGACCAGAGGAGAAACTTGGTTCGACTGATGAACTTTACAATGAACTTGGTTCTAAGATTGTCGAGTCCATAATTAACCTTTTCGTTGATGGTATTGTAAGAATGTTCAAAGATTCATACGTAACCCTGTCAATGGTTCAGAGTGTTCTTCATATGAAGAACTCGTCCCTTTCCGCTTTCTGTAATAAACTTCCGCTTCCAGATTCAATTGACACCGAGAATCCAGTTACTACTCTTACCGCACTAGTTAATTATGTTAACAATTTACCTCCATTAATCTCATCAGTTGCTAATCGACTCAATAACCCTGAGATCAGTGGTTATCAAGGAGCAGCTAAAGCTTCAAAATATTAACCTAAAAGGAATCTAAAAACAAGCAAAGTTACAATTTGATTCACAATCAAATCAAATGATCAAATGATGATAACCTTAAATGAACACAATTAAAAACTGTTAATGCTTCAAAATATAACTGTTTCTATTAATTGATTTCAACTTTCAACAAGTCTTATCATTAATATTGATAAAATTTTGAAACTTAAAAGCTAAAAAAAAACAATCAGTAATCATGATTGTCAATATATAAATCATAACAATTTAATATACGAATCTACATGTAGACAAATAGAATCACAATCAGTGTTAATGAAACAATTGGTTGACTGATTGATTGATTAGAAAATTATAATCGTCGAGTCAATTGTCATCATTGAAGTGGAAAAATTAACCAATTCAATCAACTAAACGATTCTCATAGAAACCTAAAGATAACAAAGCGATTAAAGAATATTTTCTAACCAGAACAATAGATGGCAGCATAGGTTAGAATTTCGTTGAAAAGATTTCCTTGTTGACCTTTCGACTCGAAAGTTTCGAGTGACATTCGAAAATATTAATATTTTGAATGATCAAATTTTCTGGTGGTACGAAGTGAAAAACACCCAAGTTTCAATCTTAGACTCATGATGAAGTATTGAAGAGATTTTTTGATTTCATCATTTACAATCGAGCTCGATTTTTAATCACTTTTTTCAACCAATTCTTTGAATTTAATATAATGATGTTTCTGCTAATCAAAATTATCATTATTCACAAATTAGGTTAATCAATTAAATATGATAATTTGTTTTCCTTTCCAATGAATAGATTGATCCTCACACTCTATGGGTGTTATAAACATGATAAAAAGTCAGTTAATCAGTTGATTAGCGGAAAAGGTAACATCAGAAATCAAAACTTTTTGATTTTGAATATCGATTCTATTATTTAGCTATCAAATTATTATCAAAACCTCTACGAGACCCTGATGTAATTAGTTGCTCATCATTAGTTTCAAGATTTTCATTCCATTCAAGTTAATATGTTCAATAATTTGACTCTTACACATTTCATTATCATTGGTGTTGTTGGTCTTGTGGCCACAACGATCATTGTGGGTACCGTTATTTCAACGAAGATGAATAAATCTTCAAGTCCTACAAAATTGGGTAAGTTAATAGAAACGAGAAATTTGTGCTAATAATAAATGAATGGTCACTTTATGGTTTAGGTAAACTCGAAATAATTTCAGCTAAAACTGAATGGAAACTTTTTGAATCGGGATCAGTATTACTGGACAATGTATTCGTCGGTGGTAGTAACAGTGATGGAGGATCGATCTATGTGTGCAGGGTAAATTCATCGATAGCGAGTGAACTTTTACCAGGAATGTATGACCCAGTTCAAGGTTCTTGCCAAATGACCTGGGGAGGAAAAACTTATAGTTATTCTAAGTTTGATCTTTTGACGACAAATGACCCTTCGTCTCTGGTTTGGTTGGGCAATAAGGATGGTGATGTTTCATTGGGCAGTATAGTGGGTGGACTATCTGATCGTAGCGATGAACTGAATATAGCCCGAGCCATGATTTCAGGAGGTCAGGCAATCGGTAAAGTACATGGGAGACACTCGAAAGCGTATGTACCCTTTGCAGGGAAAGAAACGGAAATTTTCTCATACGAAGTACTTTGTAGTTTTGATTACAAATTATAATCACAATCAAATGAATAACGATTCAATAAAATCTAATTTATTCCATTAACAATCTTACAGATTATGATTAAAGTCTCAAATAAATATCAAAGAGTTTGTATTATACATTTAGACCAATTTATTTCTAGCTAAAAATTTCTCAATCATGTAAAGAGCAGCGGCAGGTCGATATTCGGGTACAGTGTGACCTGATCCTCTAATGGTTGCATATGCGAATCCTTGATAATGTTTAACAAATCCAGCGACTTGATTATTAACATACCAAGGTTCGTATTCACCGATTTGTTTGAAGCCAAGTTGATCTGAAAACCATTCGTCGCCCAAGAAATCGCAGACCATGTCAGTGTCGCCATTGTAAATTAGTCCTCGTTTACCTGCTTTGATTGAAGCGATAACTTGTTTCTTCAGCGATGGATATTGCATCTTGTAATTAGATGAAACTGTTTCTGAACAATCAGTCCAATCAGGTAGAGTACTTGGGATTTTGAGAGCATCTCGAACATCGGATCGGGATAGATAGTTAATTAAATTGGTATCATCGACACATGGAATTGTTTGACCAGCAACCTTTTCATTATCAGTATTAACCTTTGTATGTGAGCTTTTATGGAAAACTGTATTAATTGTGTTGCGGATTAAATGCCAACCAGATTTAGCACGATAACTTTGAACTTTCGTCGAGTGATTAGATGATTTTTTATCGAGCATCACTGATGAACTGGACGCTGATGTTTTACAATCTTCGTAGATGGCATAAGGATTAAGACTAATCTTGTTGATGAAAGTATTGGCTTTGTTAACGATATCAACACACTTGGGATTAGTGTTTGTGGCAAAGTTACAAGAATCTGGAGACTCGTCACCGTGATTACAACAAGAGGAAACGATTGTATTCCAAGTTTGAGAGTCTAAGAGACCATGGTAGTAGGCGAATCGTAGCATTGAATTACCAAGAAGATATTGATCCAGGTAACCGTTTCCAATGGCGAAACCGACATAGTTAATATCAGGCTCTTCTAGAAGACGAACCGATAAAGTAGGAATGTAAACTCCAGCGTAACTTTCACCAGTCAGATAGAAAGCGTGATATTTGAATGCTTGGAACTTATTGAACCAAGATTTTATCGCGAGTAAAGCATCAAGTGAAGTAGAATCGTCATCATGAGTATAATTACCAGAATCACTATAAGAATAGCCAACACCAGAAGGAGATTCAAGGAAGATAACATTCGCTACCTTATTCCATGCGTAAGGATTTCGATCCAAACTGGAATTTCCATTCAATCGGAATGGACCTTGTTCAGTGAAAAATCCAAGTAACGAACTACATCCTGGTCCACCGTTGAGCCAAAGTAAAAGGGGATCTTTAGCTGGGTCATTTTCCGACTCGACGAAAACATAATGTAAATGAGTTCCTGGACTAGCATCAAGGTAACCCGAATACATATTGAAATCTAGTTTCCCCGAAAGTCCTGGTAAACTGGTCACTCGATCATCTGAAAAAGCTTGACCAGAGAGGATAAAAGAACACGAAAACAACAAAGTAACGACTAAAAACATGATTGAATAAAATGGTTCAATTCCAAGTCGATGATCAACTGATTCTTTAAGAAACTTAACTTGGGCTTTTAATTGTTAATCGAAGATAAATTAACAATTAAATGTTATTTTTCTTCAATTCATTTTCAGTTGTTCTTTTGTTTCTTTTCCTAGTGATAATTTGTAGTCATTTGTTTTATTTTATCAATTAAAATGATAAGGAAATAACAATTAAAATTGTGCAAAACCAACAATTAAACAATAAACTTCACAATTGATTAACATTATTAACACAATCAATTACAAGTTCAGACATTTCCATTGTTTTAATGAGATTTGTTAGATATATTGAACGGCCCATTTAACTAAATGAAAACCGATGAGAATCTAATTGTTGTTCAGTGTAACTGAATTGATAAATCTGATTAAATCGATAAACTAATCAACAGATGAAAATCTTTAAATCGGACGAAAAAGTGAAAAAAAATTCCAACGAAATTCTAACCTATGCTGCCATCTATTGTTCTGGTTAGAAAATATTCTTTAATCTCTTTGTTATCTTTAGGTTTCTATGAGAATCGTTTAGTTGATTGATTTGGTTAATTTTTCCACTTCAATGATGACAATTGACTCGACGATTATAATTTTCTAATCAATCAATCAGTCAACCAATTGTTCCATTAACACTGATTGTGATTCTATTTGTCTACATGTAGATTCGTATGTTAAATTAATATGATTGTGTTTTAAATCATCTGGTTGATTTTTTTTTGTTTCTCTTCACATGAAAACGCCTTTTCCTTTTTCTCATTGATTCCAATCATTAATTCATTTCTATTTATCATCCGGTTGTTTATTCTTCATCTTTCCAATTTGTATTCAATTAATCAGCTTCTTTTCATTGATTATCTTTAGGTGAGTATCTTTTTCTTTCCATTCAACCTTTAAATCAATTCTGTGTTTAGTTTTCTATTGTGTTTTTGCTTACTCTTTTTCATGTGATTAATTGGAGATTTTTTTTTTTGTTCTCTCTCTCTTCATTTTGGTTTTAGAAAATATTCTATTTGGAGAATTATGGATTTAGATTCGTTTGTTAATGTGGAAAATGGTGATCCTGTTGCTGATTTTATTGCCAGAGAGCAAAATGTTCTAGCTGAGATTGAAGGTGATTTAGATTTTACCGATGATCTTACTCATCTAAGTCAAGAAATCACCACTGAATCTGAGACTATTATTCAAAATGGTGAAAATCTCATCAATTCCAATGGTGATAATCTATTCTCTGAAGAAAATGAGGTGCCTTCAACATTCGTCGACACTGAGAACAATAAGACCGAAAGTGTTTTTGATAATCTTCCTGTTGTTGAGAATGAGAAAATCACAAGATGGCGAAGTCAAAGTGTTAAACTTTTAAACGAAAGGGATGAAGAGGAAGCCAAGAGAATACAAGAGCTTATTGAACAAGCTAAACAAGAATTACAAGATTGGTATAGTCAATATAATGACCAATTGAATAGATTAAAAGAAAGTAACAGGTAAGTCAACAATTAACCTTTCATAACCAATGTTAATGTGATAGTTTATCTCATGTCTTTTTCTTGTTAATCTCATGCTTCACACTCTGTGTTATCAGGGAGACAATCAAGTGGGTATAAATTTAGAGAAAAAAAAATTGAATTTTCATCATTTCCGTTTGTTTGCTTTCTCTCTCTCTCTCTCTTTGATTATCCATTCACATTGATCAAATTCTTGTCATGATTAAACATTCTAATGATTTCCAATCTCTCTCTCTCTCCTTAGACAAGCTGAAGCCGATTGGGTGGCTGAAAGAGACGCTGCAGTTCCTGGCAAAGAGTGGGAAAAAGTAGCTCGAATGTGTGACTTCAATCCTAAGCCCAATCAGAAAAATGTCAAAGACACTTCAAGGATGAAATCAATTCTGTTACAATTAAAGCAACATCCACCCAAGGAATCAACTCCCTCTGCATAATTTAAGCAATTATTTATACTAAAAGCCGAATACACATCAGCCCACAAAATATACTCATTCAAAGCTCTGTTCTTGCTACAGTTAACAGAATTTCAAAGCCAAATCTATTCAGATTAAACTGATTATCCAGAAAAAAAGAATCACCTTAAATCAAATACCTCGAAAAAAAAACGATGAAAATTAAACCAAATTCACAAGAGATTAACAGTTTTCTCCTAGAAAATTGTAACATTATTACTTTTATTTAGAATCATTGATTGATGATAATATTTTATCATAATTCACTCTAATTGTTATCAATGCCTGAGATTCAAGTTGAAAATACATTTTGTTAATTATCTTTGTTTTTCCAATTCATCTGATAGCTTAACAATCAACGGAGGCGTTTAAATTATATTGAAAAAGGAATCAACTTACAAATCAAAGGAAATTGAATCAATATTTTTCTCACTTTTTTGTTGTAATAGTCTCTCTTTAATCATTCCTGTTAACTATTGGCCATATTTCTAATCCGATGACAATTATACGATTAATCTTAAATTGTCAAAACATGTTAATCAAAAACTAACTATTGATAAGTCAAAACGTTTAAAATGTTATATATATAAACTATTAGTTTGGTAATTGTGATAATTTGCCTTCCATCTAAGATTGTAAACTCTAATAATAATTCATTCAATTGTTAAACTCAATATAAACGAATAAACAACAATTAAAATCATGGAAGAAAAAAATTAAAACCAATTACGCTCTTTGTTACCATAGAGATGAACATGTGACTTATCAGCTGATTTTTGTTTTCGTTTTTTTTTGTTTTAATTCAAGTGATTTTCTCGCTTTGTCTTTTTAATTGTAACAATTAACATGTTTACCATTGGTGATGAAATTGCTTCACGATTGTTGGACCATCGTTGCTTTACAACAAACGAATTGAAATATTTTGTCAAATGCTTCGAGGAGACTCGAGGTAACTGTGAATTCAATCAGATTGATCAGATTGATGAAAATCTGAAAGAAATTGGTACCAATGGATTACCTGGAATCGTTGAAAAATTAAACACAAGTAATTTGGGAACAATTGACACTAAAAGTAAGTTAAAAACAATCGAATTGAATTGAATTGTTTCCTCACTTTTCTAATGTTTACTATGATTTCTTGTAATATTTTCTATTATCATTAGTTGACCAGTTACTCGAGATGTCCAAAGATTTGATTGAATTGGAGGTGAAAGAGGAAAAACGAAGAAATCGGAAATTAGCTGAACAAATAATCAAATATGAAGCTGAGAAAAGTTTAATCATCAAAGAGACTCAAGTTAAGATCGCTGATTTAGATACAATTAACCAGGATAAAGCAAATAATCTGAAAAAATATTACAGAGACTTAGAAGCCAAATGGAGGATAGACAAAAGTGAATCACCCAAGTAAATGTTTCATCATCTAAATGAACATTTCAATGCATAAACATCAACGAGATCAATTTAACATCAATCTATCAATGTATCTAACTATTGATTGATTATTGATTATTTATGCTGGAAATCAATCAATATTAATCAGAGGAAATGTTTTGTTTCTCAACAATTAAGGCAACCATAACATTTATAATTTACTTATTTTTCTATTAACCTACTTTTTTACTCATCTTTTTCCGATTCCAACAATTACAGTTTTCTTTGACATTTTATTATTAGAAATTGATATTTTTACAAATTTAATTATTAATCAATTGAAATAATTTAACGTTCATTTTACAAACTAAATCAATAAGAGATGTAATCGTTTCTGGAATGGTTTGTTTAAATTCATTGTTATGGTCTGAATATTGTCCCATATCCTCTGAACTGTTGAGGTGATTGATTATTGTACGTCGATATCACATTTGGATTGTCTTGATTATGATTAAATGAACTACCAGGAGAAACTTCAGTGAAGGCGGATGAAGAGGATGCGGATAAACCTTGATGAGCTGGAAGAGAGAGAGAGAGAAACAAAAACTCAAATTAGTTATTGGAAATTTATCGATAAATTTGAAATTATCAAAGGATTTATATTAATCAATATTTTGCTGGGCTTACAAGTGGATTAGTAATTTTGATGAACATAAAATAAACACATGGATGGACATTGAGAGACATTGAAACCATTAGAAAACAAGATAATTGTTGAGAAGACGACGGAGTTGATGGTACAGTTGAATTGGTTCCATTGGCGTAATAGCGATTAGATGAGTGATGATTAAGATTAGAATATGGTCCTTGGTCTCGCAGCCTGGGTGATGATTGGTCGATGCGGTGGTGACCTGAATTTGCTAGATTATTATTGTTATAATTTGAATTTGATTTAGTAAAATAATATTGATAACCGTAATTGTAACGTATTGGTATGGCTAAAGTGAACATTTTAAAAGGGTTAGAGAGTTGGATTTAAGACAGACAAGGTTAGTGACAATTAATCAGTGGACATTGTTAATTTTAGTCATAAATTTTGGTTGAACTTACTTTGATGGGCTGTTCGAGTGGTAGTATCATGGGTCGAAGCTGACTGATTGTTATTAATTCGTGAGGGTGGTGTAGATACTGTTGCTGAAGGCCTGGAATTTGGTGTTGATTTCGATGTCGATGCTTCCGAAATAGGTCTCGATGTTGCTGCCGATCTAGAAGGTGCTACATCTGACGCGTTTTCGAAGCCATAAACACATTTTTGGAAAAGCATTGTTGATCGCATGCACTGTCGCAGCTTCTTCTGCTTGTGCTTTATCAGCATTTAATGGAACGTGATTATTGGTTTCTAGTTTTCTTTTCTTTCGAGTTCTGACACAAGATAGATTGGGAACTACGCGAGCTATGCGAGTTCGAGAAAGGGCTTTGAAAGCGAAGGCAGTTCGGTTTGCATTGAGATGTTGGACTAATCGAGGAGTGAGAAGTTCAATACGCAATGAAGCGAGTGAAGGTCTTTCACGAATCGATCTATTGACTAATGTATTCTCTCTAGATGGTTCAATCGGCTAATCTACTTCGATTCCAATAACACAATTACAGTTGTAGTTTTTTTTGGACATTTGATTATTCAAAATTGATATTTTATTTTTACAAATTTAATTATTAATCAATCGAAATAATTTAACGTTCATTTATCAACTAACTCAATAAAAGATGCAATCGTTTTCTGGAAATATTTGTTCATTGCTATGTTCTGAATATCGATACGAGTTGGATGCTCAAACGTTTTACTCTACTAAACGAGAATTTGTCCCATTGAATATGACGAAATGAAAATCATTCGACTATTACTAGTATATCGAGCATTATACGAACATAATTGTTGAGTTAAAAGTTCGACAGGTACATTTTCCTTCCTTGTGACGTTTACAATTGAAACCTTTTGTCGATAGATGAAATTAAACGACCAGTGGTGAGAGTTCATTTATTTTGTATGATTCTCTTCACTTTAATATGCTTTGTCCACCCGGAAATTTGTGACGATTTCTTGATTCTTCTAACGATAATGTACTTTGTACATGAACAGGTACTTCCAAAGATTGAAAACCAAACCAAAGACTTAAACTGCTACTTATGTAGACCAGGTAGCTAACAGCACTTTGCATTGGATAAGCTTTGTAAACGGTATCAGATTCTTGCGGAGGTGCCATGCATATATCGATAATTTCACTGTCACTTGGTTCGCTGTAAGTTGAAGCATCCGTATGATAATAACTGAAATGGCATTCGTGCTGTTTAACCTGATCTAAGCACCCGTTAAAAATGTCTAGAAACTTTGTTTGATTATAATTTTCTTCACTGGCAAACATAAGATCCTTGTGATACTGTCCAAAGGCACTGATTGAGTTGATAAAGATCATCGGTGTTCCAGATGAATTGAGTAGCTGATCGTTCATACATTGGACAAGAATTTTCGACCGATTATAATCACGGCAAGATGTCTCAAAAGGCCACGATAAAGAGGTTGTTATAAATCGACGATATCGAGCATCAAAGAATAGGGATTCTCCAGATTTGTAAGAATAAGTAAAATATTTCACTAATTGATTTTCAATTGAACTGTTAGCGACTGCGAATCTAAAGCCTGAAGCTTGATAAATTCTGTGGGCTAATCCAATGAAGCAATAGTCTCCCATGAAACTACGTGAAACCATCTTGGTTATGGGCATTGAGTTATTATCTCGACAAGAAACTCGTAAAAATATCATGAATCCATTGAAAAATCTTTCGATGTTACATTTATCTAACATGTTATCACCATGTTCATCTCTGAGACTAAGAATCAATGGTCTAGGATCTTGGGTAAAACTTTCGATATCACCGATGGTAAAAATACTGGACAGTTCATATGAAAGGGTATGACCTTTTCGAGCAAAATTACAGTTCTGATTGAAATCTTTGAACGATTTTATTGTTAAATTTGTTTTACCAACCCGATTAGAACAAATTTTCACCAAAGCTTCAGGATATTTTTCATAAACTAAACTTAAATTTGTGATCAAGTTTCCAAGAGGTATCGCAATGTCAATCTCGGGAATAACAATTTCTTCAGGATAATCATAAGTTACCTCATAGCGAACGGAAAATTTCAAGAACTCTCGAGTAACTATCGTCAATTGAAGGCAACAACCAATGAAACAAAATAATAGTAATAACTTTGTACTTTCAATAGAAATTGGAAATTTGATTTTCAATTTGTTAATCAGACTAATCATCTCTTTATAACATCTACGAAAATAACAATTTAAAATAATTCAATTAAACAGAAATCGAGATGAGTCGATGGAAACTAATATATACGAATAAAGTTTCATCTATTCCACTGATCAATTGATTTATATTTCCAATCATTTAATAATAATTATCAACAAAATATTGATTACCAATTAAATTGCATCAAGTGTAATCGTTTTTTGAAAAATAATTCAGTTTAATTTAAATGAAATCTTTAAATCTAATGAGAATGAAAATTTTACATGCAAATCAAATCCTGACTTAAAATCATAGAGGAAAATTTCAATTCCATAACTGAATTAACCTGAGTTGGTGCGATAATAAAGTTGATTGTGTCCTTGTTAATTAAATTGCTCATCTGATAGCTGATTAAATAAACGACAAATACAGATATTTGGTTGTAAGAGAAACACTTATACCTCTGAGCTACATCTCTAATGCTACAAATTGGGTATTGGAATTGAAGTTGAGGTGAATAATGAAATTTGTTATTCTATTTGTTTCTTTAGTTATTTTCCAAATCCAAACTGTGGAATCGAGTTCAAGTGCCGTGCCAGCGCCAGAGAATCCGATCTATGCCCGCGAACAGATTTTCTTGAGCCCTTTTAAAACTTACACAGGATCGACTTCAGCTCTTACCTGTGGCCAATTGATTGTGTACCATGGATTTCAATATGAAGTTCATCAAGTTATAACCGAAGATGGTTACATACTTGAGTTGTATCGTATCATTAATCCCGATGCCAGAGATGCTTTTGGTGATAAACTGGTACCTGTACTTTTGGTCCATGGGGTATTGGAATCATGTGGTAGTTGGCTTATCAATTCCAATAATCAAGATGGACCATTAATCAATGTAACATCAAACAATCTCGCTGTTGTTTTAGCTACTCGTGGATTCGATGTTTGGCTGGCCAATAATCGCGGTACATCATATTCTAGGAAGCATATTCATCTCAACTCATATACAGGTAAAAATGATCTAAATTTAGCTTAATGTTTATCGTGAACTTTTCCCATCTCTTTAATTTCCTCTCAGATTCATCTTTCTGGAATTTCAGTTTTGTTGACTTGGGTCGTTATGATGCACCAGCAATGATTTATCATATAATTAACGTCACTAATTATGGTAAATTGATCTTCCATCAGCAGATTATTGTTATTGTAAACCTCTCGATTTTTTACCATTATAAATAGAGAAAATTGTTTGGATAGGATATTCAACTGGGGCTACACAAATGCTGTGTAAACTATCAGAGGATCCATCGTTTGCAGATAATTTATCTCTCATCATCTCGATTTCACCGGTTGCTTTCAATAATAACCCTCCGGGTGTTTTGGGTGCTCTGTCGAGAAGTAGAGCTCTCAATCTATTACTTGGTCGATATGTTGGTCCAATTCCTCAATTTCTACCTGAAACTAATGCAATGTTAACCTTATTTGCTTTCATATTTCCACCGATTTTTGAAGAGATTAACAATTACATCTTTGGACCCGATAGACAAATGATAGATAATCATCATTATCCAGCCTTTGAAAGTGTAATTGACACAACTTCGGCAAAACTTTTACTCCACTATATACAAGCATTTAGATTGGGACAATTGCGATACTATGACAACGGTGATGATGAAAATTTGGCTCTTTATGGTTCTAAATATCCACCGAAAATAAACTTTCAAAATGTACCAACAAAAAGGTTAATCTTAATGACTGGAATCAATGACTTTTTAGCTAAGCCAAAGAATATACAAAGATTAAGAAACATTTTAAAGGGTTAGTTCAATTTAAAGAATAATTAACTTTTCCTTCTATTGATTATCTAAAGGGTGTTTCACTTTATTCGTTACAATCTGAATAGATTATCTTATATTGGAGACATTACATAAAATGATATGATATTACAATTATCATATTCCTATCATCTTGAATTAATGATCATCTCCAATGTAAGATAAGTTTTTTCATGTGTTCAACTTGAAATGAATTGAGACAAACACTCTTACTTTTTGTCATTATCCCTTTATTAGGTAAACCATTGATTGATCATATAATCAATTATCCTCGATGGAACCACATTGATATAATTATTGGAGAAAAGGCTTTCGAGTATACCCATTTACCAATAGTTGGATTCATCCGTAAATATGTTGGAACTGAATTTACAAATTAAAATTAAGTTAATCTCCAATTAACGAGGTGTTTCACTAAGTTTACAAGTTGTTTATTTCAATAACTCTTGTGTCTTTGGGCATTCAGACCCCTGAATCGAGTTACAGAAGTTTGAGAGATACTCTAAAAAAATAACTAAAAATATCAACATTTAATTGTTAATTTATCTTTGGTAAACAATTAAAAGCACTGGTTACATTTTTAAAGAGCGATTAAAGAGATTTGAAGTTAGTTATCGACTTGGAATTGAACCATTTTATTCAATCATGTTTTTAGTCGTTACTCTGTTGTTTTCTTGTTCATTCATTTTCTCTGGCCAAGCTTATTCAGATGATCGAGTGACCAGTTTACCAGGACTTTCGGGGAAACTAGATTTCAATATGTATTCGGGTTACTGGTCAAGCTTATGATAGAGTGATGAGTTTACCAGTAGTTTCTGGTCCTTTGGATTTTGTAATGTACTTGGGTTACCTTGATTCTAGCCCAGGAACTCATGTATATTATGTATTCGTGGACTCGGAAAAAAACCATTTAGACCAACATCTTCTTGGTAATTCAATGCTACGATTTGCCTACTACCATGGTCTCTTAGACTCTCAAACTTGGAATACAATCGTTTCCTCTTGTTGTAATCACGATGATAAGTCTCACAGATACTTGTAACTTTACCACAATCATTTCACCAACAAGATTAATATCAATAGGCCATTTAAGAAGGTTGAAAAAAAACAGGATCCAGTTCTTCAGGGATGCTCGGTGAAAAAAGCATCTATTAATAATCACTCAACTAAAGTTCAAAGTTAACGTGCTAAATCCGATTGGCATTTAACACGTACCACAATGATATTAATAGTAAAGTAAATTCAACTTATTATTATAACGTCTCATGAAAGGAGTCACTCTTGAATTGACTATTGAGTTGGTCATTTTCGATATCCTCTTGACTTTCATTCTTTCAATTTCTTTAACATTAGATTTGGACGATTTGCACCATGATATCGGTTTATTCAATTGTTCGTATACAGAAATACCAAACCAAATACCGAGGATACTACTCACGTAAACAATATAATCCATGGGTGAACTTTCTGGATAAGATTTGTGCAAAATCAATGGATCATGTGGAGGCTCGAGACAAATCAAAACGGTCTCAAGTGTATCCTGGTCTGTATGAAATATTGAACTTACATGATAACTTATCAATTGACATTCAGTTTCCTCGAATATTTTTTGACATTTTTCCAGAACAATGGTAACGTTATCATGTTGAATATTTCTAGATCTGTCGAGGAATTTATATTCTGGTGGATATTTGTTAAAAGGCAACACCGAATGAGCAAAAACTCTCGGTGGTTTTAACGCCAATAAATTTTCATTTATACAATTTGTTAGAGCTGAAGACCTATCGTAATATGTACAGTTTGTCTCAAACGGCCAGGGTAAAGATTCTGAGACTAATTGGCGGTAATTAGCACTGACAAAATTAAACGATCCTCGCTTAGGATTAATGAATGAATAGTCATTCAAGCGACTTGATATTTTACTATCGGGGGCAGCGAATCGAAAACCAAAGTCATGATAAATGTTATTCCGAATACAAAGAATCCAATTTTTGCCCATATAATCACGATCGACTTTTTTCACTATCGGCATGGAATTGTTTCTACACGAAATCCTTAAGAAAATGACCAGTCCGGTCATATGTCTACTCATGTGGCAAATTTTAGCTTTTACTAGATCATTTATAAGGTCGTCAAAGTAAACTCCTTCAATCATTTCTCGAGGATCTTTTGTCAATTGTTCTACATCTCCGATAGTAAGTACACTAGATATCATATCAGGAGCCAAAATAGCGGAATTTTTCAGGTCACTACAGTGCTTATCGAAATCTTCGACAGTCTCAATATCCAAAGTTAGAGTTCCATGAAATAATTGGCATATTGTCGTCATCTCATCCTTGTGTCTAAGGTATAATTCACTCATATTGATCAATGCCACCATAGGTATGACTAAATCGATTTCAGGTAGAACTATTTCTTTTGGATAAGAATATGTTATCTCAGTTCGAACTTTGAATCGAAAAAAATCCCAAGTTACTGAGGAAAGTTGTAGGAAACATCCGATAGAACAGAAAATAAGAACAATAAAACTTTTTCTCAAAAAGAGTTTCATTCTATTTCATCTAATCTAAATGAGAGATCAAAGCATAATAATTAGAAACGAAAATTATTAATCTTTTATCCTGTTTCTGAATTTTCGTATGATAACTGACAGAAAATCAATAATAGAAAAACTCAACAATCTTCAAAAATGTAATTAACTTATTAACTATTGATGAATTTTTAATAGGTAGAATCTTCCATAATCAAGATTAATAGAAAACTCCCTTTCATTAATGAACTTTCAACGAAAATCGATACTTGAATCATGTTCAACATTGACGACGAAATTGCTTCACGATTGATGGACCATCGTTACTGTACAACCAACGATCTGAAATATTTTGTCTAACGTTTCAAGACTCGAGATGAATTCAGTGAGATACGTAAAAGTCTGAAAGAAACTGAGTACAAACAAATTGCCTGGAATCGTTGCAAACCTAAGCGAAGATAATTTGGAAACAATTGAATCTTTTTATCATATTTCTAATATTCTCTGTTATAATTAGTTGACCAGTTACTTGCGATGTCCAAAGATTTGATTGAATTGGAGGTCAAAGACTGATTATCAAAGAGACTCAAGTTAAGATCGATACAATTAGATACAATTAACGAGGATAAACTCTGTACATTGAACGTTTGATCATTTGATCATAATCTTTTAATGAAGAAAAATAATGTAGAAAATATATTTATAACAATTAACTGTTTAAGCGAAAATTTTGCATCAAGTTGACCTTTAGACGGTGAGGCCATTGTTAAATGTGACCTTTTCTCCTTAATATTATTAGCGACGGAAATACATTTCTCTTTTTCGCCAATGTGATCAATATAACTTTCGAATGTCATGTCAATGATTTGAACCGGTTTACTACTCTTGTTGAATTCGTCGGATGATATTGAACATTCGGTCATATTATTATCACTCAACAGGTTCTTCGAGTAAACAATTAGATTACAATTACATGTCCACTGATTACCTATGTGATTATATGAAAAAGAATAAGAAAATTATCAATATTAATCAAATGGGATTGATTAACAATCTAAAACAACAATAACAATCATAATGCAATAAGACCGTTCAAATTTGGGCAATTTAGTAAACACAATTAACAGCAATTGATGTTGGTCATGGTCACGGTCAATGGGCTACTTGTATTAACTTATTATTTTTTGGTTGTTTATCTCAATTAAAGTTAATCTAACCAAACAACAATTAACAATCAACGATAATCATGATCAAGGTTGAAGCTTATTAATTGTTGCTAAACTAGATTAGGAAATATTGTTTCTCCTATTCAATCAACATAAAGACTACACTTCCTTTAATTAATTTTAATATTTAATCTAATAAACAATAGATATGATTAAGTTAATTATTGTAACATTTAATTTGTTTTCTTATTGTATTCAGTGAATTAATCAAGAGACGGAAATAATTATTAATAGTTACTAGTCACTAAAACAAGATAATTAAGTTAATTGTTTATTATTATTGAATGACAATTGATTAGTCTAATTGTTTGTTTATCTTTGATATAAAAAAAAAAGTAAATCAAATTAATATTAATTATTTCAGATTGATAAATAAATTTCAACCTAAATTAAGAAGTAAATTGTGTAATTTGACACTTTAAATTGTAATTAAAGTTTTGCTCAACAAAATTAAATTATCATTGGAGTTTAAATTACAATAAATAAAAGTCTAGTCTTGTAATTAAGCTTTTGAAAATTATGATTGTAACTGTTAATTTATATAAGAGAAACTGTTGATTATCATTTTAATTTAATTTAATTGTATTTCAGTTGCTACGCATTAAAAATTTAGAAACTTGATAATTTATCATTTACAAATGTAGATTACATTTCTTTGTGAACTAAATTAAACTAATTGTTGTTATTAAAAGTTTAATTAACTTGAGTATTATCAATAAACTTTCACGAATAACAATTCAATGATGATTTTGTTAATGGTTAAAACCCGGAAAATTGATTTTTTTTTGATTGTTTTCACTGTTAATTGTTATTCCCTCTCTCCCCGGAGCTATTTCTTTGGGTAAAGTAATTTAATCATGTTTAATTGCTTAGATAATTGTAATCATGATCTAATTGTTGTTTACAATTAAAAATATCATTAATGTAATAATTATTACATTCATAAAGGTGTTCAGAGGAATAGCAATTTGATTGTGATCAAGTTAAAACTTTTAAACACCGACAAAGTTAATCAATTGATTGGTATAACAATTTAATTGCTAGAGAGAGAGAGAGAGAGAGAGAGAGAGAGAGAGAGAGAGAGAGAGAGAGAGAGAGAGAGAGAGAGGCAAAAGTCACAATTAAATAATTATTTATAACTTTATGAAATTAAGTTGATTGTGTTGATTAATTTGATAAATAAACAAGGCAAATATGACAATTTAAATTTTTAACAGTTTTAAAATCAAATTCAATTCAATTAACAATAAATGTCATCGGACTGTTGATTCCTATCAAAATTAACTATGTCAATGTTGATTGTTGAATCATATATATAAATCTTATAGTCCTTGACTGTCTGCAGAAAAAGTTAGCAATCAATTTTAATTGTCTGTGCAAGAAAACAACAATTAAAATGATTGTTGTTGTTGTTGTTTATTAATAAATGAAAACAAGTATTGGATAAACTCCAAGTGAGTTTCATTGATTGTTACTCATGATAAATTTGATTCCTCATCATCATCATCATCAACATAATTATAATCATTATACTCTGACAAGAGTATTTGATTGAGTAAAAGCAATCAACCAAGACAATCAAAGTAACAATCAACCAAATCATGGGAAAAGATAGTAAAATATCATGTACACATATATGAGTACATAGAGATTTCAATTGAATTTATTGATTAAATCAGTTCTAAGTGTTTGATTAGCTGTTTTTTTGGGTGCGATTTTGTCAGAATCATGATCAGATAAATTCCAGATGATATAAGTGATCAGATGTTTCCTGTAAACAACATTTAAAGTAGTACTCAGTTCTGTCAGAAAATTCAATCATCAAGAGATCTACCAAAAGCCTAACCAATTATCTTCATGAGATTATCTATTAAGAAGAGAGAGAGAGAGAGATAATCTAAATAAAGGGAGGGATAAAATTACACACCACTGTTAGAGAGATCAAGCCAAACCTTAATAATAATAATAAATTGATGGTTCAGTTGATAATTTACAATTACGATAATGTTTCCCTGGGTATCAGGAACCATCAATATAAGAATCGATTGGAAAAAAAAGTTTCACTTTTCTCTATACAAACGAAATGAACTTTTTTTCCCGATCTTCCTAATTGATAGTAATCGTCTCTAACCAATAATAATAAACAACTATCAATGTGTGTACCCTAATTGTTTTGATCAACAATTAGATAGTTTTCATATCTAATTGCCCATCTCAAAATTAAGCCCTCAGGATGAAAGTTAATTAATTGAATTACTACACAACGGTGGGTCTCTAGTTCTTACTGTCAACCTGAAGAGGTTCATGAGGATCCCCCTGAAGGATAAGGGATTAGACTGGAAAATCAAAGATTATTTTTTAAAGAAAAAGTAAAAGTTTCCTCATCTTTGATGAAGATGCGAAATTGTGTCTCTTGTACAAATGATGATGATGATAACGATGATAATTAATAATAGATATCATTAATTAATTAGTATTAATGATCATTATATCTTCCAGTCAAAAAAGTAAACATTTAACAGAGGAAAACTTGTTTATCCAAAAGCAAATTATGAAAGTTGATCATCATCATCACCATGATAATAATAAGATAGTTTCTGTCAACACAATGAAATTCATTTGATGAATTGATGATGATGATGATGAAAAAAAGATCAACTTTAGAGTAGATGAAAAAAAAAACTCTTCAATTCAATTCCAATGGAAGTGAAACTTTTGTACTCAAGATTATCATGGATCAACGCTCCATTGAATTTTCAGGCTTATCTTCATCTTATCAGATTGTAATTACAACATTAATTTAGCTTAGTTTGTGAGATTGTATAACTAAGTTATCCACCATGTAATTTACACGGTGGGGCAGGGAAAAAGTTCTGGTTCAAAATGTAACTGAATTAACCAGTAGCAAGAAATGGGAAAAAAAATTCCGTTCACAGGAAAATTGTTGCTTACTAATCATATTTACTATTGTGATGAGCACAATGAAAACTTGACTAGTATTAAAATAATTAATACTTTTCTCATTGTGAGGTTTAAGACAGTAATTAACTTATGATTGTTAAGATAATAAATATTGATTAGAAGATCTTGTGATGATTGGATAATTGATTGATTGAGATGTAATCACTTACCTTTGAGGTAGAAAGTTTTTGGAAGTTGTTTCAGGAAAGTGTCATCCAAGTTGGACAGTAAATTGTTTTTAAGGTAGATTGTCGTAAGTGCATGACAATAACTCAATAGTTCTGGGGGTAAGAATCGTAAATGATTATTGGACAGATCAATGGTTTCGACAGCGATCAATCCACGGAAGGCTAAGGGTTCCAGAGAGTTTATTTGATTACGTCTTAAATCAAGATTTCGTAGTTTGGCCATATCACGGAATGTATCATTCTGTATGGTGAACAGTTTATTTGAATCAATTTCAAGATGTTCAACGCTCAATAGTCCGGCGAAAGTGTTTTTTGTGAGAATAGAAATTGAATTGGACGATAAACTTATGTTAGCTAATTTGGTTGATTCTCTGAACACAAAGTCGGGTAAAAAGGAGATGTTATTATCTTCCAGTCTAACTTCAAGAAGATATTTCAATCCTCGAAATGCTGTTTTATGAATATCTATCAGTGCATTCGATGATAAATCAAGCCGTTCGAGATACGGTGCTAAATTAGCAAAAGCTCTATGATGGTTAATTTCGGTGAAATTATAATTATTCTTAATAATCAGTGATTTGATTGAACTTCCCAAAGGCTTTATAACAGATGAAATCGAAGTGAATTTCCAGTTTGTTAAAGTTATCTCTTTAACTGATGGCGCTAAATTGTTGAATAACACGGAGGGAAAATAGCTCACGTTCACACCATCAAATTTATGAACATTCAAATGCACCGAACTATAAGAATAATTGTCAGTTGAGTTGTGAATACGACCGAGGCGCGAAAACTTGGTCCACAAGGCTGAATCAAAATCCACTCTACCAATTGAACATTCCAGTACATTGGGCTCACATGTACAATATCCATCAAAATTTTCAATTTCTTTGAAACAGTCATCATAATAATAACCACCACAGGTAATAGGTGACAATAGTAGGAGAACAATAACTAAATTATTACACAGATTGTTCGTAAATATATTCATGATGATCACAATAATGACTCCAATGTTAACGGATTTTGATGTGTCTTTTTTTCAAATTAGTTGTTTATTGAACCTTTGGTTTAGGTGTCACAGGTAAACAATAGTCAATTTTGATGACAAAAGGTTAATGATTGTTGAATTGTAATAATTACACTTGTTTGGTGTTTTGATGATCATTAAATTGTTGAGCAAATACACTGTGTTAATTGTTACTATTAAGGTGAGCAAGGAACACACCTTGAAACACGTTGGAATGAAAAACTTATACACTTTGAGAACGAAAAAGACTTTAAATAGAAACAAACACTTTGATATCTTGTAAATTATGATGATAAGAGAGAGAGAGAGAGAGAGAGAGAGAGAGAGATGAAAATCTTACAAATCACGTCATAGTGATGGTGAAGAAGAAGAAGATGATGATGGTGAATATGATGATGAATTCTGATTTAATGATTAGGAATATTATTCACTGTATTGGTTGGCTCTTGGTTGCTTAAACTTTGAATGAAGTTTGATCATGAGGTGGAGAGTTGTGAGTGAGTGAGCAGAGGGAGCTGGATAGAAATGATGATAAGACACAGGATGATGATGATGATGATGATGAAGAGGAAGAGGAAAGAGGTTAAGGATTAGATAATATTGTTTATATACAAGGAAGAGTTTTTCAAGAGAGATTGGAAGATAAAGAGAGAAGGGAAATAAATTTGGTTTCGCTTTTTTCCCTCCCTTTAAATCACCAAAGAGATCATTTCAATCATGGTTTTGTTATAATCAACTGACCTTTGGTTGACCTAATTAAGGTTAACCGGTCAATTGGAAAACCACTTTTCGTCCAATGAACAATTTGAAAATGTTCAAAGCTAACTGGTGATCATCAAGAGAATTGATTAAAAGTTATCATCGTCATTCAAAGTGTATTATTAGAAACACTTTGACAATTACTTGATTGTAATACTTTAATAAGTTAAGTTTAAAGGTGAAGGCGTTAAGAGTAAACAATTAAACAGGCGAGTTGATTAAATTGATGATGATGATGATGATCAGTGTAAACAATTTTCTATTTGAAATTAAGGAGGCGAAACAAAGTTGCGATACTAATGATTAAGTTAATTGTAATGACGATTCAATATGAGTTGATTTGTTTTTCTTGTTTGTTTCAACTTGTACCAACATTTACATTTGTAATAAGTTTCAATTGTTTTAATTGTAATTACAAATTGACAAAATCAAAATATCCCAGACAGGAAATTCATATACATTATATATAGTGTACTTGATTGCTGGTAAAGCAATTAACATGATGAGTAGCTAATTGTTGGTGACAATTACAGGTAAAAGTAAATATGTTCCAAGGACAATTTGATTGATTGATTTTCACCAAACAAACAAATCAATTGATACTAATTTTGGCCTTTTTCTTACATTGTTACAATCAAGAAGAGGCTTGATTGTTTCTTGTTGACCATTTAATTGTGGACAATTAATCAAAGCTGACACTGAATCTGATTCCAATTACATGGATAATACTAACATGTTCATGATGAGCGTTCCAATATCATTGATTATCAGAAAAGTTATCAAAAAATGAATTCGATTGTTAAACTTTTAATGTGTTTCGATTTTAATGAATTGAAAGTTATTTCCATAAGTTTAATTGTCATTTACTTGAAAGAAATACAAATGATTTAATAATAACCATTGTTTTTATGACATTGAAACAATCATTTAATGGCTTTTTATCATATAAGGAAGTCCATTTATCGATCAATATATTTACGGAAAACAAGTTCGAGATGATAATTATATTAGAACTATTAGTTTCAATCGATTGAATATTTTAACAGAATTAAGAGCAATATTAATTGCAGTGATTAAAGTAATTATAATTAAGTAAAGTGACCAGGTAGTGAAAAATTTTCATAACCAATTGGATTATAAACTTGGGATGAACTTGACAAGCGTTGAGAGTTAACCGGATTACTTGATTGTTGTCGGTTAATTGTACTACATTGTGATAATGTTGGTGTATTTAAATCATTTTCAAAGGTTAATCGGATTGAATTATCGTTAGCGTTTAAACAAAAGCCCATTTCAAGGCATGAATACGCTGACCATTTAATGTAACGATGTTTGACCTTATCTATTGAGTTGTAGACGAAAAGTTCAACAGATTCAAAGTAATATCTATTACCAAAGGTGATATCAAATGGTTTCCTCCTGTTGACCATTGAATTACAAAATGATCGAGCTGTTGATTGTTTACGATCATCAGTCTCAAAGACAACAATCAACTGATTCAGTTCAATTCCTCTTTGTACATAGTGAAAAGGGTCCATTTGTCCTCTGCCCAGTCCAATCTCATAGAAATGCCGATAATAAGATGACTTTTTGTCGACCATTTGATAGCAAAGCCAATCGGTTACGATTCCCGCTTTGACCATTCTTGATGATGATAAATCATTTAAACTAATTATTGGTGAAGTTTTCAAGTTAATTGTGTAATCGGTTGTAAATGAAGCCAAATAGATCATAATTATCCAATTGATTGACAGAAAAAATGAAATACGAATGACTAATTTCACTGAATAATGAACAGTTAAAAGATGATCAAGTTTCTTTTTAATTATCGATGGAAGTAAAGAAATCAAGGTAACTATGAAGGTTGATTGGTCAATCACTGCAACAATTAAGTTAAATAATAACAGTAGAAAATAAATTGGTAATGTGATGGACATTAGGCTTGATAATATTCCAGGATGTGATTGGGTCAAATACTTTTCTGTATACAAATTGGTGAAACCACAACGACCTGAGGCTAAAACTGGTGAGAAGGACAGATTAACTGGAATCACATTGAATGGCCTTAAAGAGGTCGGAGGAAAGGCCAGATCGTAGTTTCCACTTTGAATTTTGTTGTAATAATGTGAAAGTTTACACAAGGAATCAGAACAATTTCCTCGATTTCGATCACCGAAAAACCATTCAAAATAAACTGACTTCCCTCCCAATAGGTAATCAATGTGTCGTCTTGTAATACCTGACAATGGACCAATCAGCTGATGGTCATCGGTAACCATAAACGTCTTTTCCGATCGACGAGGAATCAAAACTCTAAACGTTAAATTCATTTCTTCCACTTTCTCAATAAGTCTTACACTTAATCAATGTTACAATTTAGTTTTCTCACCATTAATGTAATCGTTTCACTACTCTATTTAATTACCTCTAGTCTTGTTATTGTAACTCTTTTTTTCCGAATTCTATATTACAAGTATTGATATTTTATTAATTAGTCAATTCGTAACTGTGTATTGATTATTTGTAATTTATAAATTTTAGTACTTTTATTTAAGGCTACTACATACATTTATTTAGAAAATGGAGTCAATAGAAAAGTTCAATTAGTAAAAGAAAAGGTTATTTGTTTCGGTGATCAACTGGTTAATTATCATGTAAATAACTCGAAAATATTACTTTTGATTTTAATTCTATTGTAATTCAATTGGTTAAGACGATCTGAGAAGTGCAATTAAATTTAGAATTTAGTCAAGTTTGATTTTCCTCAACTCAACAATTGATTTAACAAGTTGTTGTTCAGCTGATTGTTCAGCTAATTGTTCAGCTAATTGTTCAGCTGTATCCTCCAAAATTAAATCAATCAAATAATCCCGACGAGCAATCTCTTCGTATCGCCAGGTCTGACAAAAATTGTCACGTCTAAGATCATTTTCTATATCGATTCTTGGTGGCCAGTCTGCTGGCAGCTGCAAAGCAGCCATTATGTATTTTCGCCTTTCCTTATTCTTTTTATTAATAAGACTACATAGCTTTGTTTCGCCAATGTGATCGATGTAAGTTTCGAATGCCAAATCAATGTGAACCTGTTTATAATCATTCTTATTAAATTTTATTTGTTCTATTATTGAACATCTGGTCGCATTATTATCAATCAACAGGTTCTTCGAGTAATCAATTAGATTACAATTACATGACCACTGATTACCTATGTGATTGTATGAAAAAAAGAATAAGAAAATTGTCAATATTAATCAAAAGGGATTGATTAACAATCTAAACAACAATAACAATATTTGCATCTTGCGTAAAATCAAATCTTTGATTAACCTCTCGAAGTTTTAATAGCCCAGGGCGTGCGGTTGATACAATTAAAACTTAAATTCCTTTTATGCTCTGTCTTTTCTCTTCCCCTTTCATTGCCCCGAACGTCATAATTCATCCCTTCTCTCTCTCTCCCCTTTTCTCTTTCTTTTCTGTCTAATCCCCTTATTAATCTAATTAACATTTTAATTTGGTCAATTTAACGCCCCTTTTTTTTTCATTAATTAATAACTTTTGACCCTGACCACCTATGAAATTGGTTCTATTTTTTTGTTGTTGAAAATTTTTGTCTTCTTTCTGCTGATATTTTTTCCATGTCTGTACGACTTCTAGTTTTTCTTAAATCTTAAAAAATATAAAAAATCGTGAATCGTACTAATTGTTTGTGATTATTGTAACCAATTAAAACTATACTAAAGGGTGTTTCAGAAGTAGAGAGACAAAATTCAAATCGTTATTTCTCAGAATCTGTAACAGCTAGAGAATTGTAAATTTCATATTCAACAGGCACGAGTTTAAATTATACATTGAGCTTTCAATAACTCAAATTGGTTAATTGCATAAGATTTTTCGTCATTTTGTCTTGATGTCGGGCGAAAATTTTTTGCCAAAGATTTTCGGGGCTATTTTTGCTATTTTAGTCAGAATTATGATGAAATCCTAGTATTAAAATAATTAATACTTTTCTCATTGTGAGGTTTAAGACAGCGATTAACTTATGATTGTTAAGATAAATAATATTAACTAGAATGATGATTGGATAATTGATTGATTGAGATGTAATCACTTACCTTCGAGGTAGAAAGTTTTTGGAAGTTGTTTCAGGAAAGTATCATCCAAATCGGACAGAAAATTGTATGATAGGTTAATTGTCGCAATGCATGACAATAACTCAATATTTCTGGGGGTAAGAATCGTAAATGATTATTGGACAGATCAATGGTTTCGACAGCGATCAATCCACGGAAGGCTAAGGGTTCCAGAGAGTTTATTTGATTAAGGCTTAAATCAAGTTCTCGTAGTTTGGCCATATCACGGAATGTATCATTCTTTATGGTGAACAGTTTATTTGAATCGATTTCAAGATGTTCAACGCTCAATAATCCGGCGAAAGTGTTTTTTGTGAGAATAGAAATTGAATTGGACGATAAACTTATGTTAGCTAATTTGGTTGATTCTCTGAACACAAAGTCGGGTAAAAAGGAGATGTTATTATCTTCCAGTCTAACTTCAAGAAGATATTTCAATCCTCGAAATGCTGTTTTATGAATATCTATCAGTGCATTCGATGATAAATCAAGCCGTTCGAGATACGGTGCTAAATTAGCAAGAGCTCTATGATTGATAATTTTGGTGAGACTATAATTATTCTTAATGGTCAGTGATTTGAGTGAACTTTTCAAAGGATTTTTAACAGATGAAATCGAAGTGAATTTCCAGTTTGTTAAAGTTATCTCTTTAACTGATGGCGCTAAATTGTTGAATAAAACGGAGGGAAAATAGCTCACGTTGACACCATCAAATTTATGAACATTCAAATGCACCGAACTATAAGAATAATTGTTAGTTGAATTGTGAATACGACCGGGGCGCGAAAACTTGGTCCACAAGGCTGAATCAAAATCCACTCTACCAATTGAACATTCCAGTACATTGGGCTCGCATGTACAATTTGCATCAAAATCTTGAATTTCTTTGAAACAGTCATCATAATAATAACCACCACAGGTAATAGGGGACAATAATAGGATAACTATAACTAAATTATTACACAGATTGTTCGTAAATATATTCATGATGATCACAATAATGACTCCAATGTTAACGGATTTTATGAATCGGTTCTTTAAATTACTTGTTTATTGAACCTTTGGTTTAGGTGTCACAGGTAAACAATAGTCGATTTTGAATGTAGGAATGAAAAAATTATACACTTCGAGAACGAGAAGACTTTTAATGGAAACTAACACTTTGATATCTTGTAAATTATGATGATAAGAGAGCGAAAAAATCTTACAGATCACACCATGGTGAAGAAATGAATATGATGATTAAGTCCGATTTTACTTAGTGATATTGTAGATAAGTACTTAAGCATCATCAACCTGATAGTATACGGTACTTACTAAGATCATATATTTAGGTTTATATTTTCTAGATTAAGTTAAATATTAATAATAACAAGGGGGCAAGCGATCAACATGATCGCTAAGCTTATACAATATTGTTAGTTTCATATATACAGTGCTAAAATTTGGCATTTGCTAATTCACGAATGCGTTCCTGGTTCCCATACGATCGTATGTCACAGACCAGGTCATTTCTGTGGACATACGATTACTTTTAATTTCTTTACGCGGCTATTTCTCTCTCTCTCTCTCTCTCTCTCTCTCTCTCTCTCTCTCTCTCTCTCTCTTAACAACAATGTAACTGTTAAACAATACTAATATTGATAGTTGAAGGATACGAAAAGAGGCAAAAGTCAAAAGAAAGAGAAATTTTGAATCTATTAATATTTTAAGTTGCTGCAGAATTCAAAAAGCTGTCGAATGGTGGTTTTGATATTTTTGTAGCGCTTCAACTTTTTCTTGCATGTTTGCATCAAAAAACGTGAATCGTAATAATTGTGTGGTTAAAGTAAAAAATGTGATGGCCATTAGGCTTGATGATATTCCAGGATGTGATTGGGTCAAATACTTTTCTGTATATAAATTGGTGAAACCATAACGACCAAATGGGTTTTTTTATTCGAGGAAAGGCCAGATCGTAGTTAGTTAGCTCCATTTTGAATGCTGCTGTAATAATAATGCGAAGGTGTAAAAAAGGTTTTAAAAAACTATGTTAGCAAATGGAGTCAATAGAAAAGTTCAATTAGTAAAAGAAAAGGTTAATAATTCAATTGGTCAAGACGAACTGAGAATTGCAATTAAATTTAGAATTTGGTTAAAATATAATTTTTTCCTCTCAAAGATGGAGCCACTAATAGCATTTATCTTTCCTTTCGTTAGGGAAAATTGTAAATAAAAGTAACAAGTTTTTAGTTGTTAACAATTGTTTTCGATTAACAGTTGATTAAACAATTAATTGTTTAGATTTATCCTTCAAAATTGAATCAATCAACTGATTATCACTTGTAAAGGTCTAATATTTAATCAGCTAACTTTTTGTGTTCTCAAACTTTATATTTATTTGGGTTTGACTTTTTTTCAACTCATTAATATGATTAAACCTTTAAATTGATTGTTTAATTATTAATAAAAGATGAAAGTTACATTTGGTGCTTGGAAATTCATTTATAATTGATTAATATAATTATCATCATGCTAATTATTTGGTTTCTTCAATTTCCTTTTCCATGGATGTATTAGATTGTTAATCTTTTATTGAATTTAATGTCAATCTAATTATAGTTTTACATTAATCCTTTGGGTTTATTATGGAGATAAATAATTTAATTAATCACCTAAGTGAATTAATCAGCTGAAACATTGATTGTTTCATATAATGCAAGGTTAAATTGTTATTGTTTGATGGGAAATCATTCAATTTAGACTGAAAAGATTTACCCTTTAAATTAATTTTCTTTATTCTCAGTTACCATTGCAAAACAATAGACGAAATTGTGTTTTAATTGTTACAGTACAATGATAACTAGATTAAAATCTATGAATTAACAAGATAGAAATAATTAGACAAGGTTAATTTAAATTGTTACAATGATAACCTAAGTGTGAAGAGTAAACATTAAGTTGATTTAATAACAAGACAATGATAACAATTAAAAAAAAAGTCGAAACAATTAGAAAAATCCTTGAGAAAATTATTAACATTTAAATGATCAGTGTAAACGGTTTTCAACAATTGAGTTAATTGTTCCGATATGAGAAAAGTTAATTTGTAATTAGTGAACGAGATGTTAAATAATTAATCTGAAAAGTTTTCTCATTCATTCAATATATCAACCAACTAATTACCAAGTATTAATTGTAAAAATGTCAATTAATGTCTGATCACAAAGATTTGATTGTTATCAACAATCAAATTAATAGTTTGATGTCTTTTCAATGAAAGTTGACAATTAAATTAACCAAAAAAGGTCATCAAATAACATTATTATCAACGAGAGAAATTAATTTGAAAGCTATAAAATCCAATGTTTTTATGACTCGAAAGACAATTAAATCAACTCATTGATTGTGATAACAATTAGAATATCATATTCGTATGTTATATATCATATTATGATCAAAGTATACAAGTAATTAAACGAAGACAAGGTTAATTGTAGCGAAATTGAATTGATGACAAGACGATGAAAACAAAATGTAATAACCATTTAAATGAGAATCACGCATACCCTGTATATGTATCGTGACTATCCTTGGGAAAATTTTCTTATTGTTTTAGTTAGCAGATTTTAAATATCATCAATAATCATAATTTAGCTAATTTGATTATGTTAAAAAAGACCAGCAATCAATTTGTTACAATCAAAAAGCTATTTTTATCAGGATATCCTTTGGGTAATCATAATAATAGCAACTCAATCAATCTAATATTTAATTTAACCAGAATCTATTATTCTGGTTCCTGGTTCATATGATTAGGAAATGATCTAGTTTAATCAGCAAATTTCCATTGGTTAAGTAGTTGGATGATTATTATTTAGTCGCTAGGGTTTAATTGTGCAAGTAAACACCCAGTGATTAACTTTAATCACTTGTCTGATATTTTCACAGGGAATTGATTGAAAAGTTTTGTTTAAATTAGGTTAATATTATTAATACTTGTGAAAGTTTCGTTTTGTTTGAATTGTTTTTTTTTCGTTGTCGCTGATTGTGTAAATGTGATTAATTGATTAATCGATCAATGACTTATACCACTTCGTTCGTGGCTCGGTTCGGGTTCGTCTTAATTGTCTGAGTTGAATTTTCTCTGTATTTTGTTGACCACAACAAGTGTCATTGGATAGATTTTCAAATTGATAATATGATTGATCTCTCTCTCTCTGGGTGTAACTGGCTTTTGAATTGATTTAAATTAATTATTGGTGGTGATGTTCATTTATCCGTCCGCTTATTTGCAATTAAAAAAGTCTTGAAGGTTATCATGGGAGTTTGTGTTTTTCTCATGTTTTGCAAGAGATGATGTAAGAAGATAAAATAAGAATTGGTTGATGATACAAACAATTTCATTCGATGGTAGAAAAAATTGTTCATAGTGTACATTTTTCAAGTTAATTCTCTTAGGCCAGTTTAGAGCTGAATCCAGTTTCGCTTGTGTCTCTGGGACGGAATTTTTCACCTTCTTCTGAAAGTGAAGATCTCAATTCTTTAACCAATTCCCTGAAGTGGAGTGAGTCAAGATTCTTGGCCAATAGATGAAGAATAAACCAATCACCGATTCGAGCGTGATCTAGAACTTCCCGAAGATGATTTCGATCCGCGATTCTTGCAGCAGATCGCAGGTAAAGATAACGGAAATGAGGAAAATATGATTATCACTCTTTCAATGATAATCCATCCATTGTTTTTTACTCTTTGTTTCAATTACTTATTGATCGTCTTAAAGTTTTGAATGTTTATAATTATCATAATTGAGAGAGGAGATGATTAGTTAAATTATACTGATTGAAATGAGTAAATTTCAATTGAGTTTATAAAAGAAAATTATCTTTCTAATTGGAGTGTAGGTTAAATTGTTAATTAACTTGATTGTTTTGATGGATTTAGTTTATGTTTATGGTAAATTCAATTTATTATTTTATCCTTTTAATTATTTTGTAATAGTTTTCAATTGTTTATTTCATTTAATTTAGATTTGTTTTTTACTCTTATATATTGCTTACTTAACTTTTTTTTGTTTCAAGTTTTGTTTATGTAATTTTGTGTTGTTGTTGTTGTTTTTGATGGTGGTGGTGGTGGTTGAAGTTGTGGTGTTGGTGGTTTTTGTTGTGATTGTGGTTGTTGTGTTGGTGATAATCATGAACAAGATGAAAAGAGAAATGAAATTGTTTTGACAATAAAAAGAAAAACAATGTGAATAGAAATAAATGATAATTTCGACGAAAATATGACGACAAAGGCCCAAAAGTCATGATATTAATCATCATGTTTCATCTGATTGAGAAAGATAGGAAAAGGAAATGATGAGAAGTGAAACCAGCTCACAACACACAGATGAGGAAAGAAAAAAAAAAGTTACAACAAATATCTAGGGAAAGAAAGAAAATGAAAATGCTTTCGAGCTGCGCTTTCGTTTCGCTGAATTCAGGGGATTAAATAAATTCTTAAGAGCATTCAAGGAGCATTGGAATATCTTGTTGATTTGATTTAATTTGATTAATTGATGTTTCTACTAATGTTCCCATGTTTCTTTTATTTTTGATAATTGGCTAGTTTATGCTTGATTGTTGAGAGATCTCTATTTTCTCGACTGTCATGTCAGGATTCATCATAGTCGCTTCTTGGATGGCATCAGCTAACGCTTTGTCATGATCTATTGGCTCTCCATCGCTTTTAATGGTTATCTTTTGTTCAACACGAGTTTCAACGACACCGTCTTTCTCCATTTTATACTGTAAAAAGAGAAATGAAAATTTATAATTAATGAATGAATGAACATTCTGTAAGGGGGATGGTGAATAGAGCGATTAATGATATTATATGAAAACTGATCTAAACAATAATTGAATTTAAGTTGAGCATTAGTTTAGGAAAGAAAACAATCTAATTTGATGGACATTCAACTAATCATCTTCCTCAATTTTGCCTTCCAATTTAAAGGTTAAGCTTGAATTGGATGCGTAACTAAATGAGTTTAAGTATCTGTTGGTTACTCTGAAAAATAAACAATGATAATAGTAATTTAGTAAAGGATTGTTCTCATCTTAATATAATGTTGTCAACAATTAAGCTTTCAAAGGGATGAAGATGATACTAAAGATGATGATTAAGATAACCAAGGGAAGAGAATAGAAAAGGGTAGCCCACTTAATTTTTTTGTTTTCTTTAATAAGCTTAATTGATTGAGCAATTTAATCTATAGTTTGAGGTCAACTTTCAAAGATGATCGTTGATAATAAGGAAATGATGAGTTTAAATTATATAACACTATGTGTCTATCAGAAAACAATAACAATTTTATTATTGTCTTGAACTAATCACAATTAAAATTGTGATGTGAAAATTATATCAACTCTTTGACATTTGTTATATTTGAAGAAACAAATTGGAGTCAAATCATCCGAAGATGAAAACTGGGTCACTAAAGTATTACTATGCTAACGATTATCGTGGGTGTTTATTATAAAAATAAAAAACACCATAGTTAGAAGATGATAATTGAAGCTATTTAAGAACTGAAGGTGAATTACAATTGTTGCTGATTAAATTGGTTGTAAATTAGAAATTAATGTTTACTAATAGATCTTATCGACTTGTAATAACAGGAGACGAAACAATTTACAGTAAAAAAAAAATATTCATTCTCATCTTCATTCTTATTCATTCATCATTACTCACGCACTCTGAGCATGTGAGTGAGTCAAGTCAAGATGAATAAGATAACAAAAAGATATTCAAACATCATTTTCGTTACGAACTAACTTGAAATTAGCAAAACTGAACAACTAAAAGTTAACCATCGTTTCAAATGTCAATATGAGAAAAACTGAATGAAATTGAATTAAAATTATAATCAGGATAAACTAAATTAGAGCAACGCACTTAAAGAGATCTAACAGCAAATACTAATCATTTCTATGAGACAATTAAAAGTAATGACAATTTCAATTTAGGTGAATCATAGATCTTAAACATTGAGATTAATTTGAAGAGGATACTTTTATACACACCGTAACAGTTTCTACGGTTCTAGTTTTACTAGAAAGAGATTGTGAAGAGATTAACTCAGATTGAGATTGACTTAGGCCTGTTGTTGGAGAAATTGTTTCACCGGCATCTCTTGAGCTCTCTCTTTCAATGTAGGTTGATCGAGGTGGTGATGGTGATTTAGTTCGAGCACCACCAGCTCCTTGGCTACCATTTGCGGTTGTTGTTGTTGGTGGTTGTGGTGGTGGTGATGTTGGTGTTACAGGTGATGTACGACTTGGTTTAGATGGAGTTGTTGATGGCACCTAAGTGATGACAGGAGTAAGAAAAGAAATTTATTAATATTTTAATCAAATTGGTATCAATTGATAACAAAGAAAAACAATCATATGAATGCAATTTGAAAACAACTCGAGATGTTTTATCATTAATATCATAATGGTTGCTCTCGTTTAAATCATTAGCTTAATCATCCTACATTTTTTTCATGATTAATAGTGTTGTTATTATTGTGGAAGATTATTTAACCCAAAGATACATTCAAGGGCTTCCATTGAGTCTTAACTTCCTGATAATATTATCAATTTAATGCTGATAGTTTATGTGAAGCTCATACATCAATTGTACTTTCATTGTATTTGTGAGGTAAACAGAAAGGTAACTTTTTTTTTCAATCAATATAATTGACCTCATCTTGAAAGCAATATAGTTTTTATCTAACTCATAAAGATAATCAAATCATTTAAATAATATCAAACTACTGGTATAGTTAATTTATGGTTGAGCTATATGATTCTTAACACTTAAGGTTAATCGTGATCAAGCCGTTTAAGTTGATCAATCAAAATTATTCATTCACTTTGGTTAATAGGAAATTATGAATTCATTTAACAACATCTCAACTCCTACCTCAAGATGTATCTTGATTTTGGTTTAATTTGTTTCTCATTTAACTCTTAATTAAGCCTATCATTAGCAATTATAATTGTTAAACAACAATTGAAACACTTACATTTGGTCCTTTAGTAGTTGTGTAGGAAACTTTTCTTGTTTCTTCCGTTTTTATTGGAACAGGTTCAATACCCATTTTCAGTTTAGATGGATCGATGTCGAAACCTTCGGCCTGAAGTAACGGGGCGACATCTTCTAATTTTCCAGTGATCACTTTGGACGTTTCGTGGATTTTGGTTCCAACGGTTCGCTCTTTCTCCTCAGTAACATGGATCGTTTTCTTTGTATTTAATCCTTTCTCTGGGTGTTTTATTGTCTCTTCACCAGTCTTATAGTTACTTGTGGTTGATGTTGTTGTCGATGAAGTTAGGGTGCGACTTGATTCACTAATCTGAGGAGGAACCGGTGACTTTCCTGTCCTACGAGATCCATCACTTGTCTAAAATATTAATCATAATTAAATTGAGAAAAAAATGAGAAAAATGAAGAAATGATTTTATGATAGATGAGTAGATGTATTATGAATAGATGATGATAATGATGATGAAACCTGACCCATAATGATAATAAGCCATTGAGAAGCGAGAGTAGGTAATTAGTATCAGAAGGTTAATGATTACTTGAAAAGAAAAGGTGAATAGTCAAAGCAAATAGCAAATTTGGTGATTAGAGTGATTGTATTAGTGCATAAGTGACAATGAAAACTTGACAGTCTTCATAAGTGAGTAAAAAAAATTAGTACATTAATAATTAGCCATTTTTCCTGAACATCATTTATAATCAAGGTTGATCATAAGTGTTTTTAAGTTAGTTTGGTTATTGATGTTATTTCATTGATATTAATAGTTTCAAGAGATAAATGAAAACTGGGCAAGGCAATGGCGAGTAATTAGTTAATTTTTGTGTTGCCAAAAGTTAAATAATAAATGAGAGAATTGAAAATGAATTGAATAATAATATTTGTGTGCATATGAGAAAAATAGGTGGGGAATGAGAGAGTAAATCAAGTGAGAATATGAAAAAATCATAAAAATAAAAAAAGGAAAACGAAAATACCGAATCAATTAGACTGAGCTTATTGTTAGAGGTGGTGCTTGTGGTTGTTGTGGGGACAACGCCAACTATTACAGGTTTAGAAGCGGCAGCAGTCAGTGAATGGTATGGTGAGGAAGGTTCAACTACTTCTTCCGTTTCTTCAACAGAACCGTCGGATTTAGTTATAACTCGTTTTCTACTTGCATGGGTTATACGAGGGGCTGACGAGATCGGTGAAATATCCTTTCCGGTTTGAAGGTTAGTTGAGGTTAAATAGCTGCTATAATCCCCACCGGTGGGAGATGTAGGTGATTTAGTGCTAGTTAATGGTTTAGTGGGGGACGAGGTTGATG